GATTAGCATGAAAAAGGAAAAAAAAGAAAAAAATCGCGGCTTGGATCTGGGAGGGCTTGGGGCGAGGAGAGGGAAGATAAAAGGCCTCGGGAATGGTACGGGAAGCGGGAGTTGGTACACCGGCCCGGGGGCGGGCCGGGGAGAGGGCAGGGAGAGGGGGGCAGGCGGGAGGGGGGTAAGTAGATAGCTAGAGGGGTAGGTAGATAGATAGATAGATAGATAGATAGATAGATAGATAGATAGATAGATAGATAGATAGATAGATAGATAGATAGATAGATAGATAGATAGATAGATAGATAGATAGATAGATAAATAAATAGATAGATAGGTAGAGGGGGGTAGGTAGATAGGTAGATAGGTAGAGGGCGGAGGGATGGGAGGGGGAAGGGAAGGGAAGGGAAGGGAAGGGAGGGGGAAAGGGAGGAACGGTCTAGCCTGCGAGCAAGGTCTCTTGCTGCCGGGATTGGGGGGAGGGTTGGGTGGGGTGGGGCAGTGAGAGACCTTGCTCGCAGGCTAGACCCGGGAGGGTTTTGCTGCTCAGCACAGTTTTTTTTTCTTCTTACTTTTATAAAATTCTTGACTCAAAATAAGGACATTTGGAAAAGAATGCATTCACGTAAAAAAAAAAGGGGAAAAAAGGACGTGTGCGAAGAAACAAGCGAAATTTATGATTAGACATTTGTCATTACTCAGGATCAACTTCTCCACACTTTGAGACCCACTGGACGCTTTTTCCCACATTTAACTTCGCGAGTTAGTCTACTTATAGTACGTTCCTTTTCTTTAATGCAGTGGATAAACAGACCATGAAGTTGCAAACTGCTCTTCGTCTCAAGTTGGAGAATTTTCGTTATTGGTCATGGACCTTGGGGACATTTAACAGCCTGATTTTAAGAGTGGATTGGAAATAGCTTGAATTAACCTTGCCTGCGAAAGAAACACGACCTGATGGAATTACTAATCGTCAATAGGCCGGGCAAACAATGTTTGTTTGGTTCATCTTGTCAAGTGACTTTTGGTTCAAGTTGGAAACTGATGGAGATCTCCTGGAAGTGTCCCTGTGTTTTTTTTTTATGTCTCAAGTAAGAGGATGTAAGTATATTTCATTGTGGAAAAAAAGTCTTTCAGCTGCCTTAGGACACGCAGGATATCACCTTGTTTTGATCTTTCAGGCTGATTTCACGATTCTATGACAAGTTTTTGGTCGCATCGGTAGCATTTTAGTATGATTTACAGTGCTACTTGCAGATTTGCTATTGCAGTTATAAGGGTACCAGATTCAGACTAGGGTACTGTAGTTGCCTAGTTAGAGAAGAACGCTTTTTCTTGTTTTTGAAGGGTCACATTGCTGGCTCCAAATCTATTAAAATTGACATAATCTTCGCGTTTTTCATTTATAAGATCAATGTTGCTTGTTACAGGAACACTTGTAAATGGCGTGAGATTAACATGCACATTCTCCATACTCATTCCTTTACCGTTCATCTGGCGCTAACGAGGAGAAATTTGACTAGAAATCACAATGTTTTTCGCTGCTGAGCAGTTTCCTCTTTTTTCAGCAGTTTATGATTGATACTGTTCAGTGGTAGGATATATAGCGAGAATGTAAATTGATGTTGATCACTGTTCACCGTGCAAAAAGTGTTTCTTGTGATCACCGACTGAAAGCAAACGCACCGACGGACATTTCAAGTATTTCAATATTATACAAAACTTCAGCTAAAATCAAAATTGCCCGTCGGAAAAAACGTCAAAGCGCTAAGTGCTTTTTTAAATGTACAAGCGGTCAGAAAGATACAAGAATCGTGATTAAAAGGAAGCTTTTGCAAAGCCGAGAAGGTTACAGTTTCCATTATGTTTGGTTAACTTTGGTTTGTTTTGGTTCTTGGACCTGTGGGACCTCAGGGACCTCTGGGCCGAAGGTTCATGATGTCATTATTTTCAACAGCCAATCAGGGGCAAGAATTTGATTTGCATATGAATAACATACAAAAAAACCATTGAATTTGTAACCGAGCCGGGATAGTGCAATTAGCATAAGCATTGAATCGATAATGAATTGGCAAACTGATTTTCCATAATCTCACACGTGAGTTTATCGATGGCGTAATTTCGGTCATTTCCCTCTATTATTTTATCGATGTCTTTTTGTCTATATAATAAAAAGAACATTACACGGCGGCTTGAAGATATGAATTTTATTTTCGATTGGCAAAAACAATATTTTACTCACTTGTTGCGCTCCTTCGTAAAATATTGTTAAGCCACTCGAAAATAGAATTCATATCTTCGCGTCGCCGTGTAATATAGTCAATTTGTTATTTCCTGCCTTATTTGTCTCAAGAAAGATCGGTGTTCAGTTTATGAATTATAAGCGTCAGCGAAACATGAATTCCCGATGATTTTTTTTTTTCAGAAAAGTAGTGATACCTTTTGTTTGAAATTTTGACGGTTCTTTAATCCCTTTTTTACCATATCGCGTCGGTCGGTTACCCTAAAACACAGGCTGTTTAAACTATGTTTGGAAACAGTTTTCCATTTCAAATACTTTTTAAATCGGGATAGTCAGTATTTTTCCTTTAAAATAAAGTGAAAATAGCATATTTAAATCCTGCTTGAAAGACTGATTTCATAGAGTCATTTATTTTAAATCTCCTTTAAAATTCACCTGGCCTGTTAAACGTGCGTTAAACATATCAAGTTAAGTGTTAAAGTCGTGGTCGTGGAGTTCCTTTTAAAATAGTATACAAACACTCTAGTTTATTTTACATGTAAAATTTATATTTTAAAACCCTGATTAAACGTTATTCTTTTCAAATCACAGTTTAAATAGAGATACTTGAAAAAGGTTTGAGTACTCTTCAGGGGCACCCAACGAGAATAGTTCAAAACCACTTAAACATAGAATTGTTGAACGTATTTTTTCGAACAGTAGATATAGGCATATTTTTATCCCCTAAAAATTTTTTATCTGCTCGGATTTTCTAGCTGAAAGCCTAGCGATGCGAAAATTGTAGGGATCAAAACTTACCTTTTCGAAAATTTCAGCCAGAAAAAAGGCTCCCGAAAACTCTAGGCGACCCTTTTAGGGTAACTGATCCTATTTCGTTTTGTTTGTACAGAGCTTGTTTCACTCATCTGATTTCTTCAAATTTGAGTTGCAATCTCAGGTACTATGATCAATTGGTTCACTTTGATAAGGAAATTAACGTATATCGTCATAGTCTCTGGGAGTATTGTAAACGTTTCCACTGTTCATTTGAATGGCATTTGACACCTCTATTAGGCGGACACCCTGTAATTAGTGGACACTACAGCATTCCCCGAGGGTGTCCGCCTAATACAACTTTCACTGTATTTGCATATCTTAACGTCATAAACAGTGTAAGAGTTAGGGCTTGTTTTATTTTCGAAGAGTTAAGGGTTATAACTTAAGAATGTTTGAAGGCCAATGCGAATAATAACCTCCTCTCACAAGCAGAAACGGATCGGTATAGACGGACAAAGAATATTTTGAGAGCGAATACGTGTGGATTGGGCTAAGTGCTTTCTCGATTTTCTCGAGCACGCGTTATAATAAGGAGCTAAAAGGGACCTTACGATCCGACAACGGCGACATCCGTGAAAACGTCGCTAAAAAGTAGACATCGTATCATTTTAAACTTTTTCGCGATTATCTCAATTCACCCTGTTACTTAAAAGAAGAGGATTTTGGCTTGAGCTGAAGAGAGGGGAACGCGCTCAAGTTCGGACAGAGATGGTAGAATTTATCGCCCTGCCGTTCCCGTTCCCAAGTAAACTTAAAATTTGGTCATTTCACGTCGTGGTTGAGAAGTAAAGGCAAAAGTAATGTACAAAAAAGCGTGACGCACGTGCAGAGTTGTTTTTTTGCTCATTAAACCTATCGTTGTCTTTCGTTCCGTCCTCGGGAGTTTCACGTTGTAGCTGACGACAGAGAAATGTACGAAAAAGCGTGATGCACGTGCAAAGTTGTTATGTTGGTTGTCTAAAAGCTGTTGATTTTTTTGCCGTTCTTGTTGCCGTCATCGTCTTTGTTGCGTAACGAAATAATCGTCCTTATGTTCTTACTCGTAGCCCCTCGACGTAAAAGAATAGAATTGATCAGATTATTGACCACTTTCACATTTCAGCGTTGGTAAACGTGATTGAGGCGTCCTTTTACCTATTTTGTAAGGAAATAAAGAAAATGTAATTTCGAGTTTACTTAATTATAAGAACTTCAATAAACCTTGTGTGTAAAGTAGGTTAGAAGAAATGAGACTGTGCTGATATTATAGGTTATATACAGTCCTATTTCTTTGGATTTTATAATATCAAGAATAATAGCTGTGCTGTCTCGCTTTTGCTCCAGAAACAACAGATTAGTACAGTTAACTAAATATTGCGAAAATGGTGAAAAAATTTCTTGGCAGAACACTGTTTCCTTTTTTTTATTTAAGGTACTCTAACTTTTAGCAATACAGGCTTTTACAAGACAGGTATACCTTATACACTTGTTATTTTTGAATTGGTGCCCATTGGTGATATATCAGTGAAAACATAATAATTCAGATGGGAAAACAAAAATGAATAGAAAATGAAAAAAAATAAAATGAAATAAAACTAGAAAGAAAGAAAATAAAGTTAAAAAGGTAGCTAGTGTATGAATTCATTTTACAAACACGTGCGAAAACTATTGGCAGTGATGAAATTAACTGTTTAATCTATTGTGGGAAAGAAAAAAGAGAAAAAAATAGAAAGAAAGAAGAGAAAAGAAAAATAATGATCAGAATCAGTTTGATTTAGCAATGTTTAAAGGTAGTAATTAATCAACGACATCCTTGATATGATATTTCAAGTGAACAAACACTATTCCGTTCGACGTCAGTTGGCATTCTTTGCAACGATGAAATGTTGCTAGGTTTTCCAGTATACAATTTTATGCATTTTGATTTATGAAAGAACATATGAAATAATTTTCTCGCTTTCAGTTTATCATGCCGGCGTTTAAAGCTGTTTACGGAATTTTTCTATTTGTGCTCGTTTCATACCTTCTTATATATGGCTTCATAGTTCGAAAGCTTTTCGTGGTAAAAATTTATTTCGAAACCGAAAAAAGGGACAATATTCTTTTACAAAAGGACTCTGCTTTTGATTCAACTCTGTCCGATAAACAGTTGTCTTCAGGCGTGGAGCTTTCTTCTTGGAATAAATCGTCACTGAGAAACTTCGTTGAACGCATCCCTGAAACACTGGATAGTGCTAAAAGCGAAATTTTCTCGTTTCTCCAAGATTTGGGAGTCAAAGTCAACGAAGCCGACATTTCTTCCAGCAAGAAACCGACGACTGCGCCTCCACCACAAGTCAATCCGAACGGTGCTTCTTTGCCGAATTTAATCAGGAAAATGGATAAACGTTTCAACTTTTCAGCAGATAAGCCTTGTCCCAAAAGTCATTTGAGCAAAGGTAAGCTTGTTGCCCGTATTTATTTCATTATAAGAGTCTATATCCACGAGACAAATTGCCGTCCTTAGTTGGGGGCAGTCCCGCGGATGTTTAGCTCTTTGAAAAGGTCCTCGATGGTACTGACTGTTAATTATTCAGTCTATTATTACTAAACACCATCCAAACTCTGGTTTAAATTTCGTTTGTATACGGCCTATCAGCGGTGATACGCACAACACTGAATTAGCTTTGGCTGGGAGGCGAACCGTAACCAGCCGCAGCATCGAATAAAATTTGTAGTAACAATTACACAATAATTGCGCCAAAAAAAAGGTAAAAATGATTTGATAAAAGTATCATAACAAAAATAAAACAAAAAAAAATCCTACAAGCTTTATGCACGTCTTAATTATAAAATAAAAATGTTCATAAGTTAAAAATCATCGTTCATACAGCTGTCCATTAAATAATGAGAACGTCTAAGGTACGTCAATAAAATTTCGATAATGTACAAGATTAAGTACCTGTATCCAAAATTCCTACAGATATCTAACCGCTCAGCTTGAACATTCTTCTTCTTATTATTATTATTATTATTATTATTATTATCACTATTATAATTATTAATGTTATTATTATTATTCATTATTATTATTATTATTACTGTTTTTGTTGTTTAGTTTTCTGTGATTTAATATGTTTTTTGTGCTCCCCCTTCAAATGCTCTTTACGTACTAGTATGACTCCGTGTACTTCCAATGCCCTAACAAATACCGAGCAAATATGAGTTTCACCAGTGCGAGAGTCATCCCAAGTCATCCACATCGTTTATTAAAAGTGCTAGTGACTGAACTGTTTTATGTTGCTCAGGTTTGCACTAAACTCAGATCTATGTTTAGACAGTTTAATGACAGTTTGAATCGAAGGTGAATATTTACCAATTAAGGATTGAATAACATGGACTACCTTGTCACCTGCTTGGACAGCACGCGATCATTAATATTCTGCAGAGTAACTATATCAATCTATTCAATCTAATCAAGAGAGGATAAAGGGGACAGAGAAGGCATCCCCCATATACACCCTATTCCATAGGTAATTCGTCTCGAGTTATTTTTAGAATCGGGATTAAGTTACCTCGCGCGCTGCGTGGATGTTTCGCTGAGGTTTCGCGTGACTAAACTCCATGCAAAACATGTCAGGCAATGGAAGCGTGAAGAGATCGAGAGCATTTCTGAATATTGAAGCCAAATGAGTCGGCGCTCACCTGGGAAAATGGAACCGCTGCACTCTTTGACAACCCATGAAATCAGTTTAACTTGAAGTTGTCGTAACCTCAGTGCTTTAATAAAATGAGAAATTTCGCCGGTCTATTGAATCCGGTCGTTTGTATAATAAAGCAAGTAGGACGCCAAGTGTTATTTTTGTTGAATAATAAAATGCTAATAAAAGAATAAATATCAAACCAGAATTGCTCTCTTCAAACTGTGAATTATAACTGATCCTGAGAGAATATTCAGCGTGTTAAGGATTTCTCTGCTGTACTGTTAGCTCTATAGAAGAGAGGAAGGGCGATTCTTTTTTAATTTCCGTTTCGCTGACACAGCTTTAGTAGAAATCTCTCTTTAGTCGTTTTCGTCGACAAAGCAAATAGCAATATCGCTCTCCGCGTCTTCGGCCATTTTTTTCTGCCTCAAATCGTGATGGACGCATGGCTCTGAGTGTGGGTCATCCAGGCGGAACACGTTCGCGCTATGTGATTGGCTGTTGTCTAATCCCCCTTGGGATCTATGGACTTAAAAAAGACTCGAGACGAATTGCCTATGGAATAGGGTGTGTATGGGGGATGCCTTCTCTGTCCCCTTTATCCTCTCTTGATCTAATCTATTCCAGTTTCCAAAGTTTGTCAATTGACACGCGAGTGAAATTAACCAACATTTAGGCGTTATTATTTTGTTAAAGTGGTGGTCAGTTAAAATCTATTCTTAGTATTTACTTTCCATGAGAGTACCTTCTATCCTCCCTTGAAATGATCTGAGCTATTCAACAATTATCCCTTGAGCCTGAATGGGCTCTTCGTTAATAGCCCATAAGGCCTTGTCTATTGACTCAGAGACTATGAGGGCGAGAGGAATAATTGTTTTAGCAAAATCCAACTAGTTTGTCAAAAATATCGAGACAAAACAACTTTAGCTAGTTAAAGCTAGAATTTAGTCCTTTTTTGCCGCCAAAAAGCCGGTGCTTTTCGCTATTAGTGGACTATAACATATAGCCTAGTAGTAACTCAACCAATCAGAACGCAGCATTGATAATAGACCACTAGTTGGATTTCACTAATTTAGATTATGAGGACCAATCGCAAACACACGCAAGAGTTCGATAACGAACTTAGCAAATTTAGTAATAATATTTACTTGATTACAATAATTCTTCTAGTTGGTTTGTTAGCTGTTCGAAATACTTCAGTAACGGTGGAAGAAGTGGCTAAAGAACTCGAGTTTGTGGTAAACGGTGGGCAGTGGAAACCAAACTGCCAGTCACGGAAACAGGTGCTAGTATTGATCATAGTGTATCCTTTCTTTATCAAATTAATGTATAAATGGATTTCTTCTAGGAGAAAGATCAGTTCATGTTTTTCTATGGAGTTGGTCAATCAAAGGGCTGCATCTTAGATGACGGCCTGTGTGGTTTAGCAATCGAAGGTAGTTAGTGAAGAAATTGGGATGGTCACACTATGGGCTACATCCCGCCGGTTCCTTTCCTTTCACACTATCCCTTTAAATGTTCCGCGTCCACAGAAGTGCGAGCTTTGTTTTTTCGTTGGGGCTCCAGGCACAAAGTGTGCCTTGAAGGGGGGCGGGGGGGAGTTATTTTGTCGCCCCATTTATGAACAAGACATCAAGCACGAAAATGTTCATTGCAATGTACTGTTTTGCGTTTGCTTATTATTCAATTACAACTAGCTACAATCATGGCCAAATTTATTCCAACAACGTGTGTAACTTTGATATTGATCGCCATGTTTTCGACCGCACATTGCAGGTCTTCATCAGGCGATAGTGTCGCTTTACTGAGTCGAACTATTTGTACCTTTGTGGTTGTTAGTGATTGGTGTATCATAAACCTCGCTCATGGTTGGTGGGTTTCGATCCAAAGCATTGTTGGCACTGTGAGAGGAAGAAACTGATCCCTAAGGGGTCCGCTGCGGTGGAAATCGGTTGTCATGTTGGGGCTGATTGTAGGCATCCACGCTTCAGGAATTTCAATTCCACTGACCCTGTTGATGTTGGCAGACATCTGACAAAGAACCTGCAACCGAAATGAAACCTACAGCGGTACTACCATACATCAAAGGTCTATCTGAACCACTTCGTCTTTGTCTACAACAGCATGGCGTACGATCTGTTTTCAAATCCGATACAACACTAAGATCGCACTTAGTGCGACCTAAGGATCCTGTGGATCTACGAAAACAAGATGAAGTAGTGTATAATGCGGCAAAGTATACATTGGCGAAATAGGAAGGTGCATGCATGAACGGATTAAGGAGCACGCTAGGGATATGCGAAATTGTTAACATCAAGTCCGCAGACCGTTTCAAAAAAGTCTTATTTGAGTATTTTAGTCAATGATGAATTTTAATATTGCATAATGATTGATGCTGTGAAATTAATTATTTTAATTATTATTATCATTTTTTTATCCATTTTATCTTTTATAGAATTTTTTTTTTTTAACGTCATTACTTTAAATTTTATTCATTTTATTTACTAATAGGCGTCTTGCGTGATGGTAACCCCGTTGCAGCACTATAAATTTTTGAATAAAGGTTGAATTGAATAAAGTTTTCACAAGCTCAAACTTCGGCCGTTTCTGAACACGCCAATAAGACCTCAGACCTTAGACCTAAGACCTAGCAATATCCGCTCTGGGTTACGTTTATTCACCGAGACCCTCACTGGTACTGTCGTAGAACTAAGGAGGCTATTTACATAAGACTTCACCCTAACAACATCAACAGGGACAGTGGTATTGAGATTCCTGAGGAGTGGATGCCTACAATCAGACTCAACATGACAACCGATTTCCACCGCAGCTGACCGCTGAGCAGATCAGTTTCTTCCTCTCATAATGCCAACAATGTTTTGGATCGAGACCCACCAACCATGAGCGAGGTTTGTGATACACCAATCACTAACAACCACGGCGGTAAAAATATTTCGACTCAGTAAATCGATACTATCGCCTGACGAAGACCTGCAGGCGGTCGAAACGTCGCGATCAATCAAAGTGACAATCGTGAGGCGAACGATAAAACTAAACCTATACCAGGAGCCCATCAATTTGATGGGCTCCCGCCTATACTTAACGCTGTTGCGACTTCTGTTTCGTGCTACACATCCTATGCATCACGGAAATTATCACAAATGTCCGTGCCAACTCTCGCGGGAATGTTAAAGTTACGCTCACTGATGCATGCCAAAAAATTGCCTCTGAATAGCAAGGGAAACGCTAAGTTGATTCCTCAAGGTTTAGGTAAATTATGATCAACGCTTTTTACTAAGCGATTTCCCTAAACAGCACCGTCAAACCTGAAAACCGTGGACTTCAATTCGAAAAAATTAAGGAATCCTATAATTGGAAATTTAAGATGCCAAAAAGCCACAACGTGTGTAACAGAGATTGGGCATTTATTTGATACCATATGCATTGTACAATAAAAATCTGTATCTTGAACAACCATGTCTTAAGTTTACCAACCCTCCTGCTTTTAATGCTACCTAGCTATTGAGATAAATGTTGCCTCATACATCTTATTTTTTATCTCAAAGATCACATTATCAGGGGCACCCAACGAGAATATAGTTCAAAACTACTTATACATAGCATTGTTAAACGTATTTTAGTATTTAAACGGTAGATATAGGCATATTTTTATCCCCTAAAAATTTTTCATCTGTTCGGATTTCCTAGCTGAAAGTCTAGTGATCCAAAAATTATAGGGATCAAAACTTACCTTTAAGAAAATTCCAGCCAGAAAAAGGCTCCCGAAAATTCTAGGTGGCCTTTTTAGAGTAAAAATCCGTTAAAAATAGGCAATTAGACCACTTTTTAGTTGTTCGAAAATCCTAGGAGCGGCAGGCAAGCAAGAAATTTTACAACAAATGTTCCGAAAATTCTAGATCTCAAATCGCCTTCCGAACAGATATTTTGCGAAAATTGTCGTTGGGTGCCCCTGACATTATCCACGTTGATTTAAGGGCCTGTATCACGGCAGTCCAGTTCATTTTGTTTAATTTTGCCAATTATTCGCCCTATGTTCGCCCTCAATCGCTATGGAACTTAAATTATGCAAAGAAATTACATGTAAATGACAAAATCAGAGATCCGAGACGAACAAATATGTCTCCTGAGCATTATTTTTGAAGTTGCAAGCCGCAGGGATCAACTTTGAAAAACTGTTAGGCTGAACAGTTTTCAAAAACCCTAATTCTAATCCGTTTAAGTCTTCTTCAGTTTTTCCCATCCGTGGTATCTGTTGTTTCTGTGATGTTATTTTAACCTTCCTTTAAAGTTTTAAGCGGTTATTTTAATTTATGTTTCTCTTAATTTAACAGGCATTTTGTAATTTCCTAATTGTGCTGAATTTCGTGACACAGCTCCTTTAATATCTTTCATGACAAAGTTGTTTCTTATTGTTGCTTCCAGGGAATTATATTAGCTCATATATATTTTTTCAACAAAGCTCGTCCCTTTAATGTAGTCCACATCAGACTCCTTTAAAATTTTAAAGGCTATTGGCTCGGGGAATGTTTGCAAATGTGTATTCTTAAAGATGTATTCCATATCCTCTCGAACGGGCCTGCCTTTACGGAGCAAGAGTAATGTTGCACAGGTTATTATGACAAAACCCTTAAGGTCTGAATTGCTTAATAGGAAGATCGACGTTGCTTTCACATTGGACTGTATCTTAAGTTACAACAAAATCTGTCGTTTCTTAAAGGCTGATCACACCCTCCCTACTCGAGAAAAACCATTGCATTATTATTTTTTTCTTCAGTTTCTGTGCCTTGAGGAACAATAAAGTACTATGGTTTAATACTTTTTGAAAGTCTAACATAAGAGTTCGTGATATAGATGAGATGGTAAATTTTTAAATTTTATCTTTTGAAAAGTGTTTCTTTTCTTTTTTTTTTCCAACGAAAATCAACAATTTCAAATGCTCGGACAAGGACAAGCTCCAGCTTGGTTTTTCCCAAGACTCAACTCATTCCTCTTTAATTTTATTAGGTCGCTATTGTTGTTCCTTTCCGGAACCGACATGAGCATCTTTACATCTTCTTACGTCATATGCATCAGTTCCTAAAATGGCAGCTGTTAGACTACAGAATTTTTGTAATTGAACAGGTGAGGCTAGACTGTTCACAGTTCTTTATTTTTCCGTAAGATCATCGAGATCGAGCGCTTTGCGTTACGGGCTGCCATCTTGCGTGAGTGTCAAAACTACTTAGGGGGAGGGGGCGGTAATCCCCGACGAGAGCCCCCTTGGTACATTTGAAAATCAAGATAGCCGTGAAGGTAAGACGCCATATATCTAAACGATCTCAAGAAAAAATAGGGGACTGTGAACAGTCTAAGATGAGGCTGTTGGGAAATAAATTTGCTAATAAGACTAGACTGCAAAAACGGAAACGAACTGAAAAGAAATATATATATATAGACCAGCTCTTTCTGAAATTAAGCTCCCCTTGAAATTATACTTTGCGTTTGACGCCAGGAGAACGCAGCCTAAGATGCACGAGAAACCTGGGGACAACCATTTTAAACAACGAAACTCAATTTTTGTGTTTTGGACTAACTAATTAAACGGAAATACCATAAAACTCCGAAAATAAGCTCCTCCATGTATAAAGACTAGACTGCAAAAACGGAAACGAACTGAAAAGAAATATATATATATATAGACCAGCTCTTTCTGAAATTAAGCTCCCCTTGAAATTATACTACTCCGAATATAAGCCTCCGGGGGCTTGTACTTGGAAATTGCCCTCAAATACAAAGTAAAACAAAGCAATCACGGTACAGTAACATAGAAATTTTTGAATTTGCCAAGTAACCATTACGTGTGCCAAAAGATGCAGTCAAATAGTTTTACAGTATCTGCTGTTTGTGTGATTCACTCTTCACTCTTGGATTAGATTTCCTCGGTCCATATAAACAAAGAACTTACATGCATATATTGCTGCGTTTTAGCAAGGTCTACGTCCCCAAGGCGAGTTTCAGTAAAACCTTTTAGCAAATTACTGACATAAATTTCCTTCCAACTATAAACTAGCCCAATCGATTTTTAGACGCAGATTTCTTTCCAAGAATAAGCCTAGACGATTTTGAAGCACAAATTTCCCTCCTTATATAAGCCCCTCCAAACATATGCCCCTCACTGGACCTTTGAAAAATACGGTAGGTCATGAAGACCTTAAACATGAGAATTTCCCAATTTCCCTTGGCGAAATGCCTATCGAGGACTCACATTTGAAAGCAATTTATTGTCAAACCCATGTCCATGATTGCTCAATGAATCATTAAAAACTTCTCCACTTTGACATTCAACTACAGCCAAAATTTCAAAGGTAACACTCGAACGCACTTCCTGATCCCCAACTAGAATTGGTTGTGTAATTTTTTACGGCTGAACGGTTTTAAAACAAAAACTCAAAAGTGACCCATTCCTTCATTAAAACCGTTCTCTCCATAAACTCGTTTGATGGCTAAAAATTAGTCTGGAATTGACATCTTAAACTCAACCTATCCGGTGTACTGTAGCACTTTTAAGGAACATCGAGCGAGATTATAGATTTCGGTGAGAACCTTTACTGTACAACGAAAAAATATCTTTTGTCTGCATTAATGGGAATCCGTATTATGTGGCTTGAATTAAGAGAAAATGTAAGGGCTGTCAAGCGAGTTCGACCCTATAATGATTCAATTTGGTTCTGAAGCCACCTCGTCGCTTAATTCCAGCATCGTCCTTTCTTCATCCTATTATGGCTTCCTTTTTTCATAGGCTGATAACGAGCGATTCAATCGTGGAATGCTGATGAACGTTGGTTTCAGTGAAGCAATGAAGGCGGGACACTTTAGTTGTGTGATCTTTCATGACGTAGATTTGTTACCCGAAGATGCCAGGAATGATTACGGCTGCCCTTCATCTCCACGACACATGTCCACTGCAGTGAGCAGTATGGAATACAAGTGAGTTATTGATTATATACACTACGCCGGTTAAAAGATTCCACGACAGGCAAGCACAAACCAAATTCAATAAAGGTCGTTTTGCAATAGAGAAGAGAAGCGATGAAGTCACAAAACGATCTATGGGAGAAAGAACGAGATGAAAACTGTTGTCGCTGCGCTCACTCGTGAAATATTTTTCAACACTCGAAGAGAAATTTCGTATCTCCGCGCGGCCATGTAATATCCTCTATTTCTCTCAATAATGGTGGCAATTGCGGCCCGACCTGAAAGGAAATGTGCCTTTCCCTTCACAATTTAGGCACAGCGGATGTGTTTTATTTCATAAATAAGAACGACTAGAGCTGAAAGTTTGAATTTATCATTTTTAACAGAGAAGATACCTATTTTGCATATCCTCTATTGACAAATGGGACATTCCCAGTATACACTTTGCTTCCCTGTGAATAAAATGAATAACTAATAAAACAGAACATTTCATAAAATGCACCTTTTGGTTCCTCATTGTTTGTAGCCCGAAATGACAGTTTTTCCAATCCTTTCATGCACTTAAACTAGTACAATCCCTGCTCTTTCATATACTGACCTGAAAAAGATACATTTTCGGGTGGAGCCACCCCGTATTAAGGTCGGACGGAGTGACCTCCCCACCCCTAGGAGGAAGGGATTTTGTACTTTTTCAACTTTAAATGCTCATCCTACGTTTTTTCTCATTTTTTTAGCCTCGAGGATACAGGGCATTGACCTGAAAATCACAGACCAGATTTGAAATGAATTTTAAATGCATAGTTTACTTCAAGCGTTTTGTGAACAAGTTTAGTTATAAAGTTTCCGGGTCATTTAACAATTATTCTTTGAAATCGAGGTGAATAGTGGCTAAAAATTTCAGGACTGAGGCGCGAAGCGGCGAGGTAACTATTCCTAAAGCCACTATTCACCGAGAGTGAAAAAAATAATTGTTTTAGTATATACACACGAAGTGATCTCAACAAAATCAGAAAGGAAAGCATTAGAAAGTACGATTTGATTGACGGATCAAATCACGGGAAAGTTTAAAAATACATCTTTGCAGAATTTTCAAAAATGGCAATTCCCAAGTTTAGCACTTCGTAACAACTGCGTAATGGCTTAAATGGAACCGTTAAAAGTTTGAATTGTTTCCTTACCTGAGAAGAAAAGTAGAACTTTGTTGTTTTCTGTTGGCTCGCCAAGTTTATAGCCAAAAGGGTTTGTTCTGTCGTTCTTCGCATGAAGTGGTGACAAAAATGATGGTTCGGTTGCTCGAGGTAAGACATCGTCTTCCTGTACCACTCTTTTTCTTGTTTACTTGAAACGTAGAATTTTCTTGGGCCAATTTTTCTTGTTAGGAAACGCCGAGTTCACGAAACTTCTACGCGAATAAACGGGAGTTGTAAACAATCCATCGAGAACAAAACTCAGCTACAGTAAATGGAAAAACGCTGTTTTGAATCCTTCTAAGTCTTTTCTTGCCTTAAAAAAGGTTAGCCCTAGGATTTTGCCTACTTTTAACAGATCGTTCTCTAAGAAAATTGCAAAAAGAAACCGAGCTTACACATTATCCACTCGCTAGGAGGTGAATATTGTTGAACGATGGCGAACCGATCAGATCACTTAAATCACCATGATCACTGAGTGTGTATATACTAATATGCAATATACATGCAGTTATCATGGCTTTCATAAAATTTATTCACTATTTTTATTCTATTTTTTTTTCTAAAAAGATTAATTTACAAGACTTTGTTTGGTGGAGTAGAGGGTTTCTGGAGCGAGCATTTTCGTACAGTTAACGGCTTTCCCAACCGATTCTGGGGCTGGGGAGGTGAAGATGATGATTTGTTCGTCAGGTTTGTAAAAGGAGTAGTTAATTTGTGCACACGTCAGTTTTAAACACAAAATTAAGGGATACACCTTAACGTGGAAAGGTCTCTGTTATTTATTTATCCTCTATTGGCAATCCTTATTATATATGTAAAATTGCCCTCCAATTATTATCTTTGCCATTGCTCTCGTCGAAACATAAAGGCTTACATACGTCTTTTGAACTTTATTTGTTTTGTAACTAGAATTACGGAGAAGCAACTTAGCCTCACACGGCCTGCTCAGATGATTGGTAGATACGCGATGTTAAGTCATTTGCACACAGAAGACGATAAAAACCCTCAAAGGTTAAAATAGTTTCCTGTTTTTATTATTATTATTATTATTATTATTATTATTATTACAAGATTAAAATTTAGTGAGCCTATTGACTGACCCGCAAATACAGTTTTCTCTTCACGCTCCTGGAAGCATTTTCAACGGTTTAATAATATCTAACCCGTTCCAACTAACCTTTTTTAATGACTTCTTTTTTTCCGATTAGTATAAGTCAACATAAGACAGTATCCTTTTAAAAAAGAGTACAAGAACGAAAAGGCAGGAATATAAATAACTTAAAACTTAACACCTCATCTTACGTGTAATTACGACATAGCACCTTCTGATCCCAGTGCAGAAAGTGATTCTCACCCATCCAAGTTGTAGTACTGAATAGTAGTAGTAGTAGTAGTAGTAGTAGTAGTATAGTAGTAGCTGCAGTTGTTGTTGTAGTTATACTCAAGTGGTTTAAGGCTCAAAGATGTGTTCTGAGGATATTAATCATTGGCAATATCTTTCGCTAGGAGACCTAGAACAAAATGAACTTTTCCCAAAAAGTAAATCTTGAGGTTTCCTTGTGCCTTAACGTTTAACCATTGTCACGTGACACGATACGTGATCAAAGATTGAAAATGAAGGAAATTGGCGAATTGGTGGCGACTAATTTACTTTGTTTCGATAAACAAGTCGATATTTCTAGAAGAGGATAAACATACCTAACTTTATACGTTTGGAATGAATGTACGCGAAGTTTAAAATTAAAGTTTTGAATAATTCAAGATTAAAGTTGGGCATTCAAAATGATGTTTTCCCTCATAATTTTTCATTGAAGCGCAATGGACGGTCATTCCAAACGTGAAGTGTTAATATGAATTAGAAAAATGTTTTTCCCGATTTCTTTTCTTAAACCGGGTACCAATTGGTCAATGATTTACGATTTTTAGCAAAATGGTCACGTGACATATCACCTGACTTATTAACACAATGTTTATTCTTTAAAATGTTAAGGAAGATGAGTTCTTTATGTGTGCCAAATTTTGATTCAGCGCCATCACCTATGCCAACGTTGAAGCCAATTATTCATTTTCCACAAGTCCCAGGCCTTAAACTACTTGAGTACAAGATTGTTGCTTCACTATTTTTTTCTGTTACATAGGTTTGAAGAGTTGAAAGTCAGCGAAACGTTAATCGACGAGGATGGCTTAAATACGCTTACATACAGTGTACGTGACTATCAGGAAATGCCGCTGTACACAATGATATCCGTCTCGCTGAGATAACTTAGGACAGGAGCAGATTAGGAATAATTGCTCTGTCGGCAATTCAAAAACCAAACATAAAGTACGTTTGTCGCGTTTGTCGTCATGATCAGTACGTAACAAGCAGCAGACATGAACATAACTAGAAAGATGATTCATTTATGTTGGAATTTAAGTGTGGAAAGTCAACGGACAATGGGTCACAATGAACAGTTCAGGACTATCGGTCTAGAGACTGCAGTTCACTCAATATATTATTCAATAGATATGCGTTCACACTCGAAAACTGCCGATTTTTCTATTATGTAACATCGAGTAAATAAAGTTTTTTTTTAATGTATTGTGAAGTAAAAAAAGTTGGTATTGTCGACCGGCTTAAGCTTAACTTGTATTGTATTTGACTTCATAACTATACTCCAGCCGCAGTCTTCTTCACGTTGAATTTTTGTTTCCTGGTCTGCTTTAATAAATTCAACCCTGTGCTATCGAGCTGTATCTTGCATTTCTTTCCTTGCAATCTTGAGGACACTGGAATCCAATTCAACTCGGTATATATACACGGCCATTATTATTTTAGAGTCCTCCAGATCGCTGCCATCTTTTGGCAGAAGGGGTCGTGCTTGGTAAAGGGGGTCGTACTTGGTAGAGTTATGTTCTGCCACTTTCGCAGTAATATTTCGTTCCTTATTACAAACTGCGCTTAAGCTAAAAAAAAAAAAAGAAGCAAAGATCAATTTGTTCCTGTTAGTGTTTTGCTCTTATAGTTTTTGTTTATCAATTAAAAGAACTGCATGATGTCACGACTGAATTATGGTGATAATACCGCGTACGGACATCATCTTGTTTAAGTTGAACCTTTAACGAATGACTTATAAGTCCTCTCGATAATAATCAATAGTAATCTATTGCAATCGATAAATCAATCATTATTGATTTCTATCGGAAATTGATATTCCTCAGGGCATGATTGATATCGTTTTCTATTGATTATTATCGATTATCGGCTTATCGATTAACTACATCTGGAGTCATATCTATACTGAATCGGGGTGCACTATGAAGACTTCTCAAGATTGTAAAACGGGAAACGACTTTTTTGGACGTTAATGCTCTTGTACTGTTACTTGCTGCAACCTTTCAATGCTGTGGCTTGTCACTTTAATGACAAAGGCAAATAGTTGTTCAAGTTGTTCGGTCGACGATTCAAATATGATGTAACACGAATCCGACTACAGCTTTAAGGCGGTTTACCCCAACTTGAAACGTTTATATGGCAATATATAATCAAATTAAAATGGAAGATTATATGGACTGGTAGGTTACCCCACCAAAGCGAGATACCTCTAATTCTAAACCTTAGTTTTTTATTTCATTGTCAATAATTTAGATAGCAGTTTACGCCGGTTACCGTCAAGTTGAGCCATTAGCGACATTAAGCTTGTGTCACTGTAACCGTTGTAACAATTGTCAAGGGAGATTGCCTGCCATACGCAGCACAGGCAGCACCATGTAACCCATGTGTTCGGAACTGAAAGTTTATTTTCTGTTAGATTGTTCGGAAGTGTGGGAACTAGGCCCTAAGTTAGTCTTCAGGGGCTCGTACCCCCCTTTGGTTTTTTCGACATGTGTTTTTTCTTGCGTTGTGAATTCTTGTAGTTTGTTTGTCATGTTTATGTTTCGTAAATAGAGATTTACGTAATTAGAGATTTTATGCATCCTTATCCCCTTCTTAGGGCCGCCAGTGTTGTTGCATCTATTGGAAAGGCATCTTACTGGTATTTCGTACCTTTTAAAAGCTGTTTCAGTTTTAAATTTGAAGAAATATTTCTAGAACTTCACACTTGTTTACTTTTATCTTAAGTCACCGGCTACTTGATTTACGTCATAGTTACTTAATCTAAATCACAGCTCCTTTCTTCCCGAAAGGCTTCCGAGAGAAGACTAGCTAAGACGAATGGAGGGCGGCAAATTTGATCGTTTTATTTTTTTTTTTTTCTAAAAATTTCTTAAAATAGTAGTAATCAAGGATTATGGTGATTCGCCTTAGGGAATTACGCTTTCCTAATCAGGCCTTTGATCAGCGAAAAATGTAGAAAAGAAACTTTAGTTAAGACGTTACTCTATGAAATGCTTAAGAAAGAAGAGGATTTTAGCTATGTAGTTTTCTAAGCGAAAGTCGCACCGCGAAATACAAAACACGCCGGGTGTGATGGTATTGAGACGTTATATTACTTGACATGCACGATTTTTTATAACAACTAGAAATAAGCAAAGGTTACGGAGTGCGGGCAACAACGATCGAAGGTCAAAACGCTTTTGCTACATCGCTGTGCTAGTGTGCTTTGCGTAAAATTTACGTGAGAGATAGTCAAAACACGCGTGATCAGATTGCGAGTGATAGAAGGTCCAAATGCTCGTGATCAAATTGCTTTCCGTGCATTCCATTCATTCTTAGTGGAAATCCAAACGAATGCTGGCAACATATATGCGACGCATGCGTAATAACAATCTGGAGATTAGGATTGGGGGCTTCTCTTGTCGCCCGCAATAACCTCTTTTGTCGATTTGCGCTTAGGAACATGTACAGACTGCCCACGAAATCACAGAACACCTAAGGATTCAACGTTGTGTTCAAATCGCAGAGGTTCTCGACGAAAAAATGGATTTGCATAAATTTGCTCATTATATAAAGTGTATGCCTTATATAGCGTAAAATATAGGATTGTGTTGAACTGAATACTGACTAAAAAGAGTGAAACAGGGAAGATACATTAAACCATCATCAACTCAGCGAACCCACTACTGTCTCATTACATTTCTATCCATCTGGACATTCATTCAGTGACGTTTGTCTCAAGCAAACGGCGTGACTCACGGAAAGGCTTGGGAAGCTCACTTGATAAACAAGGAGGACACCAAGGACCCTCACGGAGTAAACAGACGTGATGAGGCATGCTGATCAAAGGTTAAAAAAGGTTAAAGGTTTGTTTATAGTGGAAAGTGCGATTTTCTTATCCAGCTAGTTTACAGGCAACACTCAAATAATTAGAAACAAATAATTCAAATTTAACATAACAGGGTTAGAATTCTTAACTGGCAGGAGGCAGCCAATTGGCTATTTACAACAGTGGCCGGAGCGAGACTCGAACCTGGGACCGCGCCGGATTGCGAGTTCGACTCGCTGAACACTCGGCCACGCTGACTCCTATAAATACATGATATAACCTGATTTAAGCTATAAACTAGTCACCTATACCATCATTATCAGTTATTTTAGATTTTTAAACCTTTAAATATTTGTAACAAACCTCTCAATTTCCATATTAATCCAAAGCAATATGGAACAGTGAAAGGATTTGTATAATAATATAATGATATTAATTTATATAGTGCTATTAGCTATAATCTTTCATAGCGCTTTAAATCCATTATTCTAAGGTAAAAACTAAAAGCTAAAACTACCAATATAAATTTAAAGAGCTAAAAAAATATTAATACAGGTACAAGAAATAAAAGTTAAAATTCTAAAATCTAAAAATGCCAACTGAAGATGGATTTACAGAGAATAAATATGTGGGAGTAAGACTTAAACCAGGCCAATGCAGTTCCCTTCACTCCGAAGCTGTAAGAGTCGAGATATTAGTATTGCATGATCCACCGCATCAAATGCTGCTCGACTTTTTTTATGAAGAGAAAACAAGGAATCATTTCCTCTTCTATTAAAGTATTGCTGTTTCAGTTGAATGAAATACTTTGTATGCAGATTGAAACACCTATGGTTGGTCATAACATGTTTCTTCAATTGAACAGTAGCAGACTTTTCAACCAGCTTAGAGCTACAACTTTGTAAACGGCCGAGATCAGCGGAAGGTTTCTTTAGGGTAGGTGAAAGCGGAGCAATCCGTTAGGGTTTCGGGCATAACACCAGTTGTTACTGACAAATTAACAGTCCTGGTGATAGCAGATAGGAGCGACCGAAAAGCAGCCCCTAAGAAATGATGTCGGCAGAGGATCAAGACAACAAGATCGGACGTCATAGTCTTTTGTGCATCGCTTTTGTGGACTTGTTAAAAAAATCGTTTGACAAGGTGAACCTTAAAATCCTCTTGAAAATCTTGGGCATATCTGGGTGTCCAGTAACAGTCATCAGGATCATGGAGAAACTACACACGGATGTACATACAAGACTCATTGTTCGATGGTGAACTTGCAAGACTTTTTGATAACAACAATGGGCAGATTAAAGGGGTACGAGGGACCGCGGCAGCCCCTTTTTCTGTGAAAATTTATCATCATTATTATTTTCAAAGATTCTCAGAAAAATAAATTATAAAAACTGGCAAGTGTACGGGTACCCCTTTCTGAATTTTTTGATCGCATCCGCCCCTCGGTGCGATATGTCGATCGGCTTGTCGACCGCGGATCGGTCGGTGGTGCCAAGCAATGCTCTTAAGTACACACATCCGAAAGCTGCGTTAGTATTGACTTCATGAGCTCCAAGGCCATGACATGACGTTCCGTAACGTAACTATTGTGGGTTTTTCAACAAAACTTGCCAGATAAAGAGGCTTAAAACAAAACCGGCTAAAGAATGACTTTTCAACAGTTGCAAAAGAAGGTTACGTCCTTACACGACCCTTGATCTATTTTGGACCATTATGCAAATCTCTACATCTTTTAATTAAACATCCAACTTCCATATTTGCTTCCCCCAACCAATCAGCATATTCCGCATGTTTATATATAAGGCTAAAAAAATAAAAAAGGACATTACCCTAGAAACAGCACATAAATAGAGTTCGTTTCTTCGTTTCCTCGGCAGCCTGTTCGTACGATCTAGAGGGTTCACTGAAATGTCTTCCGATGAAGAGAGTTTGGATGAAGAAGGTGCGCCTTATCTTGGTGAATATGAAGGAGAAAGAAATGAAAGTGAAGAGCGTCATGGAAAAGGAAAAGCAAAGCTACCAAACGGTGACGAATATGAAGGTGAATATTTACACGGCAAGCGGCATGGACAAGGCACTTACAAGTAAGTTTGGCTATAAAATGTACACGGTTGACAGACAATGTTTTCGTTCTACAGTAGAACCCCGCTCTACGGACACCCGCATATAACGAACAGTTTATATAAAGAGTTTCTCTAAAACTAACCCGCTTAATACGGACACCGCCGTTAATATGGACAACGGACATTTTCCTGTGTCCCGAGTCACGAACTCCCGCGAACACATCCTCAACCCCGCTTTACGGGACTGTTTTTCTGCGTACCGCCTATGAATGAACATTTTACCAGTGAAAATCTAACAGAAACGGCGAATGACCTTTTAAAGGATCTGTCTCACATCCAGTCCAGTCCACCTGGCTCAGTCGCAGACTAAAACTGTCATTATAACGTACAGTAACGGATTCCATTGTCGTGTTTCACGAACAACACTTAAAATGTCATTTACGTCCGAGACTGATAAATGATCGTGAGGTTTCTTTGGGATAATCTTCTTGTAGTCATAGTCAAAATGTAGTGAAGTTGTCTCCTTCATCTTTACTGATTACGATAAAACATGTATCCGTGACCTTTTTTGTGACAGCCCGCTTAATATGGACACCCGGTTAATATGGACACTGTGGTATGTCCTCTAGGTGCCGGGTTCCATTGTATTTCTTCCTCCTCGAACAATAGAAGCAAAAGCTTTGCAAGTCATAGACAGTCAGCGACAAACGATTAAAAAGTTGTTTTGTAACTAAAAGAACAAGAACAAAAGGACAAACATTCTTGCCACTCATCGTCAGACAAGAAGTTCATAAACTGCTAAGACAACCGCAATTCCAGTTTTATTCTTTTAAGAAGTTAAATAATTCTTCGTCGAACCTGAGAATTGACGATTTCGGAGCCGAGAGATATCAGTTCACATTTTGAAAGATAAACTGGATATACAGATAAATTTAAACGGCGAATGACCTTTCAAAGATCTGTCTTATATCCAGTTCAGTCCACGGCCGGGCTCAGTCGCAAACTAAAACCGTCATATATAAACCTCAGTAACGGATTCCACTGTCGTGTCCTGAGAATTGACGATTTTGGAGCCGAGAGATAGAAGTTCACATTTTGAAAGACAAACTGGCTATACAGATAAATTTATACCACAGGGCTATGATGTTCCATAAGCTACGATATAGTTACCAACAGCGAGACCTTGCGAAAGTCAGCAAAAAGGCTATCCCTCAGTCTTTAAAATGCATTTTTTAGATTTCAAGGCGGAGGAAAATATACAGGAAGTTACATGAATGGGATTAAGCATGGAGAAGGTACCTTCGTCTACCCTGATGGCTCCAAATATGAAGGGTACTGGGTTAATGATGTGCGTCAGGGCCATGGAAAATACACGTACCCTAATGGAGACATTTACGAAGGGGAATGGGCTGAAAACCAGCGGCATGGCCATGGTGTATACAGTTATGCAGTTACCGGCTCAAAATACAGCGGGATGTGGGTACACGGAAAGATGGAGGACGCGGGAGAGTTGATTCATGCTAATCATCGTTTCGTCGGTTGCTTTCAACAAAATCAGCCTAAAGGTAAAGGCAAGTACATTTTTGACCACGGCTGTGAAATGCGTGGTACTTATGAACTTGCTGAAGTTGTCCTGGAGCCAGATAACGAGGAAGAAGAATCTGTTACTATTTTGGAGCCAAAATGGAGAATACAAGAACTGGTGTCTATTGATTAAACCCTCATAAGAATACGTTCATATCGCGGATTAAGTACCCATAAAAGGTTGAAATTACTCTTGAAAAGAATCAACAATCACCAAAGTCCCAATAATCTAAAGAAAGCTGATGCTGTTTACATTCAAGATAGAGGTTTTAATAGTTTTGAAGATAATATCATAAAACTACCAGTTGACAAAACAAAATGGACTGATTTTCTGGCTAGAAACGGAGCTTTTAAACTTGATTTTGATTTGAATATTTGATTTCGTGTCCGGAAAGTCACTGGGAGTTTCGAAAAACAGGCCCCGTAAGACGAGTTGTTTGAAGGACAGATCAGACAGCCCAGAGCAAGGGCTAGTTTGCATAAAAACTCAAATTAGATCAGCAGTTTATCCAGTATTAGAGATACACACCTCAGCAATATCGATCTCAATCCACCAAGTTCCTATAAACGAGGTACAATATAGTGCACAGCCCGCGCCCTTAATATTTTTCAGTGACAAAATAAAAGCGTCATTTTTTGAGGTGTGAACGTATAGTCATGAGATCAACAAACCAAAACTATCCCAGAGTGATATATGACACTTTCGTAACTGACGTAACCGAGACAGTTTCATTACTGGCACGAGCTGAACACAGACTGACAAAATCGTAAGATAAATTCCACAAAGAAACAACAACAACAATGGCTTGGTACAAAACTCAAACTTGCATTTTATCTTAATTACTTTTAAATGCTTTTTTTTCTTTTACATCTTTTCCTAATTTACATCTTTGAACCGCTCGCTGCTTTTTACATGTTTTTATAATTTAAGCCACACCCCATTGAGACCCTCGCATAACGGCAGGCATACTCAAAAAAACTGAGCTTCTGCATCCATACACACAGGAATGACCTGAATATGCATCTTCAATTAAATATTAATAAAAAAAATTTCATAATTCACCTGATTTTTTTAAAGTATTGCCCTTATTATGGGATATCAAACAAAACGTGGATCATGCAACAGAATTTTTGTATATTAAGGCTTTTCCCTGTATTCCCGAATAAACCAGAATTTATTACTTTTAGTTACTAAATACTGTAATTCATTACACCTCAAAAAAGTATTTCCTCTTTATGGCGATGCACCAAATCGATTTTAAATTCAGTGAGCTTAATGCCGCATGTGACTCTACGCTCGCAGTGCCCTCACGGATTTCTCTACAAACTTGATTCTGTTGACGAGTTCTCTGCAGTGGCTGCAAGCGTCTCTTCGTCATCTTCATTTTTGTCAGCGTCATGCTTTATTAAATCCGGGAGATTGGGTTGTGATGTCTGTTCACAGGTGCATTCACAGGAACACGATAAATCTGTTACATGATCATGTACTGCGTCGGTGACGATTTCCTCAGAATTCTGTAAGCAAGATGTTATTTAGTGGTGTAGTTATTAAAGCTCGCGACGCAGAGGTGATCTCACCCTGGCCAGTAACGTCTACAACGCAGCGTCAAGATCCTTGTTCTGGACCGACAATGGACTCAATGAATTACCAGGGTTGCAAAAAAGCGAGGCATGGAACCATAGTATTCAAGTGCAATGGTTATGAAACCCGTTAGACTCCTTTTTTATATGTTTTTGTTAGCTTTTTTGGACCTCTTGACCGTGAACAACGTTCAATAGCATTCCTATCATTTTGAACATAGTGACCAATAAAACTTCGCAATAATTTATTCAGTCACAATTTGTGAACAAAAATCAAAGGATTGTGTACGCCCAGGGAGTTTCAACATAAACTACAGCACCGTTGTTTTAAATTTCAAGTTTGTTATTTACCGGCTTTCATAACTTGTCTCCTCTACTAACTATGATGGAACTATAACATCCTTTCGTTTTACATAATGTTTAGAAAAGATTTATCATTCATAATTGTTATAAGTGATTTAAGAATTGTAATTTTGAAAGAAACGAATCTCTCGAATAAACGACGCAGCAGAAACGCTAACAATTTGATAAACGCCGCGATGTTCAATCGAACAAATACGGTATGCAGCATCGTATCTCACCTTCAAACTCTGAACTTCATCACAGTCAGCACTGTTCTGCGCATGCGTGTCTGTTAAATTTTCAGCGATCTGCCTTCCTTCGCTGTTTCGCTCACAGTCATCTTCTGGAAGTTAAGAATTGATTTTAAAAAAATTACTCCTAAATACAAGTAAGCACTGACTCTTTTCACTTCCTTCCGACTTGAATGTTTTTCTAAAATTAATAACATTGAAGAATCCGAACTTCAGTTGGTTGTTGATCTTATCAGGTCAAACCGACGACGAAAGTAAAAGAAATATCAAGCATAACATGTTTAGTCTTACCAGTTATCCCGTACATCTGACTCATCTTTATAGATTGCCGTAAAGCAGTATATTCTGGTCCTGTCATGACAGTAGTCCTCCTTTTCACGGAGTTGTCTATGGTGACCTTAAAAAAAAATACAGCTTCAAATTACATCACTCCTGGTGGTGTAAGGCAGCTGTCGTCATACAGTTCTGAAAGGTCGACGTGTACCTATATTGCTTGCTAAATGTATTATACCGCAAAAGGGGCTTTTGAAAACGATAGGGAGGGAAAATTCACAGGTAAGACTAATCTGCTGAACTGCAGACCGCGGAACCGAGGAACCGCGGAACCTACGGAACCAGTGGAATCCACGGAACCTAAAGACACATGAATGTTTTATTACAACTGCCTTTGGCTAACGTGATAAAATAATTAGTGGCAATTAATTTTTACAATGACTGAGCGATTTCTCACCCTCTGATTGTTCGAGAGCTTTTGTCGATAACGGTAGAGACCATTGAAAACTGTTGTCGATTTCGGTTTAGTATCACTGATGGAGAGCTCTGGTGCCGAAACAGAAAGTCCTCGAATCGCAGACTTCCGGCTTGTTAGTAGTCGTCGGAAGGAAATGAGAGGTATAGATTTAAACACAGTAGGACGAGAGAACGATGAAGGTATTATTGGCGCATGCAGTCACTTCTAGTAACCGCTCTACATCCACCATACACAAAGAATCTTTGCGACCTCCTCAAATTCATTCTCACTATAAACGTATATACTACACTTAAAGGGCGGAAGACGGTTTGGGAACCCGGAGGCCCGCTCTCTCGGTACAATTGAATCCATTTACAAACTGGCTGCCACTGAAATTAAAGTGAGCGCTCTATTTCAACGATCTTACGGAAAAAAGGGGACTGTGAACAGTCTATCAACGTTATAATCAATTGCAACTAATTAGTTCATCACTTTACCTAAAGGCAATTGTAATAAAACAGTCATTTCTTTAGGTTCTGTAGGTTCCGCCGGTTCCGCGGTCTGCAATTCAACAGATTAGTCTCACCCAAAATTCACCTTGCCTAGAGCAAATAATGCGAAGAACTTGGAATAAAATCTGTCATAGACTTAGTAGTTAAACCAGTTCAACCAGTCTGCTCTCTCTATCTCGAAACACAGCTGCATTATTCCTATTCCTGTCAAAATTAGCCTCATTTTGTTAAAAGGAGGAGGCCTTTTACTAATTATAAAAATATAGAAATTACATATTTTATTCACCACTTCACCAGTTTCCATGCAGCGGATGCATGGGGTTCCAATCGTAGTCAGTCCGCGTCGAAGCTACTTACTACGAAGTTTTGAGGCAAAACCAGTAAAATACCTTTGGTAACTCCACATTTGATTGTAATGTACTTCTTCGCATTTTATCCGACGCCTTTGAGCGGCTTATTGAATCAGACTTGCTCCACCATGGCCGAGCCACACCGTAAGCCATCGCTCGTGTTTGACAGCGGAGAAACCGTAAGTACTCTGCACGCACCTATAAAGAAGACGAGGTTTTCGTAATATATACCGGGGCTAAAAGCGAAGCTTTCTACGTAAACAAAAAATAAAATCGTGTAATGCTGAACCGCGACGGCAACAACAACGACAAAAAAATTAATAAGTCTCAATAGCAAAAAAAACGAACTTTGCACGTGCAGCACACTTCTTTTGTACATTTCTTTGTCGCTGTATTGCACCGACTAAGGACCTGTTTACATGAAGGTGGGGGACCCCAGGTAGGTGAGGTAACACGTGGCGGGTTACCCCACCTAACATGTAAACGTGATCACATTAAAATGAGAGATTGTATGGACAGGCGGGTTACCCCACCTACGCGGGTTACCTCACCTACCTGGGGTCCCCCACCTCCATGTAAACAGGCCCTAAGGCTCTGTCCACACGTATCCGTATTCGTTTGAAAACGAAACTTTTTTTCCCTGTTTTCAAAAAAATTCGCGTCGTAGCGTTTTCGCATCGTTTTCGCCCGTCCACACGTAGACGATGAATCGATTTGAAAACGATAACTTACCCGACTACGCATACTTGACGCATACGTGTTCGCTATTAAGAGCCCGCGAAATAATAAATTGGCGCCACCTTTGAGATTCTTTGGTGTGGGCTTTTTTTGTTGTGACGTTCTTCATAGTTGCAGAAACAGTTTAAAATGTCAAAATCAGCGCAAAAACAATGTCAAACTAAAGGGAGATCCAACCTTCTGCCTCTTGACACTGGTAGCGAAAGTAACCTGATAATGTTTTGCCGCCTCCTGGAATAATCAGCTTGAGGAATTAAAAAAACTAAATTTGCTTGAAAACTAAGCAATTAGGTTAGAAATAAGCCCAAGTATAAAAGACAAGAAAGGGAAGTGCCCGTCCACCATCTTTAATAAGTTTCTAATAATGGACGGAGTGAATTGGAACTGATAGTGTGTCCTCAGCGTTTTCGAAAAGTTCCGTTTTCGTCTGTCCACACGTACACGCGAAAACAGCGTTTTCAAAAAGTTCCACTTTGGAGAGCGTTTTCGAAAAGTTCCATTTTCATTGATCGTTTTTATCGGACACGTGTGGACGGAAACCCTATTCGTCAAGAAAAAGTTGCGTTTTCAAATGAAAACGGATACGTGTTTACAGGGCCTAAGGCCCGGTCCACATGTATCCGTCTTCATATGAAAACGCAACTTTTTCCTCACAAATAGGGCTTCCGTCCACACGTGTCCGATGAAAACAGGCATAAGGCCCGGTCCACACTAATGCTCGTTTGAAAACGCATACATTTAAAAGCGCTCTTGAAAGTGGATCAAAACCTAAACGCATACATATCGTATTAGTGAGGACAAAATGGGTCGAAAACGCATCAAAATGAAAACCATGACCGAAAAAATCGCAAAGAGTTCAACTTACGTCACAACGTGCGATTCTACGTATACCGTTTTCGAACGTTTTTGTGTGGACGGTCGCAAACGAATCAAAACGGTAGTGTGGACGCAAATTGATGGATGCGTTTTCGATGACAACGAAAACGAATTTATAGTGTGAACAGGGTCTAAAACGTAAAACTTCCTAATTGCACGTGTTATGGAGGAAATGCCGTATTTGATCACAAAACAGTTTGTTGCTTGTGTCCCGGACCTTTTTTTTTCTTTTTCACTCCCGCTCGCATTTCTCAATTTCTTACCGCAGCTACAAAAATGTCATGTGGTTCTTCCATCAAAAATTCCTTTCTTCTGCTTTTTATCTCTCGCTGTAGCTTTTTCTCTGTTATACGTCTCAATGTAGACATCAAAATTTAGTGGACAAAAAAAATCGGCTTTGTTGTTTTTTTTTCTCTCTCTAAAAGTTCGGTTAGCCGTGCGAGTGTAAACGTGACATTTGACATCGGCTTATTTGTGGGTGGTAGACGGACGTATGTACATAAGTACGTACGGACGGACGCAAGCACGGACGCAAGGACGAAGGTCACGTGATAACCAAAATACCTCGGATCCATAGGTTACCATTTTTTCTTACCCACAGTGCTCCGCTGCGCACACGCGAGAGCGTTCCGCTACAAACGTTCGATGCATTAAAATGTTAACATGACTCTGAGGCTTTCTGATCATCTTTCTACGTTTGGTTTGGTTTTCTTTGTGCTCAAGTCTCTTCTGGGAATTGTGAGACAATGAAATTGTCAAAATTTGCATATTTTTCCCCTAAGCCTCGGAGTCATGTTAAAATTTTAATATATCGAACGTGGGCAATTGGCTTTATTGGTAGAAGTAAACTCTGTTAAAGCACAAGAAAAAATATTCATGTTTCTCGAATAGATTAAAAACCTGAAAACAACCTGCCTTGTTGCTTGTACATGCATAAGGGCGCGGATCAACAAAACAACAAAGCATCGAAGTATTCGCCTATCGTTTCTTACCTTTTCATCCCCAATGCAATGGAATAAAAATATCAATAACCCCTGTGAAACAAATTTTAAAAACTCACTGTTAAACTTCATACATTCAATGAGTAGGGCACATTTAATTAGTTTAGAGTTGTTCATAATATGCTTGGAGCTTAATCGCTTTTTTCCAGCCAACTTCAAATTAACGAACTCCTCTGCAGAGCACACCCTCATATTTTTTTTTATTTTTGTATTTCCAGTATTATATCACGATGGGTAGTTTCCATTTTACCCTAGAAAAAGAAAACGTTCCACAAATTTATAAATTTCTCACCTGAAGAGTGTTGAATATATTAAAGAGATACGCCATGAACATGGTGTCTTCATTTACCACAAAAACACCAACAATCCATGTTAAGCCAAGAAGACAAGAAAGTAAGGCACAGCCTTTTGACCAGTATCTATTACACATGCAAAACAAATCATCATATTAGATTCATCATCAAATTGCCTAATCATCTTTTCTCCTTAAAAAAGTTTTGCCCAGATTACCCCACCTTTAATCATTAATGCTAAAAGTCCCTAATCACTTGATTCGATTTATTACTGAGATGTCGTAAACGCCTCTGCAAGCCAGCAATTTCTTGGGTTTCTGACTGAGAAATGATAAAAACAACATGACCGACGCATACAGCACTGCAGAAGCGAGACATTAGACAGTTTTTAAAGCTTCACGTATACGGCAAACGGCAAACGTCAGATTCAAGTTGAGAATTTCTCAAAGCAGAAAATGAGCAGATAAAAACAGCTCAAAACAATTCTTAAGGATAAAAAAAATTGCGTGAAACTACTAATATATGTGTATTATGTATCGGTCAAATCGAAGCTTCAACATGCCCCCCCCCCCCCGGGTATACCCCGGGCATTTGACACCTTTGCCGTCCCGGGGAGGAGGGAATTTGATTATCAGAGTCTTCCAGGGGGTGGGGAATTTGATCCCCATGCTTTAGGGGTGGGGAATTTGAACTGAACCCTCGATTTCATGTAAAATCTTTGGCGTGGCGAGCTATCATGGGGGACGCGGTGTTAGACGATTTTCGTGGAAAAGATCGTGCCTTTGTGGCGAATTGGTTACGAGGAAAGGGCTTAAACAAGCTTTGTGCTGTATTTGAAGTATTTAAATTTTAAAATTTTTAATACTGGATTCAGGCTTTGAATGTATGAATGTATTTTATTGCTGTGTTTTATACAATGAAATACAATACCTATACCGGCGATTCAATACAACAACATAAAATAAAATAAAATAAAAAGCTCAGGTCAACTACTTTGACCTACTGCAAGTATGTTAGTTAATAAGGTGAGCTATGATGCATATCAGTGAAATGGTCATGATGTAGTAATCTCAATAGATGGGGTCTTTTTTAATAGAACGCTTTGAGCATTCAGTGACCTTGTAGCAGCGATTTCCGCCGCTTTGTACGAGACTTTAGTTCGTAGTAAATACGCTAACAGTGTTTCTCAGTTTTTGTTATATTTATAAAGATTTTGTTCGACAACTGAAGGCGTTTCCGCCGTCCCTCTGGCAGTTTTGTGCCTGTGAAACGTCCCCGGGGTGGGGGCATTTGATCACCTGAATGGACCATAGTGTGGGGCATTTGAACGGCATTTTGGCCCGGGTAGGGGGGAATTTGAACAATAATTTTCAAAAAAGTCAAATGCCCGCGGGGGGGGGCATGTTGAAGCTTCGATTTGATCGATACATTACTGTAATGAACAGTAAACGACAAGATTCGCAGTGGCCGTTTGACGTAAACGTGGTGCTTAACCTCTCTATTGTGGTCCCATTATGGCTCTTGATGAGACGTTTTAGTCAATCTTTTTGTCTTTTCAGTCCATGTTCTGTGTCCCTATATAAACGGCATTTTGAAATCACTTGTTATCCCAACAATCTGATAATGGCTCTCAGCAGTGTGATTTATTCACCAATCGCACTATTTTTTGCTTTAAATCACATCTGTTCTAAATCGCATCTTTTAGCTTTAAATCGCAACATTTCTGTTTCATACGAAATTACATGTTTTAAAAAACGTTTCCGATTCCACTTTTCAACAAACCGGTTTTTTTAGTAAACATAGTTTTCATGAAATTAACACTCTCACCTACAATAACTGGGGTCCTTAATGTAACATTACATATGTAAATTTCTTTACCTTATTTTTTCAAAACTCGTGTCAGTTTTCTTTACTCTCCCTCGACTTGACATGACCATAAAGGTCTTTACCAAACAAATGAAATTAAACTGCAAACAGAATTGATTCGCAGGCTTAGTTGCGAGTAAATACCTCAATTTTCTACTAAAAGTTAGACAACATAATTTAAAATATAACGTACCTGATAAGAGTGTTCATCGTTATTTAACGTTTTTTAAAAAGTACAAAAATGATTATAGTTCTATCCAAGGAATCCTCTCTTGATCTGTCCTAACTCTTGCACAGTGGCATTCCACCATACCACCACTACATTATTTAGGCCACTGTTTTCTGACAAAAACTAAGTCCAATAACTTTCTATTCTACAAAATCGCCAATATGATCAAGCCTTTATGACGAACACAGACCATCCCTTGGAGACTGTATAGTCGCTATACCCTCCTTGAACCGAGCTAATAGGATCAACTGAAAGTCCGGTGAGACCAGTTGGTAAGAGAGGAAAGCACCAAAGTCTTATCGCGCAAAGTTCCAGTAATTTATGAGCCAACCATGGGAACAAAGGCAGACTCACCAGACAAACAAGAAGTACGGGTCCTACAAACGCCCAGATAAAATACCCCTTAATCGACAACCAACAACTGCAAAAAAATAAGCATTATAAAATCAGTTTTCCGACGTGTCAGCAACTATAGCTTCAACTATAAATAATAAAAGACGATCATACTATGCCACCGATGTAAAAAAGCTAACAAATCAAGGTGAAAAATAAATAGAGACAATATAGCTGACAACCTCGGAATGATCAACGTGGCCTGGTTCTAGGCAAAGTCGCCAGCCCGTCTTCTAGGCAAAGTCGCCAGCCGGTCATCATGTAAGTACTTTATTGCTAGTTAAGAAAATTCTCACACCCCTAATGCGGATGGGTCAAAAAGACTAATACCGGTGCTAAAGTACAAAAATCGGCTTACAACTCTCTCGTGCCATATCCTTCGTGAAATAAAATAGTGGAGCCAGCCACTATAACAGCAGGTATTCCTGTAAAGTAACGATAGACTTAATGTTTAGCTCGAAATTAAAAAAGAAATTATTGTGATTTTTTCGGCATAAATTCCATGTTATTGCCTTACTGCGCTTTTCACAAACATGCGAACTCTAAAGTTCAAAAGACTCCTTCACAACTGTGTCTTTCGCTGCCGTCAATCATAATTACGATCACTAGCAACGAACCTTGAAACACAGAAACACACAAAACGGATCGAAATCCACCAATCACAAATCACAAACCATGACCTTTTGAACCCGTTAAAGTAAAGTTTTGTTTCCTAAGAGGTCCGTTAAGATGAATGACGGCAGCAAAAAACGCGATCGTCTGTTGGCTTTTGAACTTCAGAATTCGCATGTTTGTGAAAAGCGCAGTAAATCTGCTCTTAAAAACGCGTTTCTTGGAAAAAAAAGTATTACACGGCCACCTCGGTAATACAGTCACCTCGTTATTACGGCCACTTTTTTGGCCGCCGGGCAGTCTGTCTACTTTGAATTGAATACACTTTCTTGCAAAAAAACCCTTATTAATACGGTCACCCGTTAATACGGCCAAATTTGTTTGGTCCATTGGTGACCGTATTAACGGGGTTCCACCGTATTTCCAACAGGAAATCAGCTTCTTGACTTCTTTAACATTCTCAGTTCTTCGGTACAGTCAAATCTCATCTAACGGCCACCTCGGTAATACGGTCACCTCGTTATTACGGCCACTTTTTTTAGCCGCCCGACAAAACGGCCCTACATAATAACTTGCAAAAAAACCTCGTTAATACGGTCACCCGTTATTACTGCCAAATGTTTTTGGTCCATTGGTGGCCGTATTGACAGGGTTCACTATATAAGGGGTGGGTGAGGGAAGTAATTCGACGCAACAAACAGGAAATTTGTGGCGAGAGCAAAGAAACGCTTGCAGTAGCGGGGGAGATACCGGCTCTAGATCCTTATTCTTCGCACAGCGAAACGAAGTGAGGTTTCTTAAACACAAACTGTATTAACTCTCGAGTCAATTTTAAACCGCTCCAAATCTCAGTCAAACTCGAACTCAACCACAGTCAATCAATCGAGTATTCTGAAGGCACTCACCCCAGCCGCATAGTAGGAAAACAGCTTTGTCCCTGGCAGGTCGACTCTTGCTCCGAAAGATTTTGACCAGCATCAAATACAGGACGACTCCCTCAAGGGCCATCCAAGCAAATGATACCAGGAATAGATAGTGCATTGTAATGGCAATAGCTTTACAGACAATCTTTGAAAATATTAAAAGAAATGTGATTAAGAATAATATCCAGACTGAAATAAGTCAATCGTCATAAAGGGAATTCTCGTCCTAAGTTCAATCAGTCGAACACAAATGGCTTCTGCAGCAACAAGAAGTATATTCTAAGTGAACTCCTGGGGCCAAGGATCGGAAGTTTATCTATTTATCTTTCTTTTTGGGGGCCATTTAATCAACTGAATAGGATGACAGAAATTTAAAATATTCAAAATTTTTTCTCCGTATCTGTTGTGCGAATTTTCAGAACAGGCCACAAAGTTACTTTTTCCCATCTTTGGGGCTCTCCATATAGAGCAACAGGACACTCAGACAGCACCCAGATCCCTTTGAATTCTAAAACTCTTCCTCAATCTTGAAGATGAGAATAAAAACATGAATAATTTTTTCTTTAACTTTTCTACGATTCATATATGTTATTCCAATAAGCTCCAAGAAGCAATTCCGACAATTTTCAAAAGTCAAGAAATAAGTACTTATTTATTATCTATCATCTTGCGATCAATACAACGGCTCTGTCACCTATGACTGCTTAAACGAGAGGACAGCAGTGACTACTACACGAGAGAGTATAGCAAAGACTGCAAGAGAAGTCTACATAGGAAGTTACCTTATGTGTTGTCTTGCTAACACCAAACAAAAACAAAGTTTCCGCCAAAACCAAAGATAGTGCTAGATTTGCGTGAACGAAATAACGCTGCTGTGTATTCCTAAACCTGCAAAATATAACATCATCTGGGCAATCGAATGAGTTCCTCGGATGATATCGTGAATTGGAAAGGGGAACCTTTTAGCGCTGAATGATAGAACTCGATCGAATGGTAAGAAATAGACTTGGTCTCTTTATCATTGACTTACCTCAAAAAGGTGAAGGTTAAAAAGGATAAACTCAGTGCCACGATGGAAATGCTGATGCCGATGTACGAGATGAGACTCAACGCAAAGGAGTGTTGCTTCTGGGGGGAAAGAAGGCAGAAAAACCTAAATATGTTTTTTTTCAGTTTTTTTTAAAGTAGAGTACAATATAAACGATACTGGTAAGAGGGGATATGGGAGAGAGGTCGGCTGATCCCAAGCCCCACTCGGCAGTCCACTGAGTGAATTTGTCTCTTGTTAGTCCCCAGTGACCTTCTTGGGTCATACTTGGGTCGTTCGTGTAAATGGAAAAATAATTTGCCACCTGTCATTTTGAATACGTTATTAGTCCCATCAGAAATCATGTTTGCTAGCTTTCCAAAGCTTGTTTATTCTTTTTCCAGCTAAAATTTCGGTCTAGCTACCTTCGTCTATTTTTTGTGCTTTCGCTGAACTGAAACCTCCTTCTGACATCCGAGTCTTTTGAAAATTGCATATTCTCATTCACCTTTCCAGTCGTAGTGAGTATTAATAGTGTAAAATTCTTTGAGCATTACTCACAACACTGTGAATTTTCCAGAATTTAATATAAAGACATTTTTTGTCAATTTTTCGTTCCTTCACTAGTATCACGTGTCCCTGGTAACTATTTTTGACAGGTATATTTGGTCAGAGCAACATCAATTGAACATTTTTCTATTATTTTTATTATCATCATCATCATCATCATCATCATTATTGTTGTTATTATTACTTCTGACCCTGTTTCGGCACCTAACCGGCATAACTGACGAGGAATCTACACTAGTGGCGCTATTTCGATGGCGCCTCATTCAAATCAAGTCAGATGACGTCAGCTGTTTCAAAGGACCACCTTAGGCTGCGAGCAAACGGACGCAACAACTCCCGACATTGTTGCGCCAACTATTTTGGGAGTTGTTGCGTGCGTGTCGTCAGTGGTGTGCAAGCGGATGCAACAACTCCCAACATTGGCACGGGGCAACAATGTTGGTCAACAACTCCCAACATTGTTGGACATTTTGCGTCCGTTTGCACACCGTGTTGCATGTTCTTGGATGTTGTTGCGTGTTGTTGCACAGTTTGAAACCGGTCAAACTTTTCAGCCAACAACTCCCAACATTTCTTTTGTTCCGTGATCGCCGAAGCGTAGCGAAACAATGTTGGATCCATTTGCACAGCTCTTCCAACACTGTTAGGGCCACGCACGCTCATTTTGCATGGTTTACAGGAGTTATTGCATCCGTTTACACACCACTGCGAACACGCAAGCAACAACTCCCAACATTGTTGGCGCAACAATGTTCAGAGTTGTTGCGTCCGCTTGCACGCAGCCGTAGTAATCCTGCCCATTTGCGGTTCATGACGGAGCGTAAAGGTCAAGTGTTTGTTGATGAGCGAGCGATTATCGTGCAGTTGCGATGGGTTTTGTGGAGCCAGCGAGCGAGAGGCCGGAGCACATGTAACCTGCAGATTAGCCGATGGCACTTTGGAGCGGAATCGTCGATTATTCTCAAATTTATAGCTCTTCGCGTGGAGTCGCGTGGAGACGGTCCGTTTTTTTGTAGCCAGCATTTAATTCTCCTATGTGGATAGTACCTAATATTGCAAAACTTGACAAAATGCCACTTTACCCGGCAAGGAAAGACAAGGAGACGTTCAGTTATAAAGGAATGTTATAAAGGAATGAAGGAGATTCGACGACTCATCCCATTTTGTCCATGTTATTGACACGCACTACGTCTGGGTTGCCTGTAATTTCACACGTTATGCGAAGAAGATGTGGCCGAATTGCTGCCTCAAAAATTTACAAAGAATACACGATCTATAGACGACAATTGAAGAATAAGTGCTACAGTAAAATTCATCATAGCCTGCGTGGCAGGCGTTAAAAGGGGAAGGGGAATGGGGGATTTGGGCGCGCTGTCTTGCGCCCTAATTCCCTTCCCCTTCCCTTCCGAACGCCTGCCACGCGAGCTAAATTCGTCAATATCCTAAAAATTTTCAGGAACAGGAAATTTAAAGATTGGAATTATTTTGATTGAATGAGAAAACAATTATTGAAACCGGCTTTTGTGCAATATGAAGAATTATGCAGTCTACGAAGCGAGGCCATCCGCGCTCGGCTGATAACACGCACCTAGATCTGCAAAATTTCACATATCATAGGAAAGCCGAATTCAATAAATATTAAGTAATAGCGGAGCTCCGCCGCCGAGCTTGGGCGGAGCCCCATAGCTAAGGAAATGTGGTAATCTACCCATCCGAGAAAATTTGGTAATCACGTGACCGTACACCAGGCGACCGAGCGACCGAGCGAGCGACCGTCCGTCCGCACCACATGCATACCAATGTAAAATAACTTCAACAACAGGTATGGCAACGCAAATGCAACTCAAGGTTTTATTTGGAAGGTAATCACAAGGCCGCCCGGACTTTTAGAAAGAATAAACAACAACAAAGTCGTATCTTTTTCGGCGTTATTTTTTATGTTTACACTAACGTGGATAACAGAGAAAGGGCTAGAGCGAGTTATTGAAAACAAAGAAGGCGAATTTCGTAGGAAGAAAAACATGGAAATTGAAAGCGGCGGTGAGAAAATGAGAAATGCTTGCGGCCAGCAAGATGAAAATGAGCGGCAGTGAAAAATAAAAGCGAACATGAACACAGGAAACAAAATATTGGGTAAGCACATACGAAAATTCCTCCATAAAACTAATGTGTAACTAGGACGTTTGACGTTTTAGTCGTACAAAACAGCGTTGTAGTCGTGCAAAACAAACGGCAAGGGAAAGACAAAAAATCGTGCTTTTTTGCTAATTAGAAGAAAAAGTGTGCTGCACGTGCAATTTGTTTTTGCTAATTAGATCTATTAGTCTTGAAGCCATTTTCATTGTCGTCCCCGTCTAGCTTTAGACTATTTAATTTTTTTTTGGTTTACACGTATTATTAACCAGAGCTTTGCTTTTAGCCCCGGCTAAATCTATATGTTACAGCATGCAATGTGTTTTATACGGTATTTACGCACTATTTTGTTTTGCACTAGTATTCTCACTCGTTCGCTGCTCTCACCCTTTTGACTAGTGATGTCTCAACGGGTACTTCCTTATGAGAGGCTAATGGGGATGTGCCGCTGGATGGGGTCGCATTTTCATGACTGGATGGACTATAATGGGGTCGCATTTTCAATTTAGAGTTACTAGAATGGGGTCGCACATTTTCTGATTTTTGGGGTAAGACAGTTCTTCATATTTACGGTTAGAAACGTACCAGAATGTTTGTACTGTAGGTGGAAAGTAAAGTGTTCTTTATTCAACATAAGGCAGATACATATTAGAAACTGACGAAGTTGGGATCGAGAAAATTACGGTTTTGACCAAAAGTGACTAAGATGGGGTCTATATTGGCCACAGAATAGACTATAATGGGGTAGGGGCTCTGAGAGGCCAGCGGTACATACCCAGCAAAAATTAACCCAAGTATCCCCGCCCCTCCCCCCGGGTGTCTCAACAACTCGTGAGAAAATGCCGTAGTCACGACTTTCCATGAACTGCGGAAAAGCACTGCACATTTCAGATTCTGGTATTCTTAGCAAGAAAATTTGGCTCATCCTCAGTGTCAGAACCTGTAAAACTCACGAAAAACTTTCCATGAACTGCAACACAATAGAAAAAAAATAATAGCTAGAGCAATTGTTTAAATAGCAATTACCACTGCGACGATCACATCTTCATTTAAAACTTTTTCACTAGTAAACAAGGTTTTCGAGTCGCTTATTGGAACTTATTTAGATATTGTCGAATACAAGGCTACCTTGACTTACATATAAACAAAACTTACCATGGCCTTCAGTGTTTTCTGGATGCTTTACGCGCATCAGGACAGCAAAGCTCGTCAGATGATAACAATGACATGTTGTATGACTGGAATTCTTATTAGCCACGCGGCATCCAGTGTCTGACCAGAAGCCATGTGCACTGTATGCGGACAGAAAAAAGGTACAGTCAAACTTCGTAAATACCAAAACTCAGGGGGCCATATATAGAAAGTGTCCGTATTGACGGGATGTCCGTATTAAGCGGGTTGCATTTAGAGAGAATTTATCGGCTTTTAAAGCAAACTGTCTGTTATAACTGTCTGTCTGTCTGTCTGTCTGTCAGCGGGTGTCCATAAAGCCACAGGCAGCCCAGGCGTAGTGTGTGTCAACAACATGAACAAAATGGGGTCGATCGGAGCTAGACTGAGAGTCGACGATATTCGACTGAAGAGGAATTTAAAATTATGTAATATTTCAGATAAATATATCTTTACCGTTATCTCTTTGTGTATTGACTTGTCCTGGTTTATTTTCCCCTAGAAATGGTCTTATCGAATCTGACACTCTTACGAGCCGCCACATTCAAATCCCCTTTTATCGAACTAAAACACTAGCCTAGCAGTCGAAATATAACAAAACAAAGCTAACATACCTTTTTTAACTGAACGTCTCCTTGTCTGTCCTGACTGGTTTAAGTGCATGTTAAGTGGCATGTTGTCGAGTTTGCACTCGAAGGTACTATCCACCAAAACTGGACAAAATGCCACTTTAGCTGGCCAGGACCTTCAAGGAGACGTCCAGTTAAAGGTGCTTTGTTTTGTTATATTTTGACTTCTAGGCTATTTTATTTCGATAATAGGGTTTTTACATGGGCGGCGGCTAGTAACAGTGACAGATTCAATAATTTCTAGGGGGAAAATAAACCAGGACAAGTCCATACACAAAGAGATAATGGTAAAGATATATTTATTTGAAATATTACGTATCTTTAAATTCCTCTTTGATCAGAATACTAGTTCTCAGTGGAAATTGATAGGGAATTGTCTGCCGAGAAAGGAGGCTACGCAGCAAGTGTACACGAAGGAAGTTAAGGCGGTCGCAGAGGAGTTTAACGAGTTTGTTGTATCTGTTGGCGCTTAAGCATCAGAGGCATCTAAAGCCTTGATTGCTACTCACGAACTGTCTCCGCCAAACGATTTCACTAGTGGACAATATATTCCCGATGAGGAGAAGTTTAATTTTCGCGCTGTTTCAAGTCACGAGATTCGTAGAGCCGTAATGTCATTTTCATCTAACAAAGCCCCGGGGTTCGATAAAGTCACCATGTCTGTGATTAAAGATGCGCTCCCTTGCATTCTGCCTGTGCTGACGGACATTGTGAATCGATCCTTGTTGTCGTCAGTTTTTCCTGCAGCGTGGAAAATATCTGAAGTCATTCCACTTCTAAAAGATGGAGATCATGAGATACCAAACAACAATCGACCAGTCTCGTTGCTTCCTGCTGCGTCAAAGATTTGTGAGCGTGTTGCTCTGAATCAATTAATGACATATATGACCACCAAAAAGCGCCTCAGCGAACACCAAAGGGGTAACAAGAAGCTTCATTCGTGTGAAACCCTTAACGTCATGATCACAGACAAAGCACTGGAGGTTATGGATGCAAAGAAAGTCACACTTGTGGTACTTCTCGACTTGTCGAAAGCATTCGACAGCATAGATCATGTAACTCTCCTTGCAAAACTACAGGCGCTAGGTGTTTCCCGTGCGTCTCTGGATTGGTTCAAGAGCTACCTTTCTGAACGGCTGCAATGTGTCAGGATCGAAGCTGAGACCTCAAGCTTGCAGGGTATCTCACATGGAGTCCCACAGGGTTCAATCTTGGGGCCCGCCTTGTTTACTGTCTACCTCATTAACATTCCTTCTATACCGGACGTGTGTTCTCTAGAATCATATTTCGATGATTCAAAGCTATAACTTTCGTTCCCAGCTGCTGAGGCTAGTAATACGATTCAACAGATCAATAAGGACTTAGAAAAAATCGCAAGCTGGTGCTGCTACAACAGCCTTCTCATAAACCCAGAGAAAACCAAGCTGCTGGTGTTGGGCACACGTCAGATGCTTCAGAGGCTGCCCGCTGATTTTCATGTCACTCTCCTTGGAAAGAAGGTCACTCCATCTCCTTCAGCTCGGGACCTTGGCCTGCAGGTGGACAGCACTCTAAGCTATGATGAACATGCCACCCAAACAGTGTCCTCGTGCATAGGTAGCCTATGTCAGATTAATAGGGTAAAGCATCTGTTTGATGCTAGGACATTAGAACGGGTTATAAATGCCTTAGTGTTTAGCAAGTTATACTACTGTTCTCCGGTGTGGTCTAATACTTCAAAGAAAAATATCTCGAAGCTGCAGAAAGTTCAGAATTTTGCTTGTAGAATTATCACTGGAAAGCGGATCATATAACACGGATCATATAACACCGGCATTAAGAGAGCTAAGGTGGCTCCCCGTGACCAGTTTTCTTAAATATACACTTGGAGTTTTAGCATTTAAATGTGTTAAGAAGTTAGCCCCTAGCTACCTTTGTCATAGATTTAAGACACGTGATTGCGTTCATGACCGTAATACTAGATATAAGAATAACTTGAATATCCCAGCTTATAAGTCAGCTTCTGGGCAACGCATATTTTTATACCGTGCAACGAGTTTCTGGAATTCTCTTCCATGTGAAATAAGAGGATGTGATAATTTGCCAATCTTCAAGAGACATTTAAAGGAATTTCTCAGTAGTTTTTAATTAGTAATCTGATATATTTTGACATCTATTAGAATTTTAGATTTTTAATTTTAATGTATTTAGTATTGATTGTAATTAGTTTTTAAAACCCATTTAGTGGAAAACTAATAAACACATTCATTCATTCAATACTATCTACTCTCAGTCTAGCTCCGATCGATCCGATTTTGTCCATGTTGTTGACACACACTACGTCTGGGCTGCCCGTAACAAAGCGGGCTTTAACTGTAATGTTATAAATCTTAATTGCTTTCCAAATTAAACTGTAAACCTGGTTTCCATATAATGGCTCCGAACGTATGAGTTGATAGCTTAAGCACTATCCTGACGACTGGGACCAATGCAGTTGCCTGAATGGAAGTGGCCTGGTTTCGATACAATCGCCCGGATCGCGTCTCAACCGTGACCAGGTCGTCCCAACAAGACACACAGATAACAAATCCTATTTTTTGCAGCCTACCTAGACATGTTCCAGAAAACACAGCTTGTTTCATCTACGCCGTTGGTCTGAGGAAGAAAATGTCATGTTGAAATTGTTAGGAACAATGATTGTGGTAACTGCGCATACAGAACTGACATGGGCCCTGAAACGACATACTTTAATACAGAATCAAAGTTCTATGAACAACCTAACCTCTATAAACATGGCATCAGCTTTTTATGCTTACACCTTACAAACACTGACAAACAGACTCATTAAACTACACACGCTTTCTTTTTTAAGTGCCAAATACTTTAAATATTTCCGACCAGTTGAATGTTAGTAAAGCACCAGATTTTTGTTACAACCGGCGTTTCCGTTTAATAGAAGCAAGTAACTGTAAACGACTTAATAATTGGTCTTCGTTATTTTTATTTCTCTTCGGAGAAAACTGGAACCAAATTCCACCTACTGTATCTTCAGCATGAATTATTCGTGAACATTTCTATTATTAATCTAACGGGAAATACTGATCAATATCAGCACCCCGCTTGTGGCACCCTAATGTTCAACGATGGCTAGACCATGTATTTCTGGAATCAATTTCCGTGAGCCTTGACTACCACTTAGCGAATTTAACCAAAAAAATGCTAACAGAAGTTACCAAACAAACGACCAGTTAAAATTTCGTTTAGGATAAGCTGCCAGAAAGGCCTAACTTACCTTGGTGTTCTTAATAATCAACGTAACGGGCTCGTCAAAACTGTTAATGCTTAACGGATGTACTGAAAGTGATACTACATCCGAATTTATTCTTCCAACGTCACTTTTGTCTGTAGTTAGCTCCGCTGAAGATCTAAACAAAGCAACCAGCCATGGCCACCAAGGACACAAAACAAAACAGAGTTGACTTGTGTAGATTTCTGAATGGCATTGTTCAACAAGTTACAGTAAGAAGTCAATTAAAGCGAGAATATTTTTCAACAAGAAGCTTATGATAGGGGCAAATCGGGCTAAGGGATGAAGTTAAGGAAAATCTGAAAAACACCCTGTGTCCACCTCCTTAGTTGTTTAATTATCCTTTTCTAAATGCCTTGAACAGGGCTTGAAATAATTTCCCGGCTGGTGCCGGCCAAGTTGTCCGGTCAAACCTATTTTTGCTCGGACACAATCCGTTTTTTGCCGGACAAATGTCTTTCATCTAGGATTATCTGACGTGCACTTTACAGTAAAATACATGCGGACTATTATAAAAGTACTTTACAACACTACACACGCTCTCCTGAATTTGCGGTGACGACTTTAAAGAGGACAAAGCAATAAGTTTTTAACTCGCAACTCCCAGAAAATGAAAAACCACTGTTACCGCCCCGCCGCGCAGTGCTTCTGAAATTTCGCGTGGTCGCAGAGCCGCGAAATTCGGTAGAAATCTTATCAAATCAATGGCGGTTCAACATATTTGAGACTTATCTCGGCTAATGGGGCTGTTTTTGCCATAAATTTTTCAAATTTATCTTGAAACTTTGTCACTGCAACGAGAAAACGTCCCAAAACTACCGGCCTGTGTTCTTAGATTATTATTGCGAAAAACTGGGCTCTGGCCAGTGCATGATATAAAAAGCTTTGCCATTGGCGCATTTCTGAGCTCATTGTTGTTAAAAGAAAAAATGATAAACAAAAAACCTTGTGCAAGACAATACCAAGTCCAAACGAGATCGCAAACCAAGCGATAAGTTGTCGATGTTTCTGATAAGTAGTCGATGTTTCTTCTTGTTGCACATGCTAACTCTCATCATTCCCCCCTCCCCCCACAAATAGCAGTTTTGTTTCATTAAAAACGTTCGTGAAATCAGCGCAAAACCGATCGCTTTCTAGCAAAATTTGTCCGGAATTTTTCCGCTAATTTGTCGCTGAAAATCCCACGAAATTTGACTTTTTTTCCCGACCTATCAGAAGCCCTGTGTTATGAACGGTTTACGTTATAAAAGTTGTTGATCTGATCGCCTTTTTCTCTCTCTCTCTCTCTCCCCACTTTTTTTCCTTTACGAACGTTAATACAATAGAAGCGTAAAAGAGCGGACAACATGTCCGGCAATCTAAGGACTTGACCGGACTAAACCTATTTTTGACAGGACATTGTCCGTTGGTAGGCCGTCATTTCAAGCCCTTTTAAAGGAAAAAATTGTCTGCTAAGAGCCGAGATTAATTGCACTGTGATCAATAAATTGTTTGAAAACGCTGCAATCTGGGAATATCTCTTTAGCTTTGTACAGGTGGTGTTTAGTTAGGGTTAGGATACTCCAGTTCTGTTGGTAAAACTGTGAAAGGTTTGAACTAAATGGAACTAAATGAAACTTGAGCCGCCACTCAGTTTATTTCTAGCGCCATTGAGTGAATTTGGTAGTAATAAGCCGTTGGTGTTCTGATGAATACCTCTGCCGCTAAACCTAAACCTGACGCTATAACCATGCCGACTGACGGTAGACTTCAGTTTTATTTGATCTTCTCAAAGTCAGGGCGCGCATGTAACGTTTATCTTTGTTTTGATTTTTGTTTAAACGTTACATTGCGCGTCCTTTTTCAGTTGCTGTAAGGTGGCTGAACACAGTTTTGCGGCGGTCAGCGATAACTCGTGTGACAGCTGTGTTTTAAATTGGACAAACGAACACGGTGGCGCAAATAGCAATGGTACACAGAAGACGATTTTTCAAAATCTACTCATTAACATTTTGTGATATTTGGCAGAATTTTTACTTTTATCGTATTTTAAATAAAGGGAACCTTAAAATGGAAGTTGAACAGACGATTTTTGCGACACATTCAATAACTACAGTACAATTATATAATTGATTGCCTAAAATCCCGTCTGTTAAAAAGTTTGGTCTAATAAGTTTCAGATGGTAATGATTAACTATAGTAAGCTATGTGCAAGTTAATGGAAAAATCTAAGGGGCGAATTCTAGGTAAACTGGGAAAAAGTGGAATTTTAAGGTCGTATTCAATCGTTCATGTTGCCATGGAAACCAAAACTGTGTCAGCCACCTTAACCCATCCATTAAACCACTGATGAAGAGGGAGCACCCTCGAAACGCCTGGATTTTCCAAGATTTAGAGAAACTTTGTAAAAGCAATCTAAACCTGCGTTTCTTATCATTACATTTTTGGAAAAAAATCAGTACATTACTGACGTTGTTGTGTTTTCTTTTCTTTTCTTTTCAGTTTTTGACAAGTTTAACTTTTCCAGTATGAGGGCAGCCATAGGCGAGAAATATCTACAGACCTTACCCGGAAGGTCAAATTTTTGACCAAGTCTGTTTGCCTGATTTTTTTTTTTTCTGAAATGATTCACTCTCTCTACTCAATATTCACACGATCGGCCCCGAAATGGCGCACCCATGGACGCACGCAAAAACGTATGGGTGGGTGGGTGATCCGACCTATCTTTTTAACTATATATATATATATATATATATTTATCTCTTCACGGCTGTGCCAAATGGAACTCAATGATGCTAGTTATCTAGAAAATCATAATAAAACAACCCCTTGACGCCAAACTACTGACTTACTTTTGGTCGTCGCCTGGTTGCATCAAGTCTTTAAGGTTACGGTAGGCAACAAATGTAATGAAATGAGTTTCACCTAATAAAAATGGGAAACATTTAAATACAAGCATATACAATTTTGTATTAAGATATTAAGATATATATCAGTTGCATGCCAACTAAAGCAAAAATTTGATGGTCACAACAAATCTACCCCATGGAAAACGAAACATCTAAAGCATGTAACTGCCGTCAACCAGCTCATTGCCTTATGGATGCTTCAATAAAGTCAAGGACCTTTGTTATTATTGTGAACAGCCAGACTGAATAACAATCGATGTACAATGAGATGTACAATGTACGCAATTTGGACGTAAAAGTCGAAAAGTCGTGAGAGAATTCGCATTATCTCACCATAATGTAACGGAAGGAAAAATTTTTAAAATTACCGTCATGCACGCAGTTTGATAATGTTGGACTTTGCCCCTTTAACAGTTCTTAATTATAAGTGAATAATGCAACTTCATTACCAGATAAATTTGGACAATACAATTTTAAGAAAACACCATTTTCATTATTAAATTTTCTCATATTCCGGTGATCCCATTCGAGTGTATGCCCTAGAAAAATCCACTTGCATGTTTAACATTTGTTTACGATCTCTTACTTCGCTTGTGGTCATTATGTTGTAGCTTGATCACGGAGCCTGGTATCATTACACTGCTTGTTGAACCCATTTCTTTAAACTTTGGAGACATCTGCTGGTCAGGTGGATCGGCTTGAGTTATTAATTTTGCACTTAATACTTGAAAGGAGAAAGAGACAAAAAGAATAACATATCAATGATTTTATTAAATCAGTTTATAATGGCGAAATTGAAAATTTATTTTAAGTAATAGTATTTTGGATATGATGTTAACTCATGTAGATAATTTGTGCCCAATTGAACAAGTCAGTTATACAAACTAGAGATGGGGTAATTTAGGACGGATCAGATTGAATTACACTTTGATCGTGATTTTGATTGCATAACCTTTCAGGAGTGAGGCTGAGCAGTAAAGAGAACAGGCCTTATGAAAGTAGAAATGATCCTCGCAGTTGAATTAACAACCTAAGTGGATGACTTACCAACATTTGGTGCTTCGGTGAAAAAAGTACCACTTGAGTTCGCTGCTTTGGCCATACTCAAGGCAACGGCATCCACTCCTTTCAAAATTTTGCTAGCCTCCGCAGCTGTGAAATCCTTTAAAAAAAAGTTTATTGCAAGTTTTTTCCACCAAATTTTTCGATGGTCATAAAACAGCTTCCCTAGTAAGATGCAGGTCTGTCGTTGCTTCGCCTCCAGGAACTGCTATCTAGTTAGCTTTTATTTAACTGTTATCTGTTATTTCCTTAAATTTTATTTTCCCTTACAGAGTAATAACCTGCGAGATAACTGACCTGACTTGATCGCTCTAAAAAAAAGCGACTTTTTAAAACATTCAGCGATAAAAAATTGCGTAAAAAACTTTCCTTAAAAACATTTGTAAGTTTGAAAAAGTACAACGTTTCGAAGTTCTCGGACGTCATTATCAAGTAAAAAATACAGTATGATTTTTCTATAAATACAAGAAAAACAAAAGTTCATTTAAAAAAAGTAACACAAAAAAAATATGTTACAAGTTAAACAAAGGGTTTAGCACTGATTGAGTCACGCTGAGTGTTAAGGTTAGGCCTCAGTTATTTGATGAATAATATTTCGTAAACGAAGCAGTCAACTTATATTTTTGTCTGGGCAATTTTTTATGACATGATAGCTGCCTCCTTAAAAGATTTCTGAGGTTGAGTGAGGTACTGGGGTACTACAGGGTGGGGGAGGGGCGAAAAGTGCCATTAGGGGACGATACGTAGGATCTCCCGTCGTCCCCCGAGCTATTTCCGAGTCGAGCAACTGGGAACGAGATAGCCAAACAGTAATAAAAGAGATTGTGAAATTGTGATATTTTTAGAGCTAGCCCTTCTACACAACAAGTAAACTCGTAAAAAAACGGACGGCATTTCAGCTTTGCTGAACTGCTCTTTTGAAGTTTATGAGGGAAAAGGAAAATATGCCACCAAACTAAGTTAAAACTTAAAGATGATAAAACTAACTTTTGCTTCTCAAATCTCAGCGACGAAGTTGTAAAAATGTTGTCATTTACCTTTGGCATAAATTTCCAGGTTTCAAGGGTTCTATCATCAAGGATGTTGCTAGTACATTTAACAACCGCCTAGAAAATTGGAATTTATTAGCACATTAGAACTTTCTGCTAATGCGCCCGCCCTAAAACTGTATTCCAATGGGCTTTTATTCCCTGGAGGAAGCGAGGGTAAAAAAAAATTGAATTATGCAACTGCTAGGCTTGCATATTATTCTACTTGCCAGGGTTAGTGTACATAACAGACTAATGTATGGCAAAAGATATAATGAATCAATAAATAACGGAATTCTCGATCTGTAAGTCTCCTCAGTAAATTCTGTAAAAAGATACCGTTAGGAACGTCTTGCCCGCTACTCGCTTAAAAAAGGAAAAATATAACAATACAGAATGCAAAAACATACCTGGGTAATTCTTTGAATTTTTTCATTTTTCACAGTCTTTGGATGACCATCAAAGTCCCTCTGTGAAACTACTGTGATGACGTCAACTGCTCGTCTAAGGTCACCAGTCAGTAACGGCCCATGCGCAAGCTTGTCCACCGAAGTGATATCCTCAAGTTGCTTAGCAATGTCAGTGAGGTCAGCGTTCGGATTTCTAAGCTTCAGTAAAAGATACACCATTCAGTTATGTAATCTCACAACAAATGGATATATATCAGAGGGACTGCACCGCTGCTTGATCACTAAGAAGTTACTACAATCTGATTCATACCCAGCAATGATCATAAACCACATTTCTCACCAAAGACTGTCGGACTGGCTAAACTAAAAAGAAGCAGGGGCCTAACTACTGTAGCAACTTTTTTTGCATCGGGAAATCAATGTCCTGAACTAAATCTAAAAAGAACTTTATGGGGCCTGAAGGCAAAAAATAGAATTTTCCCTAGTCAAGCCCAGGGCCAATCTACAACATTAGTAGCACTGATAAATGAAGTCATACCGCAGTTTGAATTTTTATTTTCCGTTTCTAATAAGTAAATACCAGAAGAATTGCCCTCTCGGGATAGACTGTTCACGCTTGCTTGGTGGATAACTACATGTATATCAAAGTATAGAAATTCAACGCAGCAAAAAAAGGCTCCCTATAACGACTTACAATTACTGCATGCTACATGCACATGTACGTTAGCCATCATTTTGAATTTTTTTGCTTTCTCCATATTCTCCGTAATTTTTGAACCAGCGAATTACATAGAAGGCACGGGAAAAATCAAGTTTTGCAAAATATGTATTCAAGGACTTATATTCCACTCAAGATTAAGTGGGTAGAACCTCTTAATTCCCGCACTGGGCTTCTTAAAAATGGACGTCTTAATTAGAGTAATTTCGAGGGAAGTTATCCAGCTTTGAATTTCAATTCAAAAAGAGACTATAAGCCTAAAAGGCACTCACACCAAAGAACACTTAAGCGAGAAAAATTGACGAGAGATGCAGAAGGCAAAAACAAAACACCTTACTGACTGCCGCTTATTTGTTCTATTCCGTAGCACCACTCACCGCCGACATATCTAATATAGGTTTTCTATCAGTTATATCCACTTTACCACGATAAATTCACTATATATCTATATAATTTATCCACTTTCATCAAATTAACTCTAAACATACAAAAATTAATCGAACTTTGTTTTATTCCACCCCCACCAGAAGAGAGCGACGTATCAGTCCTCCAAATTATAGATATTTGATGGTCAGAAAAATGGAAATGTAAGCCTTGAATCAAAAGATTATATTAAATATCTTGGCATTTTACTTGATAAACGTCTTTCCCAGAAATTCCATATCGATACTATTGCCAATAAAATTAGTAAAACTGTTGGCCTGAATGTGATTGCCAAACTACGCCACTTCATGCCGCGATGTATACTTTAAAATATTTATTGACCAGTCGTCAAGCTATTCTTACTTAACTTACGGACTTGTTCCTTGGGTCAGTCTCTGATAATGCATCTTAATAAACTTTTAATTCTTTAAAAAAGAGCCCTTCGTATGATATATTTTGCTGATGGACGAGATCATGCAATTCGCTTTTTAATCATTGCGAATATTTTGCCTCTGTTGTTTCTTTATTATGAGTATGTTTCCAGCTTAATGCATGATATCAATAATATTAACGCTCCTCTAAATATCTTGAAATTAATTCAAAAAATGTCCAGCATACATACGTATAGCACGCGGTCATCCAATACCGGGAAATTTTACGTGCAAAGCACTAGGTTAGAGATACATAAGCGTTCTCTTTCCAGATTTGGCGGAAAACTGTGGAATGATACACCGTGTAGCTTGGGAAATGTACCCAAGAAGGAATTTAAAAGAGAAATTCGCCGACTTCTCCTAGATATTATTTTAGTAAAAGAAAATGACTATATAGAAACACCTAGCTATCATCAAATCGTTATCGTTTCCTTTTTTATGTCTTTATATAATATTATTAATTCAGAATTTATTCAAAACAGTTAAACCCCTACCCTCAGTTTTTCGTCTGTCCCGCCTGGATTAGCTTTTGTAATTAATTATTAATAAGTTAATTCTTACAATCAAAGTTATGTTGTTGTTTAAAAAAATGCTGTTGTTGTTGTTGTTGTTTTACCTGTTGAGTAAGTTCTGCCATTTTGTCAGAGACACATTCACTGAGATCAGGAACTCCCCACTTGGCGTTATCATCTGTAGCTCTCACGCATGCTCTCTTGGCAGTACCTTATGACAAATAAAAAGAGATTTTCTACGTGTAAACTCCGTGGTATAAGTGATAGATATGCATTTGGCGAGTTTAAACTAACTCTACGTTGTTCAGTGATATCACAAATTTGTTTTGACTTGCGAATGATGTTCCTGATGAATGTTAAAAAATGGTTTATCAACTGAGGAAATAAAACTTGAACAGGTACCTCTTGAATTGGTGGGGCATGGTGCTAAAGCCGTTTGACTTGGTAGTGTTGTAGGCCATGTGACATTTGCGTAACTACGTTTTTCACAGTATGATATCTTTCCTTTATTGTCTGATATTTCTGCAACCAAAGAAGAATTAGCGTGATATGAATAAGTGAGAAAGAGATGTGCTCAATAGCACCAATAAAGGCAGAAATGACGTATTTTTTTGTGTTGAAAAATAAAAAAATCAATATTAGTCCTTCAACCATGCAATGATGCCCTTGATTGAAAATGTTGTTTGGATACATCGTTCTTGACGTATTAGCCTGAGATCATGCCCTCTCCCTATTATCCCTTTAAGTCTCTCACGGGAAGAGGGCATGATACATTTCTTTGTCGGATCACATGTAAAAAAGCCAGAATCTGGACTTTTTTCTGATTGGATAGGAAACAATACGGATGATTTGCGCCGTTCCAATTGGCCAAAATGCCGCCATCCGTTAGTTGTTGTTGATTTCAGTCTGCATTTTTGCTTGCGTCATGAGCAGTGAATACACACGCGAGTTCGTTATAAAATTTCTGCCGGCTGAGTTTTCTTGAATTTGAAGAATGCCTAAATAGAAATTTCACCCATTGAAATATTTTCCATCTCATCGTATACGAAAAAGTTGCAGTCAAAAATTCACCGATCATTTGAATGCAATTTGATACCGGCTACAAGTTACAGAAGCGACAAACGGGTTAGCTTTTCAAATAATCAATTCATGAATGGAATCTTGACCTGGTTTGACTGTAATTCCTCCTTCAGAAACCTGCGAATTATTCTGAGCGATCTTCGCTTTCACAACACCTTTCAGTTAGTAAAATATGGTGCTTCAGCCTAATTTTCTTTTCACTGCTTTCGGCACAGAACGAAGTCAACGAGCTTTAACCAGTAAATTCTTCATTATTTGTAGCTCTTAAATAAAGGTATGGCAGCTCCAGCTAGCAGTATTTGAACACATTTAAAATTCTTTTTAGGAAGCGCCATCTGAACATGGACGTACTTAAAAATTTTCTTTTCCCTAAAATTGATTTTAAAAGAGACATTATTCGCGCCAAAATTTGATTCCAGTATGGAAAACGCTTATTGGCTAATAACATGACAGGTCAAGGAGACGTTAGATTATGTAAATTAGGGGGTGGTTAACGGCTCGTTAAATGAATGTATCAGGCGTTATTTTTTTCCTGTCTCGAGCCAAAGAAACAAAAACAAGCAAAAAAAAAACGCCTGATCTCAGGTTATTGACGTATAGGTTCTCATATTCTCGGTTAGCATCCACGTGACATGGCGGTCATGTTGGTGGTCAATACAATAAAAATTACCTATTTTCAAAAATTTACATGAAAATGGAGTTTAGTTTTCAGAGGATAGAAATATTTGGGTTCTTGACCACCGACATGGCTTCCATGACGTCACGTGCAAACCAGCAATACTCGTCAACGCACATTAATTGTAATTGACCAATCCTAACAGGCTTTGCCATGAAAGTAAAGTGTATCTCACAAACAGTGTGCTCAGTTTCCGTTCGAAAGATCGACTTTTTTCTTATGCAAAAACCCTTAACTTTCTATAAACTGAACTTTCTATTTTTATAAAATAACCGCATGCTTGCACAAAGGCAAGAGAAAGCAGTCTTTTTCAACGGTTGGCCCACAGTCTTTTCCAGCCCGATTTTGTCAGATAGGCATGATTGGCTTCAATCAAAAGAAAGCAGACCCTTCTTTTTAGCGAGTGACCTCATCAAACAGGACTAGCCTAAGTGACTTCCTTCTGGGAGTGTCCCCTCAATCTAACATCCTTTCTTACGTCTCTTGGCCAGAAGTTCAGCACCGTCCTCAGTATTTACCACCAAATATGACTAGACATATGGGACGTATATAATACATAGACCCAAGGTCCATGGATCAAACCCTTCGTGAACCCGGTCCATTGTCTACCGCTGTAGACCCCCCTATTTTTTGAAGATGAATTTTACCAGAGGTTAGGAATCTCAAATGAACGAAACTGTGGTCAGATTAATTATCAGGGTTATGGGCTACTCACATTTTACCCTTGCTCAATATTTTTTTTTGCAGTTCCATACCAATGTAATGGGTTCGTTTTAGTCTCGTGAAGGAGTAACCATAATTGAAGGGAACAGGAGGATGGTATGGAGGAAGTAGTCTCCTACGCAGCTCTGTTTTCTGTCTTCGCGTTGCGTGAAAATCGAAACAAAAACGCCTGCGTATGAGACTACGGAGGAAGCTCAATGTCTATGAGTTTGTAACAACAAAATTATCGACCTGAATGAATGGGAATTTACATGAAATAAGCTGTAAGACGTCTGCCCAACCGCATTGTTTGATAATACTATGCAGGTTATGTCGTGTTTGATTAGTGAACAGGATTCAATAAGTTTACCAACCAATAAACATTCATCCAAGGGCTATCAAGGGAAGGGAAGTCTGGGGTGGGTACTCAATCATAATACATTACCTCTTCCTTTCTAGTCTCACGAAGGGTCATTTTCGAGTCGATCTTCATGCAACTTGACACAAAAAGCTGCGTTATTTAGTGAATACTTCCCCCCTATCTCTGATCATGTCCCCTTCAAATAGTTTCTCCTTCCAGACTAAACCGAACCCATGTATGGAATTCGGAAAAAAATTGAGCAAGTGTACAATTTAATCTTTAATCTTATCAATATAAATTGACGAAGTTTTGTCCATTTAAGTTTCTTAAAATTCGTTTAGAACTCTGGTAAAATTCATCTTCAAGAATTAGGGATGGTCAACAGGGGTAGTCCATGGACGGGGTCCAAGGAGAGGTCCATGGATTAGGTCCACAGAAGTGGTCCATGGACCGGGGTCCATGTTTTGTATACGTCCAAAAAATAGGGCCGGTGCTTATTTCTCAGGGAAGATGAACATTACCCGTTACGAAACTCATTCATCATGTAATACTCATATAAACAGAGGATTTTTTTTAACCGTCATTCTGCTCAACGGAAAAAAGATGTCTGTTCCAACAAACCTTTGCACGTTTTCCCATCACCAATCCAGCCTGATGAACAGCGACAAAAATAACTTCCCCTTGTATTAACACACTCAGAGTGGTCGGCGGCAAGACAAGGACTAGGCACGTCAGCACACTCATTTCTGTCTGTGAGAACAAGAGTGGAGAAAAAAAATTATATCCCTCCACTCAGGGTAATTTCGTTAATTCATATATCTGAAACAGAGTTAGTAAAATATATTGCTTTCCCTTTCGTATTGACGAGTAAATTTAAAATTCGATAAATTCAAGCCGTAGTCATGCCAGGGACAGCAAAAGAATTTACTAAAAAAGCGTGATGCACTTGCAGAGTTGTTGTTTTGCTGACTAAACCGATTGCACTTTGTTGTCACCGCCGTTATGGTAGGACGGAACCTAAACAGCGACGAACGGTAAAAAGCAGTAGTTTTAGGTTAGCAAAACAACAGCTTTGGACGCGCATCACGCTTTTTGGTGCATTTCTCTGCTGCCTTTGCTTGACTATACGATGTGGAACTTCCTGATCTCAAGTTTTGTGGAGTACGTGAACATAAGAAAAGGTCAGTTTTCAGAGCGCATGCTCAAATTGTTTGCCTTTACGGAGTTGATTTGGGTGTTTACCTTAAGAAAAATTCTCCCGGTTAGGAGGGTGACCCTTCCAGCCAAGCCAACTTTTGGCATCTCAAGTGAAACGGTTCGCACGAGTTTTGTAAGGAAATGTAGGAAAAGTTGTCTCGCCCGGTCAGGGGAGCTCGACGCGGGTAGGCGAGTGACCCTTCTACCCGGGGCAAGTGGTATTCAGGGGAAGAAAAAATGCGTCCTTGGGAAAAAACGGAAAACTTCTTGTTTGATCGACAATAGAGTACACAGAAGGCATCATGGTAAATTGTAGTAGTATAAGAGTGCAACTTATTGTTTTCAGAAAATTGTTAAAGAAAATCCTGATGATAAGGATGTTTACAACAATACAGAAACTGAACGCGGCCATTCGATTTGTTTTATCTGAATGTAAGGAATATTTCTCAACTGAAAGTTCAGCTAATACACACTAAGACTTGCATTCTTTGATGGGATGATCACCACAGAAAATAACACAATTGCGCCTGTTTAATCTCGAGCGGCATACAAGGGCTTCATTAAAACCCCACTTTTTGGCAACTTAAGTTTTCTTGATCCAGTTTTCTTATGCTGATTTAATATCACTACCAAATCTCACCAAAAGTAGTCAAATAAGCCTCAGCCGAGAAGTATGATAATGTTTCATTATGTCCTTGAGCCTCCAAAGAGATCTGATATCTTGTTAGTTGACGAAGGTTGGAGAAGAATGCGGAGGTATTTGAGGTTACTACCTCGAGTAGCTTTTCTGTTGATCTACAGCTTATTTTGTAAGTAACAAAGGTTCCTTCCACTGTTATGGCATTCCAAGTGATCTTGACAAAATTCCAGCCGTAAGCATCGATTGTAAGGTTAAGCAGAAGAGTCTTGTTTTTTTCAATGGCTGATGAAGAAGACAAGTGTATTTGGATAGATCAGTATTTTGTTCGGCAAACTGTAGTCTGTACATTTCAATTTCTCAGGTTTTATGCCGGTTGTGATATTTAAATCCTAGGGGTAAAGCATTAGTTCTTATTTGTTAAAATCTTATCATAGTATGAAAACATTGTGTGTTCTCTCGATGGAGTTGTCATTAGTAAATAAATAAATAAATAAATAAATGAATAAATAAATGAAAGGGGATTTTATGATTGTGTTAATAACTAGGAATTACTGGATGAGGCTGATTATGAAAAGAAGAATTATGCAAAACGAGGAGGGTGGTATGCATAATATTTCATATCACTCAGCCTCACCCCAGAGTGGCCTCACCCAATAATTGCTAACTAGCAGTCATCAAGCAATTATAATGATACAAGTATATTGTCGACTGCCTTGCCGTTATTTGGATTGTACCCCCTGAAAAAGAAACGACATCATGTTTATAAAATGACTGTAGAAACCTTTAAAATAACGTCCACGATACCTGGATTGTTTGGTTTCAATGGCAGAGTTGCTGGAATCAAAGCCTGTTTAGTGGGATATGTGATAATACTCCCCGCCTGATGTTCGAAGTTAGTGGTGGAATCAGCCTGCTTCACGACGATGCTAACATACATGCGGCTAGGAATAGGTAATTTGTCTTGAAGATTTGACGATGTTTGATTTCCTTCGTAAAGTAGCCTGACATGAGGTTTTCCCTTGTTTCTCCACTCCACGAACAAGCGGTAAATTGCCTGGGAATCCTGTGGCAAAGTTACTGCTTTCCATTTTGCATGAAGTCCTTTGCTACTTTTAATAATACGGAGAGGAACTGATAAACTAGCTGAAAAAAAGGATTTGCAGGATGATAGATAGATAGCTTTAATTCAATCATATGGCAGCCCACCAAGGCTGAATTGCATGAATTTACAAATACAATTGATACAAAACTTAAAACATGAAAATGTAACAAAAAATCTACAAAATTATACTTTAGAATTCCAACTTTATACAAAAACTGCTAACGCCTGCACATAAATGGCAGAAATGTGCTAGAAAAACGCTTGGTACGCATGACTGGATTTGTAAAGTGGCGTTGTCTTCTGAGGTTATAATGACAATAGTTCTTGGGAGGGAGAAAATGATGCAACTTATGATCTGGATGAGATACAATAGAATCAAACAGTTTTTCACATTGATCTATGCTTCTGTCCTCTAAAGATGCCATGTTGAACATTGACAGGCTGTCATCGTAAGAAAGGCCTGGCGAAATAATGGATAGTGCACGTTTTTGAATACGTTCAAAATCCTTACTTAAGTAGTCAAGCAGTGCGTGATGGTACAGGGGGGCACAATATTCTAGAACTGGCCTTATGCAAGTAAGATAGAAACAAGTGATATCGTGTGCTGGAACATTTGCGCGCTTAAGTAATATAATAAAGTATATTCTTTTGTTGGCCTTTTGGATTACATTTAAGACGTGACAATTCCATTGGAGAGTGTTGGTTATGGTAACTCCTAGCAATTTAACACTATCTACGCGTTCGAGTTCTTGAGAGTTCACGATAACTGGGTCAAAATGATGTTTAACCTTCTTAAAGTCAATAACGAGTTCCTTGCATTTATCCGCATTCAGCTGGAGCTTGTTGATTGTAGGCCACTGCTCAACAGCGACAGCGACCTGCATTCCACTTTCACCTCCTCTTGGAACCACCTCAGCGAGCGTGGTGTCATCCACGTATTTCCATACGTCAGATCCCAAAGGGTGGAGATCATTGATCATCAAAATGAAAAGCCAAGCGCCAAGTTTTGTGCCCTGGGGCACGCCTGATGGAACGGTGCCCCATTCGGAGAAGCAATCGCCAGATAGCTTCACTCGCTGGCGCCTATCCATGAGGAAGTCGCAAACCCAACGGGCAATTCCGCGAGGAATGCGCAAACCCAGGATTTTGGCAGCTAGGATACCATGATCTATCAGGTCGAATGCCTTTCTGTAATCCAAGCACACCAAGCGCACCGCTGAGCTAGTCCCATCCGTTGCTTGCGCCCACGTATGCATCATTGAAATGAGGGCATGTAGGGTCGAGGAATTGGGGATAGCTCCAAATTGGTTAGAATTAATCGTCTCCAAGACTGCGGAACCAATATATTTGCTAACCACAAAGTCCTCAGCTAACTTGGACAAAGCCGGTGTCAGGGAGATAGGTCGAATATGCTTGGCGATGGTAGTCACCGGCTTAACTTTGATCAGAGGTGTGACATCGGCATCCTTCCAGGACCTTGGGAGTCTCTGCTCGGCGAAAGATGCATTCAGAATGTCGCAGACCGGAGAAGTTAAGAAGTCAGCATAGTCCCGAAGAAGCCAGTTGTTAATGCCATCTGGTCCCTCGGCCTTCCTCGGATTTAGCCCCAAAGGAGCATTACATACCTCCGAGGGGCTAACTATTAGAAGCTCAGAGTCGTCCGCAGGTGGGGGTGTCCTGATTAGAGTGCGCCGCGACCTCGTCAAGGTGTAAATGCGAACGAATGTCTTCCCCACCAGTAGCCGGAGTCATCCCAGCAATCATTTTAACTTCTCTCCACCACTGGATAGGCTTGGTTGTCTTGAGGTTAGCGACTTTCGATGCGTAGAACTTTCCGCGACACACCTTTCACTCACGATAGGTAATGTTCCGAAGATGTCTATAACCCTCAGTATCGCCTTGCGCAAAGGCTTTTTGACGCGCTTTGATAAGAGCCTTAAATTCAGCTGTCACCCAGGGAGGGTCATTCACGTGAAGCTTGACGGTCTTTAAAGGCATGATGGTATCGAAGCCAATCTTGACGAGATCTTGAAAAAGCTGCAGCTTGCTTTCGCAATCTTGCACAGAGTCTAGAATAGACCAGTCAATGGAGCCGAAATACCTGCCAAGTTCGCATTTACGACTGGCGCGAGTATCCCTGCGGGTGAAAGAACGACGACTACCAGTGTCGTGCTCCTTGGCTTAGGCTCGAGTGATACAACCAAATGGTCAGAAAGACCAAAAGGAGGAAAAGTTTGCACAAGATCTTTGTTGTACACATGAGGCAAGATTTAACCTAGTAACCGAAGATTCAAGGTATTATTTCACCAAGAGTCAAAGAAAAGTCGCCTTTCGTTTGAGTTGTGGGTCTAATAATCCTGGCAAAGTTATAAGAGGTCTCTCATCTTTAAAAAATTCCGGCAAAGCTTAACCTGGATTTTGGGCTTTTCCTTTGGGACTAGTTAGTTCATTTAGCTTGTAAATGGTCATCGGCCTGTTTCCAGCATTTCATTATTTGCACCAGTGATCAGATTCACCGTGAGGATCAACCCGACATGTCTCCGTCATTCCATCCGCAGGTAACCTCGCCGGCATTGGTGTTAATCATAAAGAGACCAAACACATTTAAAGTTCTTCACAAGGAAACATAAGTGGTAAAAGACGTCCATCTCATGAGGACCAGTTCGAAAAGCAAAGTTTCAAAGACGAGCGGGAGTGTTTTAATAATATTTGTACCTCACTGATTCTACAAACTATTCAGTAAAATAAGTAAACAGCACTCACCATCTCTCAATGTCTTCACCGAGACTTCACAGAAATGATAGTTTCCTGAACTATCATTTGTGCCGACCCTGAACATATAGTATGTCCTAACGTCCAAATTTTCTACCAAATAATGCAATTGTTTCCCAGCTTGAAGAACACTGAAATCATCCAACAAATACAGAGGCCTATAGTATATCTGTGAAAAGAAACGTGCACCTGATTGTTATCAATATTTCAATATTATCAATGATGATGATGATGATGACTTAAATTATCTGTGATAAAATTGAGCACCAATTGCTATTACCAGTATTATTTAGACAAGCACAATAATGCACACACTGCAACAAAAGCCGATTGTAGCATAGAAATCACGAAGCTTTCAGAAAAGCAGCAAATCATATATCATAAAAGACATAAGTATTCAATGGGCATCAAGAAAACTGATACAGAATGTGTTGTCCTTTATGTGCATTAATTACTATTAGAAAAAATAGGAGACGGGTATTTTTTCTGAGGGAAGGGGCGGCTGTACACAGTTAATTTACTATCCATGTACATGGCAAGCCGAAGGTAGAAGCCCATTTCCTGGAGCGTTCAGCTATATCTATTTTACATTGAGATCATAACTAACTCTGCCTTAATTATGGCCCTAATTACTCGGCCCTAATTATGCTCTGACCCAGGATATTGAACCCTCCGCCCCTCCCCCCTCCCCCCCTCAATAGGGTAAAACCAGTACCAACCGTTCTTTGTTTACATTTTGATTGATCCTCCCACACAGGTTACTGAAGTGATCTCTAAGCATACAAGCTAAATTGAATACGTGAAATGACTTTTCAACAGGAAAAAGAACGCCTAGTCCATAGTTCTTTTTCTGGTTTAGTCTAAAAATAATAACCAATGCACACTTACGCTAAACCTCGCAGTTCCACTAGATACACGTCAGTAAATCGGTGTAAGGATACACTCTCGTATAGGTTAAGAATAAGGTTTGCATGCATCAAGTACTTAGCTCTTGATAATGTACCCAAACACACAATGTCCAGACTCTCTTACCGTGAAATTTTCTGTGTTTTCAATTTCTTGGATATTCCCTGAGTTCCACGTTAATAACACGGCTGTTGGTGAAAAGGCAGTTGCTGTACAGTTCAGTGATTGTCCAGACCCTGAAATACATACTTCGAGTATTAGCATTGCGTTTAGCTATAGTGAACAAAGCAAAGTTAGAGTATTATAGGCCCCGGTTCCTGGAAAGCCGATTATCGCTAATCCAGAATTAAATATCGCTAATCGCGACATAAATTTTATCCCACGATTAGATTCTGTTCCTAAAAGTACGATTAAGTACAAATCTAGGAATAAACTGCAAGTTAAATTTAACCCACCTAGAGTTTGTCAAAACAAACAAAATGGCGGAATAAACTGCATGTTAAATTTAACCCACCTAGAGTTTGTTAAAACAAACAAAATAGCGGACTTATTGTTCCTTTTAATTGACCCACAAATACGCGGAAGAAAGTTCCAACAGCGAGAAATTGACCTCGACCAACTAACAGACGAACAACTTCGCAGCAGATATAGGTTTGGCCGGGAGTCAATCACATATTTAGTATAAATCCTAAAAGACGATCTCCAAAGGCAGACGACTCTGTTGCCAACTCTACAAGTTCTCGTAGCGTTGTTTTCTTCACCACCTCACCGGCCTAGGATTGGATAAATTGTGCCGGCAGAATTTTTCGCGCCATATTTTTATAGAAGCAGGTGGTCGAAAAACTCGTTAAACAGGGGGGTTTTTTAAAGCACCTATCTGGGATTAGTTAATCGCGGAATAATTTCGCTTTTAGGAACAACTTATTAACCCACGACTAGTTATCCGGGGAATAAGAAATTTAATCGTGGATTAACTGCTAATCGGAGGATGATTAATCGGCTTGGGGCGAGCTGTTGTAGTTCTATTCAACACTCAAGACAATGAACCAGATCACATAAAATGCAATCTTGATTAATTCGTACTAAAACCCGAAATCAAGCCCTGTAAAACGGTGATAACATTTCCACAATAAATTATTAACAAGAGTGACGTAGATGACTTACGTAGATACAAGGCGATTAATTTCGCGGATTCAGGTCATTTATACAATAAATTTTAACACGACAAACAACTTCACCACTTCGAGTAGGACGAAAGAACTGTTGAGACGATTTTGGGACAAAGTTTAAACTTTCGAAAGGGTTACAACCACACTCAAAGCTGAGAGGAGGGGTGTCAAACGGTCTCGATATCCACAATCCTAGACTGTACCCATTCAAATGCTCACTTAGTTTTGTGCATTCCTTTTGAGTGCAGTTGTGTATCCAAAACAGACATCCGCATTACAGTTACCCCTGATAATGCACATTCTGTCAAGAAAGTTTTTTAATGTTTCTGTCCGGTTTACGTTATTATACTAATATCGTTCATTACTGTACCCGATGTTACTCGGATATTTCTGAAAAGTAATACTAGAATCAAAGAAAACGAGATTGAAAGGGTTTTATTTCACTGTGGCGCTTAGTCAGTTGGGGAGTGAAATATAAGAGTTTGCAGTTACAGATAAAGCGTAAGAGTTTGGATCGTGAAAAGCTGACTTTTTGAGCGCTACTCCTCAGTTCCCTCAGACGGCGATTCGATCTATCAAAAAAAGGTCTAGTGCTAGAAATCTTTCTACGAGACAACTGGTTGATAATTCCACACTTTTGTCTTACAAAGAAAAGAAGCTCGTCCGTGTACTTCACTAAATTGAGTTTCGTGTCACAGTTGCGTGAAATGATAAGCAGCTAATTGTAAGAGATGTAAAACTAATTACACCGAATAAAGACCCTAACACGGACGGTCCGTCCTGTAAAAAGATACATTCATTCTGACACTGAAAAATTACTAAATACTGCCGACCGTTCAGCTCACCATACATACAAAGAAATGCTTCTAGTTTAAACTCTGCCAATCACAATGAATTCAGTGGCGGGTTTGTTTCTTTCACTAAGATTCACCGGGATCTGAAGGAATGAGTCATACGAGTTCTCGTGACTTGAAAGTTGCTGTCAAGGGGCCTTAAAGAACAGTTCCTTTGTAATCAACTAAACCGCCGTGACATTTTACGTCTGCTTTATCTTAAGTTGTAGAACATTTTCGTCAAGTTTTTATTTTAGCCAGAGGGCAAGTAACTTGAAACCAATCACGGGAAACAACAACTGAAGTAAAACGTTTTGTTCTTCTGGCATCTTGGCTATCCAAAGCAAATGAACAAACGATAATTAAATGCCCACCTGCTTAAACGAAGGCGACCCACAATACTGAATCGCATTTTCAATAATCAGCTTTACAGTGATCAAATCACTAGGCGAAAAAGATGTTTGAATATAGCAGAGACTTTCAAACTTTTCAGTTGTCATGAAATTTTAACAAAATTCAATCTCCTTTTCTTGCTGTTTTATGAACTCTATTTCCATACACACTTGCCAACAAAAAACGGCTTTAATAGCATCTACATTATGATTTTGGAAGCAGCTGTAGACCAGGTTTACATAGAAAATATAAAACAATAAAGACAAAAAGGCAGAGTGTATCTCCGGAACCGGAAAACAAACGACTTAATAATTTCACCACCCACCCAGAAGCTGTGGGCAATCAATATCCATGAGTGTCTCAACATTTGGAGACATCGATGCTCGATCAGAACTATATCACTGCATGCAAATACTAGAAATTTCTCGCGTGCTTTAGAAAGAAAAACATCAGCAACAACACACCCCAACTTAGAGACTTTGGGAAAGAATGGTTGAACGTTTTTATCTGTGGTTCGCCCGTAACATTGTCATAATGTATGCTGGAATTTAGAAATCTTGTTTACATTTTATCTTATTTTTAAACCAAGCGACGTAAGGACCATAACCAGGTCATAACCGACTGCTATAAATCACAAATTTTCCAAGTCTTTTTTGTTTGTTGCAGTTTACATTTTAAAACTGTTTTAATGTTTGTTTGTTTGTTTTTTTTTTTGCCATATCATGCTTCTTAACCATTGTTACCCAACAAAATTTCTAGCGCTTATTTACCTTGTTGCCTGGTGGGCTCTGCGCGCGCTTTGTCGTCTTGAAATTTTACCATCAGCAGCAAACAAATACAAAGGGAAACTTTTCTTCCTGTAGCCATTTGATTTAACAGTGATGTGTTCTCTCTTCTCGTGTTTATTAAGCGTCGCTCAGCCCAAAGATGAGGTTCAAGCAACTTCGTGAAATGTCAGTCACGTTTTAGAGTGTCATTAGTCGCCTTGTCCTACCCCGACATTAATGCGTTTCAAAAACGACCACCAAAGGCCGGCATAGATGAACGTAAGGAAAGCGCTGAAGAAATAACCAAATCCTTGCTTCTAGTTTCTACAGATTGACCAGTACAGTGAACCGTGAACAGCGAACAATATCCTGATTCATTTAAATAATTTTAGCATGCCTCACTACAACAACTCATAACCAATTACACTCGGCGGTTTTTGAGATGCACAACAAAGGTCATCTTTTAGGAGACAAAATCATTCTTCACAGGTCAAACTTTATCAAAGATTGGATGCTAACGTGTTTCCGGACTTTGTAAACGCCCATAAAACCAAGAAGGTCAAACAAATCTTCTTATCGAAGCTTTAGTTAAAAGCTGTCCCTATTAACGCGAAAGCCGCTATTTTAGGCAAAGTTGTGTGATTTATACTGTCCGTCTTGAGTCACCAGCTACCCTACGCCTAGTTGAAAAAAGCGTTATAAGAATTAGCAAGAACTCTTTTAGTCGCCTGGAAGTGAAATAACCCCGGGTATGTAATGACCGTCCCCATAGTGCTATGCCGACCAGACATATTTAGATATTCCGGTCTTCATAACATCCTACTTAAGAACTTCGCGGAAAAGCAACTACGATCAAGCAGGCCATTGTGACAGGTAAACCATTTTGTTTTTATACACCTGACTAATTTATCACTATCGTCGAATGAAATATTTGACAATATTAAATGATTCAATTAAAAATTAAGTGTTGAACGTTAAGAAAACTGAAATTCTCACTAAAACGTACATTGTTTTTTACTGTAAACAAAGAGGAAAAAATTTAAAAGGAATAAAATCTGTCTCAAACATTCTTGAGAAAAGACAGGACCGCTTCACCGGGACGAGTTTTTTCGTGCACGAGTTCTTCCACCAAACTTTTGGATGCTGTTGTTCTAGTAACCAACTTATTAGTCGGCGCTCTTTAGAGTTCCTTGAACTGTAAATTGAAAGGCCGGGTCTATCCTTACGTATCCACTCAACCATTGTGCGTGGGCAGGTTATTTTTTTATGATACGAAAAGAGAAGCGGCAAGACTTTTGACTGTAGAAACTACGACTAGTGTAAATAGTATAAATACCAATGTCGATCATGAACCTTGTTCAGTGAACAATGCTATATTGAGAGGTTCAGTAGTTCTTGAGGCTGCAGTGTGTTGTTGCGACGGCACGAGGGAAGGGCCGCACCAAGTGTTTTCCGTAAACAGACATAGTTGTCATAAATTGTAAAGAACTGCGTCATTTCCGTCACGAGGCTTCGATGGTTTGTACTCTTAAAAAAAGTCAAAACTGAATCATCAGAAGGTACAAGACCTCTAGTTTATTAGTGAAAAAAAAAGAAATGAAATGAAAAGAAAAGAAAATAGTACAGAGAAAATATCACTGACAAAACGAAAGCCGTGTCTCGTAAACATCTGACGGCCACAGACACTAGATAAGGCCGATCACCAATTGTCAATATACAGAAAAAAATAAAGAAGTAGCAATTAAGTTGCAGGACTTGTGGTGTCGAATACATGGAGGAAGGGTGGTATATGTGTGGTTTATAAAGCGGATAGCTAAGTTCGTAAGGGGGTTGAACGCAAAACTGATATGAGTAATTAGACTATATTAGACTATATAGTTTTAACCAATTAAAAACATTCACGCCCTGAATCGAACTGTGTGGAATCACGTTCCCTATGTTACATGCACGTGTACATCTTTAATATATCTAAAAAAACTCTCTCCCTATCATTGCCACTTCAATGCCCCTTACGTTCCTCAACAATTTTGCAGAAAAAAGGGAAAATTCTATCTCCGCTATCCTCACAATCCCCACTATTAAAAAAGCACGTCCAACAACCTAAAAGGACCCGAAAGGACTAAAGCGTACAGAAAAAATAAACTGGCAATTAAAACCCACATTTTCCCACATTAATAAGCCCAAACAGATTCTTGCGTAAATGGTAATTAGCAGAAATTTGGGCTATTAATTAGCTTCTTTTCTTTACTGTAGCTTATAAAATTTCGTGGTATTCAGCTTCTTCCTTAAGTCAAATCTGCGTACTAAATAAGTATTTTTATTTAGTATGCAAAAATGACTACATAACTAAAAGGAAAACTGAACCACGTAGCAAGGCTTTAGCCCAAGAAAATAGATAATAGATTTTAGAAATAAAAAAGGAACCTGTTTCATTTATTCCAGGTTCTTGTTTTGACGGTGTCTGTCAAGCAAATAAAAAAATAGGTTCGTAAAACTTGAGCTTGGTTCTTAATTACGGTCTGTACTGTATCACATACTAAAGGTTTTCTTTCTCTTTTTGTATCTAAGTATCTCAAACGGCCTTGTCAATGTTGCTCCTTCGAGGGAGAGAAGCGACGACCGGAAATGCGTCTGCTGTTCGCAGGCTAACATTGACATTGTTGCATAAGATTCGAAATATAGGGATTTGTATGGACAGGTGGGCTCCTGGTATGGAAAAAAGATCGTTTCCGTAACCTACGAAAATGAAAGGATTTCAACAAAAAAAAAAATAGCTTACCTTACATAAAATGTGTGTTACGTCTCTCCCCTGTGGTCCATGGGCCGATTTACGGCCGTTTAATAGTTGTACTGTAAACGGTTTTCTCTCTACATATAAAGGTTTACCCAGCGAAGCGGCCCGACAGATCCACCGAAGGAAAACGGCCGTAAATTCGCTCCAACGGCTCCAGTTGCCTCCAAAATTTCGTCTAGGAAACACGCGATAGTTCTGCTTTCCATTCGTCATCTTGCTTCAAGATGCCTTTGCACTGAGAGTGAATCAAAGATCGTCAATCTCAGCAACCTTTCTCTTGCGGAGCCATCGACAGAACCTTGTTTGAACTCCTCTTTACCGTTGAAAGGTAGCGACATGGCCCGAGACTCAAATTACTCACACTCGGGGTGGGCAGTCTCTTGCTCCCGTTGCTTTCTTTCTCGGGTATTGATGTCAACGGGAGCAAGAGACTGTATCCCACCCCGAGTGTGAGTAATTTGAGTCTAGGGCCGTGTCGCTACCTTTCAACAGTAACGAGGAGTTCAAACCATGTTTCTGTCGATGGCTCCAGACGGGAAAGGTTGCAGCGATTGACGGCCTTTGATTCGCTCTCGGTGCAAGTCCTGCAAAGGCATCTTGAAGCAAGATCACGAATGGAAAGCAGAACTATCGCCTGTTTCCTAGACGGAATTTGGAGGCCACTGGAGCCATTGGAGCGAATTTACGGCCGTTTTCCGTCGATGGATCCGTTGGGCCGCTTCCCTGGAGTCCCCAACCAGTAGAGAGAAAACCGTTTACTGTACAACCCATAAGAAGGCCATAAATCGGCCCATAGACCACACAGGAGAGATGTTAACACACATTTTATGTAAGGTAAGCTGTCTTTTATTGAAATCCTTTCATTTTCGTAGGTTACGGAAGCGATAGGTTTTTTTCCCATACAAAGCCTTATATTTCGAAATCAATGTTACGCAACAATGCCGATGTTCGCCAATGCTCATATTTCGAGCTTGGGCTACCTGTGCTATAGAAGGAGCCAATGATTTAATGGTAAGCCACTGTATACCCGGCAATGCAGAGACATTTAACAGACACCAGCTTATACTTAATTGATAAGGCCTTTTTTTGAAGACTCAGGGGAGAGCCCTTATTATTTTCTCTAAGTTACACCACCTTAATACAAACATCCGTTAATGTGGACAGCAGACACTTTTTTCTTGTCTAATCAACAGATTCTCAATTAAAGTGACCTCGGAGATACAGACAATTCATCTCCAGCTGGGTGTAACTTTTCTGATAAAACCCAATAACCAAAATCTCTTTTTTTCACAGCCTGTCGCGGCTTCGTTTCCCGTGCAAAGGAAAACTTGTGGTGGGATGGGGGAGGGATGGAAACGAAGTGTAAGTCTATATCTCGCAAAAATTTCAAAGGGACCAAAGAAAAATGTTTAGATGTAACGGAAGGATGATTAAAGACGCCCTCTCCTTCGGTACAGATGAACAAGGAGTTTGAGCACGAGATTATTTCTTTCTTTGCACAGGGTACAGCTTAAGGGACTGGTCATTACTAATGGAAGAAGAGGGAAAAACGAAATCGGCCTGTTACGGGCATTGAAATATATACATCCATGGATACATGTACATGTAACTGCGGTTAAGCGCTGAGTCTTTACGGGGAACATTCAACAGCAACCTCGGTTTTACACAGGACCCTCGCCTATCATCCTGTCGGTTTACATGTAAACCTTACTTTATTGTTTGTTTAAATCATTATACGTGGAGAGATTTTACACTTAACGTTTCATAATCACTGATCGCTCCCTAATACGACGCTTGAAAACTCCGCGAATGTCAAGAATTTCTGACGTAGCTTGCATTTTATTACTAAAAAATACCCCAACTTTAAATTCCCCTTGTTTCAGCAAATTAATTTAATTTGATCTCAATTGATATAGGTAATTTAACCATAAATTTAGTTGTAAAAAACCACGCTCATTGCACGTCGTTGGACATGCGTACACAAGCGTAGCTGGTTCTTGGGTCGGCTGTGGCTTAATTTTAGTTTTAACTGAATTACTACTTCAACGGAAAAGGTTAAATTTGGTTCTTTACTTCCCGAGGAGGGCGGAGAGAAGGAAAAGAGCACATTTATTTCTTACGATTAGGACAAGCCAATACAGATGTAGGAGATAAAATACCGCAGACAGACAAACAACTACAACGGCGACACTAAAGCCTGCTTTGATGGTAGACAAATCAAATAATGTTCCGACCTCCAGTCGATAATCTTAATAAAATGCTATCACCAAGCACTTCTCCCAAATATGGATAAATACAGCAGTAAAGAGTGTTCTACTGTGTTCTAGTACAAGTGCTTATCCATAATCCTTTAACAAAGTACGATACTCACTGACTCTGTATTACGTATAATTTTAAGAAGAATAAAAATAACAGGTTTACGGAGCACTGGAAAGACAAATAAAGCCATTTATTTGTATGTATAAGGTAAGTGCGAACACTCCAGTTTCAACCACTGTTCAGTTTAGCCTGACTGAAAGCAATTTCACGGTTATGGTAACTGATACACGCAGCCTTGTCGTACATAACCACAGCAACTGGCAATCATAAGATGGTATCACGTAAAGTGAATCCCGTTGGAATTGAAGAGGTGTAAAAGCCTGAAAATCAAAATGAAGCGTCATTTACTTAAATTATAAAACATTAAAAAACAACATATAAGAACAACGGTTTCTAGAATCATTCTACCCGAGGAAAAGAAGAAATAAGAGGAGAAACGGGCGGGAAGTGGGGAAGAAAAAAAAGGAGGGGAGTGGACTTAAGAAAGGAAAGAGAGGGGGAAGGGAGGAAAGAGAAGAATTGGCAGGCAAAGAATGATGAAAATAATGATAAATTTGCATAAACGACAAAAAATAAGAGAAAAGAAAGAATGATGATTGTGTGGATTGCGGAGGGAAGGAAGTATGGCGAAGGGCAGTAAGTTACATACCTCCAATCTTGAGATGACCGAAAATGCCCATGAAAGTAAATACATGGGAAAAAAGCCAGTGCTATTTAATATATTTTTTGGCCTTACCCTGGAGAGGACAGTGACTTCGCAGATAGGTGGTACAAAAGTCGCATTCAGTTTGATGTGAGTTAAGGGAATTCTTCTGTCACGTCATACGACTTTCTTTCTTGTACGTTTTGGTCACAAATAGATTATATCTAGTTTGTTGTTTATATCTTAAAGGTCTCGTCATTGTACTCACCCAAGGAAATCGTCCATGTCCATCGTACGGGCGCGCATTTTGTCATAACCTCCTTCTGTTAACAGCTTTTGGATTTTTTCTTTGATATCAAAATCCGCATCAACCATCTAAAAGGATAGAATGAATTTTTTTTTCTTTAATAGGAAGTTAATTTGCAAGTTTTTTAAACACGTTTACGACATACGACTCGCCACTTTGAAAGAAACTTACGTCCTCATCGTTTGTAAGCTTATATCTATAATTTGGAAGTGATTTCTATGAAGGAATTTCGTAAGTTACGATTTGAAAAGGATATAATAAGAACGATAACAATTCCATTATTTACCCTCTGGTCATTAAAGAGGCAGAGAAAAGGACTGAAACAAATAATTTAAAGGCAACAATCAACGTGGTTAAGAATCCTAGTTGGTTGAAGACAAACTAGTTGGCTACTGACAAGAGTGGTCTAGGAGTTGAACTCTGGACTGCCGTGAACAAATCGAGCTAGCGATTAGGGGAATGCTTGTTTAGTGAATTGCTCGTCCAGCGCTCTAATACTTCCTGCTAACCAGTTTGAAAGATAAACATTTTTTGCAAAACATTTTGGATTTCCGGTGCCATAGGTCTCTCTTACTATAGGCCCACCAGCCCTCTTCTAAAATAAAACAGTGGTAATTTTTCCTCTGCTAGAGCAAATGCATTAATGTGCAAGGAAAACCTTTTAAGTACAATGAAAAAAAAAATCGAACAAACAAGTTTACTCTTAGAAATTGCTTACTATATCGTTCAATGAGCAGTGAATCTTGTAGTTTTTCTCCAACATTTCTGTAACAGCTCTTGAACTGTTAACGAAAGGACAAATAATGTGATTACATGTTTATAGTGATTAAAATGAGCGCACCATTTACTGGACAATATTATTCATACAATATGACGTGCTTGAATTAACAGCCGCAGCAAAGTTCAGGGTCTGAACGCGCTCAAAACCACTCATAGCATTGTTGAAAACTGCGGTAGATATCATTTTTTTATCCCCTAAAACTGTTCATCTGTTCGTCCCTTGTCAATCCGAAAATTAGAGCTACAAAACTTATGTATCCATGAAAAGGCTCAAAATTTATTGGCCTTTGTACAAAAATCTTAAAAATACAAATAAACTGTTCGAAAATTCAGGCAGGCAAGCAAGAAATTTTACAACAAATGCTCAAAATTCAATCACCGTCAAACAGAATTTTTTGCCGTTGGGTGCCCCTGAAGGTTTGTTTGTTTTCTACAGACCGTAATGCCTTGGAAATGATCCACGTTATCAGGTACATGTATTATTTTATACCAGTCAATGCTTAAAAGAATCACCGTTGCTTTGCTTGCACTTCGAAACACTCCTCTCTTTAAGCCTGAGGCGCTCAATCTCATCAAAACTGCTTATCATTTATCCAAATCCTGTGCTGTATGTCCCTTGTCAAGATTAGAGCTACAGATTTATGTATCCATGTCATTTATTGTATGTACAAATCTCTACAAATAAACTTTCAGAAAAAAACAGACGCGAAAACAAAGTCACCGTTACAACATGAATTTTTTTCATTAATTCAGGATTTTTCTTGCAATTTTTTGAACGTAAACTATAGTTGAAAAATAAACCAAAACAAGACACTACTACCAAGAAATGTTATGGACTGAGAGCAACCTCTCCATTTCCAGTGGCAAGCGAACGCACGATTGAGCGGCGAAGACGTGAGGGGCGGAGGGAACTAAGAGCTCTCACATTCTTTCCCCGCACCTTGCTCCCACATCTCCTATCGTGTACCACTCGCAAGTGACTTCTCTCGATATCCCTTAAACGGAGAGCTTGCTAGCAGGCTGTGACGGTTTTCATTCTTCTGAGAGATAGTTGCATCGTCATAATAATGGCTCAGTCAATTCCAAACGTACCCATTCCCCCAAAAGCATTTGTGAAGAGCTGATATCTCTTGGCTCTCGAAATCTGACAAAATTGCTCAAACTCTTGTCTGCAGCCAGACCCGTCAATTCTAATCACTTGCGAGATTTATCTCCAGATATCGTTCCGTTTCTAGCTTAAAAACCTTCCAAACTGAAAAGTATCTCTGTGTTGTATTAAAATGTTGAAAATGCTTATCGCCATAATTTTGTATGTTAAACACTGTCACACAGTCCTGTCCACTTTCATGACCCACACTTACGAGATGTCAATAACTCTTACAAAAATAGGAGTCCTCTAAGACAATATGAGGTTACTGGTGGTGAATAACAATAAAAACGGTGAAAAACGAGTTCTCTACTCGTTTTTTAAACCAGGCTTCAAAAAGAAAGAGTATATCAGTCTGATGTACTGATTAAAGATGTGTAAGGCATGGGTAAGGCGTCAATTACGTTCATCATGAAATTGGCTGTTTGATGTTGGGGTCAAAATAGGTAAACTCAACAAAACAAAGACGTCTTTGTGTAGCATTTTTAATTTTCAATTCGTCATAAAACAGTTTAAAAAACAGCAACAATTTATAATTAGGGGGAAATTTTCAAACACAAAATTAAAATAAATAAATGATATTAACGAAAAGGAAACACACAAATTGTTCTGGCCCTTTCCATTGAAAAAGCTGTGATGCAAACGATAAATGTTCTCAAGGACTGACGGCTGCTCCGTGCAAGATACAAACACATTGATATTCTAACGATCACCTTTCCAATCCTATCAAAACCTTTCAAAAACAACTCAATATTTGGAGAAAGATGTGCCTGGTAAAATGAGAAGAAAAGATAGAAAACTCAAAAGACTGTCCATCCTCGCCAAGATATCCAAACGCGTCACGTTGAACTAAATGGGAAAACGAGACTACAATATCCTAAGTCAGCGGTTTAAGTTGCGTCATAACTTGGAAGGTTGCCCAATTCATTTTTGGCCTACGGATGCGACGCGACGAAAAATTCATTCCACGCAGCAGGCAAACAAAACGAAATCTTCAAAGCCCTCCCTTGATAATTTCAGAAGACCACAAATGATTGATCTTTGCCTTTTTTTTGCTGCGAAGAAAGCGAAGCAACGCTTGTAGCCATTGTGGCCATCGTTCAATTAATAAAATCAAAAGTCAAGATAGCGGCAAACCAAGTAATTTTCGCCACTTGCTCCTTTTAAAATATTTTATCGTTTCAATCATTTTCAATTCAACCAAGCGATTATTTTTGTCCCTTTTCTTCCATCTAGCGCACGAGGACCACTAGTGCACGATATTATAGCTAATTTTCACATTACAAACTACCTTGGGTCGCAGTGACGCAATCGGCTAATCCCTCAACTTAGGGTGCGTTCCTTTGGGATGATCCGGATCAGGATCAGCGATCCGAGATCATTTGGATCATGGTAGATCACATGAGCCCATGAATCCTTGTCCAGAGTGGATTCATCGGTTCATTTGATCTACCATGATCCGAGTGATCTCGGATCACTGATCTTGATCGGGATCATCTCAAAGGAACGCACACTTAGAGTCTCATCTGATCTGACGGGTCGCAGGTAAGTCGGTTCAAACTCCGGGCAAGCCAAAAATAACAATTATTTCTTCCTCGAAAAATTAAAAAATAAATAAAAGAACTCGAAGTGATCTCGAGGTATCACGAACTAATCCCGATATCACTTCGTCAAATAGCCGACTCAAACCGAAAACTCACGGACTTTGCGTGCCCAATCTTGTCTAAAAAAAGCAAGTTTAGGACATTCCTGAACGTCGCGAATCCTTTACTTGGCGCTCCGCCCAAGTAATAATGATTTCCATAGAGCTGCAGCTAGCAAACAAGAGCCAACTCACCTAAAACAAGCATTTAGGGTTTTGTTCTTCCGTACAAAAGCAATTCTCACAAGACCATCCCATTCCTGTCAAAGGTAAACAGACTGATTATTAATATTACTATTTTATTATTATTATTACTATTATTACTTAATAATCATAATAGTCATTTGTAATTGTGACCAAGCAAGGGATTAAAATCCCTGAAGCACCGGGTCCAAACCATGGACCTTGGGAACCAAAGAGTTCACTTAATTGACAGAACCCTTCAAAGGATATGAGCTGTTCCCAGAAGAGTAATTTTTTGCTTCTTGATGCTTGCTGTGCCTGGAATTTTGTAACGTACTTTTCCAACCGTTTTTGAATGACCCTAAGCTCAAAAAACAACAACTAGTATCATCTCTGTTTTTATTTTCCATTCTGGCTACTTCAATCTCTAGGTCTTTTCACTTAGACAGTTTCTCGACTGCCTTAACGGATGTATGTCGGTCCGTTTGGACTGCCATATCTATAATCTGGCAAGTGACTATGATATCTGGTTTATTAGCCACTAGTTTCTCTATCGGTGTGAATTGATATATTCCACAAAATTGCCGCCTGTTCCTTTTCTGCAACAGTTTATTATTATTATCATCGTTATTATTATCATTCAAATAACAAAAGTTGGAAGTGTTAAGCTAAAAGAATAAATACCAAGTAACAATTCAAACAAAATTCAGTGCTTAGGTGGTCTGCATGTACAGTAAAGAACGAAATTCCGCGCTAGTTGGTATTTCTCCCAAAAAGACTCTAGTTAAGACTGAAAGTATATTATCATCATCTCCTAAAAAACCCTGTACAAGAAAGACATTTTTATACACAAACCGTTTGTTTATGAAAATGTCTTTCTTGTTCAGTGTTCAATTGACTTTCTTTGCACCCTGCAAACGTATAGAAAATTGGTAAAAAATATTTTTGTTATTGTCATATTGAAATGGTACTAAACGATCGGATTTGTATTATAGGATGGAAATGTGTAAAATCAATTTGTAGAAGTAAGGTAGGCACATCTTTTCAAGAAAAATCCTGCTGTCATTACAACACGTAGATTGAAGACAAGATCAAACCATCATATTTATCCTGTATGTTACTTTTATGATTTGTCATGGGATGATAGTTGCTCTTTAAAAATCTTGATAGACTTTGAGTGATGTTGCCATACACGAAGATCACACTTTTTTCATATTCTGGGACCACGATTTTGAGTTTCATTTTGTCCCTTTCTATCTTTCCCAGAGGATTTGAAAGATACTGGAGTTAACAAATTACACCTATTGTTTGGGAAATGACCCCGTCTTAAAATGGGATGGACCAGCAAAGGAATACAAAGAGACTTAAGCACATTTTATCTAGTACTTACAAAACAAGACAAGGTTTAAAAAAATCTGTCAAAAGGAAACCCAGTTGAACACAGGAATACCTGCTTGTGGTCTGAGCTAGATGATCAGAGCAACCTACACAATGCAATCAAGCTTTATTAACAAGGCCTTCTCGAGCAATGAAGCGACACTACAACCAGCGAATTATTGAAGTCGAGCATGGCTCCTTCAGCCCTCTCTGTCTCACCAAATGGAGGAAATGGCAGAGAAGCCGAACGATTTCGCACTGAACTAGCAGTTCAGCAGTTTTACGTGTAAGAGGCTCCAGAACAATTAAACATGAGTTGAACACTGACATTAGCAGGGCAGAGATCACAAATGAGATCGGAAAAGTAAAGTACATGTAGGCACATTTTTTTAAGCATTGCATAGAGTATTTTTAACCCCAGCCTGGGGCTTTTTATATTTTTCCCAAAATATAACAATTACATCAAGCTTTATTTTCTTTTATTTAATAGCAAATACACACGTAAGATTTCTTATAAAATGTCTACAAGACAGACTGTATTTGGCTATGAAAAGAGAACTTACTGAATGATAACGCTACTAATTTTCTAGTGATCACAAAATTTGTAGGAATTTGAAAACTTACCTTAAAATTAACAGGTGGTGGTGGATTTTTGGGTTCTATTCTGACCACACTGGATTCAACTTTTGGGGGAGGACGGAAATTATTTTTGCCAACCTGTCACGTTTTAATCATATGTTACTAAAAAGTTGATATAATTACATGTATGCTACTGTTTTCTTTTGCAAGAGGCTAGAAGAATGTTTTTAGTATATAACTACATGGAGAGACGTCCAGATTTATGCACATACACAAACAAAACATTACTAGTACTTATTAATTAATCTGTGATCAAGAGAGGATAAATCTGTTCAGCTGTCAACATCGATAAATCCATGACCTCCGATTGGCTACCCTCTAATCCTCTCAGGAATCAAAATTCTCATCTAGATCTAACATAACATACGAGGTATTAAAATGGATTATAGGGCTAATATGTAGCATGAACTCTCGAGTCCTTTACCCTCTCTTGCACTGATTTAATAGAAGGTACCTTCATGAGGTGGTCGACCCTGGCGAGCAGCTGAGTATTGATTGACAGGCGACAATATAGTTTATCTCCAGGCTGAGCAATTAATCGCTGAGCAAATTCTCTCTGAAACATGAGAACTGCACACCTGCACATTTAAGAATGAAAGTCATTTTCAAAAAAAGTAATGTTACGTCATTATCTCAGTCTCACAGAGCTGAATGAATCAACTTTAATGTAAATATTTTTTTAAGTCTAGAGTTAGGAAATTTTTCAGTGATTTTAAGTAGCTTCTATATTTCTGTATTTTCTGAAACTATTATTTTATTGTGTTTCTATATATTTTTAGGTGATCTGTTTTTGTATAGGGTCTAGGACTCCTTTACAGTTCATCCTTTGGTTTTTTAATCCATAGATTGCAATAAATAAATAAATAAACTTGAAAAGAAGAGAAGCTGCTAATCAGTACATACAGCTGTAATAGAGCAACAGCTGGACATATAACAACAACGGTAATAATAATAATAATAATAATGGATTTGCAACGTAAACCAAACTAGAATTGCGATCCCATGAGCCTAAATAAAATTTGATTAACTCTCAGCCAGGTGAGAATACGAGCTGCAAAATTTATGCCAGAACAAAAACATGGTCATCTGAAAAAGCTCTTTAAAACATAAACGAGACCACGGGGAAGTTAATGCACCAAAATTCAGTTTTCCCAAAAGAAAACCCTTTGGGTATTTATGGTTGGCAAGTTGCGACTTTTATTCTGTAGATAAAAAAGACAATTAAAAAAAGACACAAGGCAGGCTTATGCAGTTTAGTGCATTGGGCAGTGGGGAAGAAAAGTACCCCAAGTACCAAACACCTAATAGTGCTAGTACGGAAGGCAATGACAGTAGTATGTTTGAGGCTATTGAACAGGTGTACAGCTTCTGGGCGGATCTGTGGGAGAAGAGTGGGACTGGTAACAAGGATGCGAAATGGCTCCTGAACCCAACAGGCTAGTAACCTACTGGTGGAAGCTTGCACATGTACTCCACTGGGGTGTAACACAAGCTATCTTGTCCATCTCTGAGAGCAACGTGGATAATCTCACTTGGTTCGCAGAGGGTAAAACCAGGCTCATCCCTAAACCAGGAGAGTTCTTGAGTGAGAACCAGTGACCGATAACATGTCTAAATAACACCCATAAGTGCTTTATTTGTACAACTTGTCTCCTGGAACCCCATGGACAATCATCTTGGTGAGTTTTACTTGATGGAGTGTGGTCAAAGAGGCGCCAAAGAAGGATACAGTGGCACATCAGATAATCTAATGATTGACAGAATGGTCACCATGAACTGTCAGAGAGGAAAGCCAAACGTGAGTATGGCCAGGGTGGGTGTGAAGAAAGCTTATGATTCCATGGCTAATATTATGGAAATCCACCGCTTCCCCTACTGGTATTGTAGAGTGATAAGACATGTAGTCCCCAGTTAGAACACCAAGTTAATGGCTGTCACTATGGTAGAAATGAGGTCTCCTATACTATTAGATTCAATAGAGGTCTTCCTCAAGGTGACGCCTACTGTCCTCGTCTCTGTGCTGTACTAAAATCCAGTTGCCAGGTCTCTTTCTGCAACTCAGGGTATAGGTTATTCAGACCAATAAGCACCAATATAACCCAACTGCTGTTTATGGACGATCTCAACGTGTACAGAACTGTATGCTTCATCTGCAGCCAAGCTGATCACAGTTTTAAGATCTACCAACTCTGCAATGCAGGACATGGTCACATTAATAGGCCCTCATAGGTCAGGTTCGACCATAGGTAGATCTGTCCGGGCTGTCAGCTCGGCTTGAGCAGTGTCGCCTGTGATTAAACAGGCTAATCTGAGAGACAGTCTGTCGAAGAGGTCGCTTCTGTGCGTGGTTTCAGGTCTGGTGGTGGGATACTTTCTACGATCTTGCCAAGCTTTAGCTGTTTGTGGAGAGTGTTTCTCCAAGTTCCGCGGTCAGAGGAGAGTAGGCAGCCTTGTTTTATGCCGCTGCATATTTCAAAAGGCTCAGATGAACTGCCGTTGAACTGCACTGTTCCCTTCATGTTGGAAAGGAAGGATTCGATCAAGCTGCGTAGTTTTAGGGGCACCTAATCTTTCAGAGTGCTTTGAAGACGCCATCTCTACTGACAAGGTCAAAGGCCATGGTAAGGTCAATGAAGGCAACATATAGTGGCATCTGCTGCTCTCTGCACTTCTCTTGGAGTTGATGGAGAGAGAAGACCATGTCTACTATAGAACCTTTGGCTCGGAAGCCACACTGTGATTCGGGGAAGATGCGCTCAGCCACCTTCTGCAAGCGGATCAGAAGGACTCAAGCAAAGGTTTTGCCGATGACGCTGATAAGGGAAATGCCTATGTAGTTGTTGCAGTCAATTCTTTCACCCTTGTTTTTGTATAAAGAGACGACCTTGGCATCCCTCATGTCCTGTGGTACTGCTCCCTCTTTCCAGCACTGACAGAGAATTTCATGTAAAGGCTGCAGTAGGGTGGTCTTTCAGTGCTTGATGAGGTCTGGGGGGATGCCATCACTGCCTGATGTCTTGCCAGAGGCTGAGCTGTATATGGCCTTGCTGAGCTCCTCCACAGTCTGTTCTGCATTTAGCTCTTTCATGAACGGTAGGCATTCGTTGGCATAAAGCGCCGTGGGCGACACGATGTCCTCTCTGGAGTAGAGGTGGGAGTAATGTTTCTCCCATTTCTGTCCCGCAGTGGCCTAACCAGAATCAGATCCAGTTGGGTGCCAGTGCCTTGGATGCCAGTGTCTCCAAGAGACTTTGTGCTGAGGTTTTGTCTCGAAGTAGGAGTTAGTGATACAAAGGTTGTGGAAAGCACAGAGCTTAAGCAGTCGCTGACTGACGATTTTCATTCATTTTCCCTGCTCCAAACTGGAACCCCGAGAGGTGCAATGTCATAAATGTCAGGAGAGAATCACTAATGCATGACACAACAGATCTCAGGCAGGATCAAACGGCAGTTGTTGAAAAGTTTGAAGGCGATTTCTACCTACAAGTTTCCAGGAGTATGCAAAAGACTGTGTTGCAGGATGAAAAGCAGACTTCTGAGCTTGCGGCAAAGGCTTATCTACAAGGGATGTCGGTAGTTTGCAGTTGTCCTATTTCCGGTGTCAGCCGTGTTAAAGCTCCTAACCAGTTTGCTCTTCCCGTGCTTTATTTACCTACTTGATGTTGACCCAGCACTGGCCCATCACTGAGCTTAGATCAATTGACAGAGAGGTGAAAAAGATCATTCATGAGAGTGGAGGCAAACACCCACTCAGCTCGACGGCTGAATTGCACCTGTCAAGAGACCAGCATGGTTTGTACAACTTCAGACATACAAATTTCAAGTACTCCTCAAGGATTTTTTCAAGGACAAATAATAGTTTTCAACGACTAAGATTTATTTAATAAATCGGCATTCTTTAACCCCCTTTTGAACACCTCATGCATGGCTAAAACACGTCATGGAGTCACTTACGATTTTACGTTATCAGTGAGTTTTACAGCTTTTTACACCAAGGATGAGCCAACTTTTCAGTGGCAAAAAATCTAATTTTTACAGAAAATTGTGTCGGGCGTAGACAAGGTAGTGAATTTCGAGGAATTCAATACCTCATAAAGAAATAAATTACTTTTCAAGGACTTTAACCGAATTCAAGGACTTTCAAGACGACTACTAAAATTCAAGACCTTTTCAAGATTGTACGAACCATGGACAAGGGAGGGCAGGGGTTGCGATCAGTTGAGCAGGAATAGAAACTCACAAAAATTAAGTAAAACTGTATCAGAACCCAGACCCCTCCATGATGGCCGCTAAAAGGTTGAAGAGAAAGTGGCCGAGAAATGGCCTTCATTGCTAATTGCTGAAGCACATAAATTCGCAGAGGACCTTGGGGCAAGTCTAATCTTTAAGCATCCAGACCCATGGTGTAATTCGCACGAGAGCTCAGAGGAAGTGGCTGAAGGAACAAAGGAAAAAGCACACCGGAAGAAAGCTCAAGTGGATAAGTTACAAGAAAACATCAAGGCAGAAAAGTGGAGAATGAATACTCATCTCATTTCCCTATTCTGTTAGCAGGCCATAGCAAATTCAAGTTTTTCTCTTTAGGTTATGTTATAAATAACAAGGTAGACAGTTCAGTGTGTATTGATCAGAGTTACAAACACAATTAATAGGAGGATTGCTTAAGGGCTCACAAACACAAGCAACATTTTTTTTGGTTGATGTCAGTGCACAAGGAGATATGAAGCAACTCACCTTATTTAATTTGGTTAGGAAAATATTCTACTATAACGATTTTATAATTGCTGTTTGTGAATGTCATGAGCAAAAGCCGAGATTTGAGTGCTATTTCAAAACCGAGTGGGATGGTTACATCAGGTTACCTAATGCCAGAAAACATTTGAAACCACGACGCCGCAGGCCGAGTGGTTTTATTATTGTTTTCGAGTTTCTGGAAATTACTTCTCCAACAAAGAAATTAGTAGAAATTATCATTTCAATACGTTTTCTTAATTCAAACACATTTTATTTGAGTTGTGAACCTGTAACCTACTTGGTACCCGCTGGTGTGTGATTACATTATTTCATTTGCATTCAATGCTGTTTGTGACTTCTGAGCAGACACGTTGCTTCACAATACACATTGTAGAGTGCAGATTTGGATGTCCTAAAACTTGCGAAGGAGAAGAAACGTGTGTGGCCAGCGCTATACGTATGTCTATCCGATATAAAACCAAAAGGGCGGCTGGGATTTTTGATGATTAGCGAAGAGCTCGATTTCGTAAAGTTGCGACGTTGGAACCGGGTGGTCTCTTCAAACATTATGATCTGCACAAAGCTGAGTCCTTGGAAGTTTCGTTAGTTAAAAAAGATGCTTTAAGCCTTCATTTATTTAAGAAGTTGCCAAACCGTCAAAGGAAAGATATCCAGCCAAAACGTTATACCATATTGTGTGCGGAATACGCCGTTTCATCGTGAGAAAGAATGAGAAGTAGGATTTTATTCCTCTCGATGCTTCGGGCAAAAGACGCAGTGGTGTTGCTTTATATGTCATTTGTCATTATTCATTTTGATACGTTGATACTGTTACACTCAAAGGTAGCAGTAAATAAGCTTACTCTAAAGTGTATTGCAGCTCTATGATGAAAGTAAGTTTTTCATCTTCCTGCGTTGCTCTTGCTGTATGAATATGCAGATTAAGAAACATTTTACACATGGGTTTGAAATCGTTTCTAAACACGTATGGTCTTCAACTCGTTTTTCATTGGGTTTCTAAACTCATCCACCTGACCAGAAAGAGGCGCTCTGGTTGGGTGACAATTCATGAATAATATATTTTTTTATTACTGAGACTTTTGAGAACCCAGTTCTAAGACCTTAGTATCGTGACAACTAAAGCGTTAATACCTCTGCCTAAGAATCAACTAAGAAAGACAGACCACCATGACCTATTGGGGCCTGTTAGGAAACTTGAGTCGATCCATTCAAGGATTCAATGAAACAGTCATCAATAGTGCCTCATTACTGTAATCTGTTAGCAAGGGCCTGGTAACAAGGTACAAACCAATAAACAGCCATTACCTGAAGAAAGGTCTATGAAGAAGAAGCTTGAAAACAAATGGGGATGAAATCTGTGAACACAAGAACATGATAACAACAAAATTAGTGGTATTTTGAATAAAGGAAATCATTTTTCTTAACACCAAGACACTAAGTGTTTGCTAGAAACCCTTGGCTGCAGGTTTTATACTAAAATACAATTATTAAGTGCCGACAATTGGCTAAAGAACAGGCTACTTCAAGTTTCGAGCTGCCTACTTTTCAAGAAAATTATAAAGGTAAGAAAGTGAAAGCCTGAATTATCAGTGATCCAGACTTGCTAAGTCTCACGACGTATCTCACGCTCTCATGAGTTGGCAACTGATTTTTCACACTTTCTCGAAAATTCAAACTCAGAAAAAAATTTTGGCGCTGAAGGGGTCGTGTCCAAGTTAGGTATAGCCAACTCAATCCAAAGAAAACCTTTAGCAGTCACGTTTGATTACATTCTTTTAGCCTACCGCGACTTGCCGCTGCCACCAAATGCGCAGACTTACTGTTTCTCATGTTTCAAGATGGCCGCCAGCAAAACGTAGAAATCACAAATCCTACATCGTAAAATTGATGGTGATGTTTACAGCTCCAGCTTTAAAGTGATATGTGACTTCTAATACCCATAATCCCCGCTGGAAGTCCTTCCACTTGGAAATTTGGGACGTCTCACTACTTTATACCCATTTCTCACCACTTTTTCTAGCTCTAGGTTCAGAATCTCACAGCACAATAAAATTTAACTGTTGTATAAATAGCTTAAGCTTATTACATTTCAGCTATCGACCACTGTTGACTCCCGATGACTCGCACACTTGCCAACTCCAACCTCGTGCTAACAGTAAAATGTATGCACTATTTAGGCTATTTAGGCTCTGTTTTGAACATTCTGATTTATAATCTAGATTCATCACTCCATTTTCACTTAACATTTCTACAATTATAGTAAATGTGATTAATATGTTCACCGTACAGTTAAAACTGTTTTTTTTTTATCCCTTATGTCCGGCCATTTGCTTTAAGTTCCCGATAACTAAAATTCCTGATACCTCAAAGCTCTGTTCAATTTCCCTTGAAGGTTCGAGTTATTGCCTGGGAGTCGACTGTACATCTCAACATGTGCCTCCGACTCAATGAAAAAGCTTATAATCATTTGAACGTGAACATGGTTTTCATGGTTGTCTCAAACATTTCAAAAGTGTTACGCTTGGCTTCTTCAAACACTCTTGTAGGTCTGGCGGGTGTTGACATCATAAACAGACTTACTGAGATTCAAATGGTATGTTTTGTCTATGCCTGTAGATGTATTAGAAATAAATCACTCCTTACCTGATAAGGGAGATTTGCTACACACACATCAAAATATGGCAAATCTGTCCTGAGTACATCACCAACCATTACATGGAGTTTGCTTGCCTGAGGTCTATGGCAGAACAAAGTCATGTTAAATGCTAAAATAACAAAGAAAAACAGTTTTCTCTCGATGTAAAACCTTTAGAAAGAGAGAAAATCGTTTACATAAAAACCCATAAAACGGCCATAAATCGGCCCGTGGACCACACAGGAGAGAAGTAACACTCATTTTCAGTAAGGTAAGCTGTTTTTTATTGAAATCCTTTCATTTTCGTAGGTTACAGAAATGATACATGTAGGTTTTTTCCCCACAAAATCCTTTATATTTTGAATGTTACGCAACAATGCCGATGCTTGCCGATGCTCATATTTCGAGCTTGGGCTACCTGTGGTTTTACAAGTCACCTTTTACTGTGAAACTCACAAAACCGTGAACACCAGAAATATTCATGGAATGTTTTTGTGTTGCGAAGAGAGAGCCAGTAAGGCGTGAGAAGCCTAAACCACAAACAACAAGAATAGTTAGTTTGTGGTTTTGTGGTTTGCCCACGTCTTGAACTTCATTGTGATTGGTCACTACACAATCAACTTTCCTGAAATTTTTCAGCCATTCACGGTTTTCTGCGTTTGACAGTAAAGATGTTAACTGAGTCAGTTGATTTAACAGTATCACTGATGCCATTTCAAAGCTTTGCCCCTGGGTAGGAGAAGGACCGCTGACCAACAGCTCGATGGCATCTCGAAATGTTCAGCTGACTACTCTGTCTCGTTCTTCTCATGCAAATTTGACTTGGTCAGCCACATTTCTCGGCCAAGTAATTAGGAACAAGATTGTTTATACATGTACAATTAAACATCATTACGGCGTTATTCAATTAAACTCTGTCACTAACAGGTAGTCAGCTTAAGGATTTATTCCCTGTGAAGTGTGATCAAACTTTTTTGAGACTAAGTACAATTCGTGCTGCAAAGTTCTGCGCAAACTGCAGTTTCTTATGTTGCACTTACGGGTATTTGACCAGACAGATGAGCAATAATAAATTTTGCTGAAAACAAGGGAACTTAACAGGAGCAGTATTGTGATGTTATCTAGTAAAATAATGTTTAAGGAATTCACTTACGTTCCTTGAACTCTCTTCTGCAGCTCAGCTACCATCCGAGGATCAACTTCACAAGCAATAACCTAATAGATAATGATCACACTGTATCTTTCATGATCTGAATAATACAGTAAAACCTCAGAAGACACCCTCAGGGATTGCTCTAGTGTCCACTTAATACAGGTGTCCACCTTATACAGGTTTTGATAGAGAATGCTCTATGAGTAGTCAAATATCATTCAAATGAACAATGAAAACACTTGGAATACTCCAACAGTGAGTGACAATCATATTACATTTTTATAACATATATTATATGTTTACAACAATTTATTTATATCAGTGGACCAATAATACAAAATACTAAATGGAGATTGCACCTCAAAATTTAAGAGATAAAATGAGTAAAATAAGCTCTATACAAACAAATTAATGAGATAACAGTACGTAAACTGATCAACAGGTTAATGTGAGTATGCATGACATTGTCACTCAGTGCCTTCCTCGTAACTGTTGAAAAGATAAACTCGCCAACAAAGCATTTGCTGTACACTAGCCTTTAAAATTTGTGAATGTGTACGTGTATATAATATTTCATTCTCCTTGAGTATTTGACAGTGTTAACAATAATTACAGTACATGTACGTGTATGTTTTAATGCAAATTATTACATCTTCTGTCAAGTACCTCCTTATTATTGACAAATTTATGGGTTGAAATCTTAAGATTTTACGGGTTGGTTATTTAATAAAGTCTAAATTAGACCGTGGTTTAGGAAATCTTTGGACCTCCAGATCTATTCTTTAGTGGGATATTTTAAGACGAAAAATGCAAATTCTGGTCTACCCGAAATTCTTTCATAAAACTGATCATGGCCTTTGCATAAAAAAATTTACAGCAAATTGACAAATATATGGCTTAAAATGCAGTTTTGTTGAAAACTGGCAAAACAGCGCCGTTTAAATAACTGGCCCCATGTGTTTGGCAGGTTGGATGGTGGAAGTGTACATGTACCTTTAAAACTACTGTCCACATCTGCTTAATAGGGTTGTCTGCTTAATAAGGTTTCATTTACAGTAAACTAAATAAAAATATGGAAATTCAAGTAAAGTTGGGGACTTTGGCTACTGTCCACTTAATTCGGCATCTACCTCAATACATGCTTCACTGTATTAAAAGAAAAACCACTTCTGGCAAAGTGTTTTTACAGACAGCTTATTCAAGGTATGAGTAATAATCTTGATTTAACATGAAGCAAGAACGCAAACAAGAAATCTAAAATTACCATTAAATTGAACAAAACAGATTCAATTCTCAAAAAAAAAACCAGCCTTTCACTCCAAATAGTGGCAAAAGAAGAAAACAAAAAAAGCAAAATTTCTATGAAATAAACAGTTCTAAACTTCAACTTAACAGTACATTGTACTTGTATCTTAGTTATGAATTACATGTAGGTTGCTACAATATTCAAATCTGAAAAGTCAAAATAATGGGTATTAATAATCTTGCCTGTTTTACTTGCTCTAATAATTTCACTGTTAAATTCCCTGTCCCAGGACCAATTTCCAAAACAGTATCTGTAGAACGTAAACCTGCCTGTAATAAAAAAAAAGAGTCACATAAAAATAGTTCCATGAAGCAGGCTGCAGCCCTACATGTATGTTTTATTCTTACATTATTTTGTGGAATACTTTGTACTCAACAAAAATTAATGATGTCAGAATAGAGCACAGGGCTGTCACTATTAAGGGCTCAGTTTGTGGCCAATGTGAGCATGACCCCCAGATTCTTTCATAGAAAACAAATGGACAAACACAGCCAAAAGAACTTCCTAGCTGTTCAATTCCAAGCCTACTAATTTCACATCCAGCAAACTGAAATCTTAGTGAGAGCTCTGAAACATGAAGGTTGATCTCTAAGATATTTAAAAGCTGCTCCAGAATGGTACAAGTACAGGTAGGCCAACAGCTTGATTTAAAATGAAAGTATTGAAACAAACCTTTTCTACAAGACTGGTTATGATAAGAGGGTTCTTCAAAATATGCTGGCCTTGATCTGTCTTAAATTGCAGACCTAGGAATAAAAATTGATTAATATTATTTTATTATCATTATTATTATCATCAAAAATTAATCAGCACCATTAAATCATGGCGCTAACAAAGCCCCTAATGCCTGTTTGCCTGTAAGAGTTATTGACCGCATCTGAGCTGCAAGGAATGTACATGTATTTGGGAAATCGTTATTGACACAGTGATTGCTATTTTTATGATTTATATAATTCTTAATACTATATAGTGCTTAATTCTTACTCAAATATTTCTGTAAATTAAGTACATATTTTTTTTCAAAGTTGAATAAGACTATAAATTATCATCATCAACATCATCATCATCATCATTTATAATCCTTGGCTTGTTTGTTTAATGACTGATGCACTGGGTCGAAAGCATGGACATTTGATAACAAAGAGTTCACTTTAAATATACTTTTTCATGGTTTTTGTCAACTTTTGGCATGGGCAAGAAAGGCAAAATCTGTCAACTCCCCTGGAAAGAGCACCACTTTCTACAGTATAATCTGGTATTTCCTATTCACATCAATTTTGATTATTTTTTGTCTGGTTTATTAGCCACTACATGTGTATTTCTCTATCAGTGTGAATTGGCATATTACACAAAATCATTGACTCTTCCTTTTCTACAACAGCTGTTATAACATTATAGTTCTGGCACACCTTCCAGTGGATATCTGATGCTATGTTATTGTGCCTTTGAATGAACAGCCTTGGCAAGTTCTGGGTAGCCAGGGATGAACTAGCAAAACAGCGTGGAAATGACAGACCACAAAGCCGAAAACAAAGAAAATCCTCCCAGCATGTTGGTGGGCACGGGAGAACAACCTGTGATAGCAGAACCGCAAGTTGTCCAGCCAAACTTCCAACTGGTTCCTAATTTTCCAGTATTAAACTCCACCGCAGAAATTTTCATTCAAACCGAAATAGTGGCCACAGTGGACTCAAAGGTTTGAGAGATTTCACCAAGCTATTGGGCTTGATAAAAAAACCTGTGAAAATCAAGTAAAAACATTAATTTTCACACAAATGGGTGAACAAGCCGACGATATATTCACCTCATTCTAATTCACCGCCGAACAGGAGAAGAATTTTGAAGCAGTGAAGGATAAATTCGAAAATTACTTCATCATAAAAAGAAAACGTCATCTTTGAAAGAACAAAATTCAACTCAAAAAGTCAACAAATGGGAGAATCAATGGATAGTATTATCACAGATTTGTATAGCCTGGCAAGGTACTGCAATCTTGGCGGTTAAAAAGAACAGCTCATTCGCACCATATTGTTGTGGGATTACAAAACCGCAAAATTTTGGGAAAACTTCAACTAGATCCGAATCTCACCCTGGAAAAAACTACAAATTTAGTGAGACAAAGAGAGACAGTGAGACAACAACAAAACATTCTTGTTGGCAGATTCAATTCTACAGTCCATGGCATTGCGAAAGGAAAATCACGAGAAGGAGAGGAAACTTCAAAGAGAAATCACAAGACAAGTCTAAAGACTGAGAAACCTTCCAACAGCTCCAAAGAGAAAAATCCTGATCAAAAGTGCCAAAGTGCTTTGGAAATTTGCACCCACAGAAAACACGTCCTGCAAGGTTCTCCAGGTGTAACAAGTGTTCAAAAACTGGTCATTGGGTGCAAGCTTGTAAAAGTTCACAACCAGGAAAATTATTTGAAGTTGTTGAAGAAGAATCTTTCCTCCGATCCTAGGAGAAATCGTGGATGTTAGTGAAGTCCAAAGCAACTCCACAAAGTCACTATGGACTGCAACCATCCTTGTGGAAACCAGTTAACTTCAAGCTTAACCCATTCGCCCCTGAACCGCCCGTAACCGCCCGTGCGGATCCAGGTCCTTTCTACCCTTTGTGATGTCATCAGTTTTAACGGTCAAGGACAACTTTCTTCGCTAACTTGTGTAGAGTGAAGAGATCTTTCAAACCATACCAGAATGAGCACAATTCAGTCAAGGACACCGGAGAAAGAAGCAAAAAACCACGTGAAATTGACCTGAAAATCTCCATGAAAATCTTGTTCCATTGCCCACCTACCTTTCCTTTCACCTAATCCTAAGTTCCTAAAAGCTTTCCTAAAAACTCTTCCCACCAAAATGAAGCCTACTAAATGCCCAGCAAGAGAAAAAAAAAATGAGACAAGAAAAGTGAAAAAAGAAGGGAGGAGAAAAAGCGAAAAGTAAAATTCAAGACTGCTGTGTCATCTCGAAATTTTGTTTTCTGCGCATGCCCAAACTTCGCAAGCTGATGTTTTGCATCTGGACCAGAAGGCCGCCAAGTGTACGACCTGTAAACCGGTTTGTGGTAAGTTTTAGCTCTTTATAGCATGACAGTGACCAGAAAACCACTCGACCAGCTTCAAAACGCGTTTTTCGGCGCGAATGGGTTAATAGTGTTGCAGATGTAACTGTCTTCCCATACAATACCGTCCTTAACACTGAACTGCAGATACAGTACAGCTTAAGCCTACTGCTAAAGTGCTTCTGGGTCCATGCAATTTTAGGATGAACTGTAAGGGAAAATTCACAGTTACTCTCGCTTACAACCAAACTTCAATATAGAAACTGTGTATGTTGTAGAAAGCTTAGCACGACCACTCCTGACTAGATCTATTGCAGCAAGATTATATCTTATATCAAGATTGTGTGAAATGACAACTGATGATTTTAAGGCAAAAGTGATGTGTCATGACTACTCATCGCTGTTCGAAGGACTGGGAACAATGACAGATGAGTACACCATCAAGCTAAAAGATGATGTAAAACCCTTTGCACTGACTGTGCCAAAAAAAGTCCCTATGCCACTGTATGAAGACACCATGCACAAAATTGCAAGAATGTTAGAGAGTCGAGTGATATCACCAGTGGACCACCTAACTGAATGGTGTGCTACCATGGTAGTTACCACCAAACTAAGGAGTGAAGTCAGAGTGAGTGTAGATTTAACTAAGCGCAATGAGTATGTTCAGCACGAGAATCACTCCCTCCCATCTGTGGACCTCACCTTGGGAAAGCTACAGGTGCAAAGTACTTCACGAAGCTCAATTCAAATTCCGGATTCTGGCTGGAAGCTCAAAGACCACTCATGACCTTCATCACACCTTGGGGTCGGTACTGTTTTAATGTGCTGCCTTATGGACTTAGCCCTGGTTTTGAGTAGAGTAAAAGGACTTGAAGGAGTTGAATGCAACATCGATGATGTCCTAGTTCATGTCCCCACCATACATGTAGAGCTACATGATTACAGATTAGAAAGATTAGAAAGTGTTAGAACATCTAAGTGAGGCTAGTGTTACACTTAACATCAACAAGTGCACATTCCGAGTTCCCAAGATCAAATTCCTAGGCAATGATGTTAGTGTAAATGGTATTGAGGTGGTTCCAGGAAAGTTGCAGCCGTAGTAAATTTAAATGTACCTGCACCCAAGAATGTTCATGAAGTCCATGTATTCTTAGGAATGGTAAACTACCTTAGAAGCACGTTTGCAGAACTTTTAGCCACAACAAGTTCCTAAAGCTCCCAAAGGAGTCCTTTGAGTCCCTAAACAGCCAACACTTTTTGTAATAGTCCAGCTGTTCTCAACATGATTATTATTATTATTATTATTATTATCATCATCATCATCATCATTATTATTGCTATTCCACATCACCATACATCACAATCATACAGTACAATGTAGGTGGTCCTTGGTCCAGCCAGTTTCACTTAGTTTGTGATGTAATTTTCGGGAAGAAAATAAGGTTACAATACAAATGAAATTTTCCGAGTGTTTATATTGATCTGTTTGCCTTCTTAAGCTTAATTGGGGGTTTTCCTGGTGCTGGCAAAGGTGGGAAAATCAAGTTAATGCCAATGCAAGTGAATTTTGTTCTGCTGTTTTTGCTTCCTTTACAGCACCTTAAATTACTTGGGTTGTTTTGAAGTCAGGCATATGCGATTAAGTGTGTTAAGAAAGCCAACTTTTGGTGTACACAACGTACAAGAAATGTTCTTTCGACTTGCAAAAACATTTCAGTCTACAGGTTGAATTTTAAAACTAAAGTTATAGATAACATACCAAAGTAAATTTTGCATACTATGTCCTCGGTCCAGCCAAATAGTGATTGAAAAGGGGAAGCCTCAGAAAGTTCAATTCTCTTTTCGTTTAGTGTTAGTAAATTAAGATTCATGAATTGAAGTGAGAATCTTTCATTTTTGAGTCACAAAAGAAGAGCTCTTTCAATGATACAAGTAAATAATCAAAACGAACTGCTGATTGCAGCCTTCAAGTGACATATACTGCTTGAAATTTTCCCAGTAGCACTGCACTTTATTTATTAAGTAATGATATAGAAGGCCAAAAATGAAGCTTACATGTACATGTACCTACATCCATCCAATTGGTTTCATTAGGGAGGTTTAGTATTTAGCAAAGTCAAAAAATTTGGCAAGCAATGGGCCTATAACAAGGAAAGCATTACTCTGCACGTGCATTATGACATGCACTTTTCGGTCAGATTTCTTTGCCATCGCTGCATGCACAACTAAGGCAAAAAATTTCCTGATGAGTAGTTTTCCTTGAGGATGTAAACAGGTGATGACAAATTCTTCTTTCTCTCTAAGCTTTGATTGAATTCATGTAAAATAGTGGCGATTCACTGCCTCACAAGAGCTTCGCTAAAATAATGTTTTGACTATATTCATATTAAAGTGTTTGTGGGAAAAAGTATGAAATTGCTGCATGCATAACATAAGATTTCCGTATAACTCCACAAATCTATTTATAAATTATCATAAACAAATTTATAGGGTTATATGGAAATCTTACCAATTGATTTTGTACTATAAGTCTTTGAGAGGCCATGTTCCTAAGTGAACGAGTAGCCTCACACTTCTTTTAATAAAACCTCTAATTTCATTGGATGACTAAATGTCGCAGGGAGCGCTGTTGTTTAGCCTGCATAACAGGTGCTTTATGAGCCAAGCAAGGCAAACATGCCATTTTGCACAAAGCACAAGACGAGGTGGGGAGAAAAATATTAAAGCACCTGTTACCAGTCCCTTGTTCTGGCTCTTCCCCCCACCTAATGTATGCCCACAAGGTTAGTATTGACTGACAGCGGTGATGTCAAAAGGACCAATCAAACCACAATCCAATACTCGATAAGTCTCACCTTTCTGGCTACCACCAACACCAACACCAACAGCAGCATAAACCACAGGAAATGAAAACTACGAGGGCATGAATCACCTTCACTAATGTAAGACTCAGTGCCGCAAAAGTAAGATTTGCTCAGTCAAAGCTTAGTTTATGTCCAAACACAGTGGCAGGAAAGAAACATGTTGTTCAAACAAATTCCAAGGTCACCTTTCACATTATCAGGAGCTTATGAGTTGTGTTTGGCCTATCAACACTTAATTCCAAAAAGTTAGTAAATCAGGCTTTTTCCAAACCTAGTTGGAAGTACAATGTAAATCCAAGAACATCATAATCTTTCCTCTTAAGCAATAATTTTAAACATTTCTTTTGTTTTTTTTTTTTATTTCTGGAACATTTATTTCGGGAATAAAAACAACATGTCATCAATTAACCAATTGGTGGTTTTCACTATCACGCCATCAAAATTAAAAAATGGAAACCTTTTAATACAGAAAGTCTAGAATCTGGGAAATAAAAGAAGATAAATGTACAAAAAGCCTTGACAAGAATCAGGTCTGTACAATATTTCATATGCAAGATATTCGGAAACATGTTTTACCCAAATTTATGAAGCTTTGTATGGAGACGCCAAGTTTGTGTCTCTTTCAGGGGCACAAACATGGCCGCCGGAAACCAACAGAAACATCTGTTTTTGAGTTTTCTTACTAATGCATGAATTCTTTGCTTGAGGAACTCATAAAGATTAAAGTAATATTTATTCTGAGACAAAGAATGTTTAGATAGCAAAATAGGCCAAAATCGGTAATATTTTTAACCCACATAAGAGCTTTCCTGGCCGTCAGTAAATGCCACGTCACACAAAAGTCTGAAATTCAAGTGTCCAGTGTCACCAAACAAAGAACCCTTTAGAACAGAAAATTTGTTTGTGTAAAGGTTTAAGGTGCTGTTATACCACAGGGTGCCCACACAACCTGTTTGTGTAGCCGATTGTTATTTTATAGTTACCGTTTGCTTCACCTATAGTGATAACTATGAATATAAATCAATGATAAATAAACATTGAACTACCTTACCTGTGGTATATAGTCATCCTTTTGCCTCAAAAGCGGTATTTTTAGCAATTTTGAAGGAGTTTGAGTTCACCGTTGACTGTTCAGTATAATAGAAGGACAAAAGTGGAATCCATGTTTTGAAAGGGCTCCAGTGCTGGAGTGATTTTTCCCCCAAAAATCGAATCACTCCGCTTTCAAACTTCGTTGCAAGAAGGTCGAAAGATTCACGTTTCTCCTCGTACCTTCTGTTTGAAAATCCATCCAAATGACCCGGAGCTAGCTGTCGAAGAAAATTAAAATCCCACAGTATTCGAGCAGCAGGAATGCATAAACCATCCTGTTGATTGCCTCTCTTTGATTGGATGTCACTAAATAATAAACGCTTACCAAGTCTTCTTTCCATCAGTTATTATTCAACCATTTGGTTAACGACATCCAATCAAAAAATAGGCAATCAGCAGGACGGTTTGTGGCTGGCACGTACATGTATAAATCTTGCTACGCATCCCTGCCACTCAATACTGTGGGATTCTAATTTTCTTTTACCGCTAGCTCTGGGCTGTTTGGGTGGATTTTCGATCAGAAGGTATGAGGGTGAATCTTTCGACCTTCTTGCCACGAAGTTTGAAAGCGGAGTGATGCGATTTTTGGCGAACTAAAACTCCTTCAAAATCGCTCAAAAAACCGCTTTTGAGGCAAAAGATCTACTATATACCACAGGTAAGGTAATTCAACGTTTATTTATCATTGATTTATATTCATAATTAGCCACATATCGCTATAGGTGAGGCAAACGGTAAATCCAGAACATTTTCTATAAAATAACAATCAGCTAAACAAACAGATTGTGCGGGCCCCCTGTGGTTATACCACATGAAAGTAGAAACTCAGAAGAAGCGATAGTTTCTTAATTTGAATTTTGGTGACGTCATTTACATGTGAAACCAAGAACTGGAAATGCAAAGTTGGTCAACGTTCATGTAGTGAACGTGGGGGGGAGCCAGAACAATGGATTGGTTAAAGGCGCTTTATTTTCTAATCCCCTCGTCTCGCACTTCGCGCAAAATGTCGCGTTCGCCTCGCTTGGCTAATAAAGCGCCTGTTACGCAGGTTAGCTGTTGTTTAGAGGTGAACTCTTAAATATACATGTAAGCCTAAAAGGAATGAAAAAAATCACCTTGTTGGTAAACTTTGTTTTGACCATGTTCTCTGGTTTTCTTGACTGCTTTTACTTTCGGCATTTCTCTTGATTCAAGGACAACCGTTTGAAGTAATTTCCAGCAATTGGCAACGGAGACTAACTACATCCGCCATGCGGATTGCAAAAGGAGCAGTGGATTGGGAACGATTTAATGGGTAGCTGTGTGCGTTAAATATGGTACACGAAATGTAATTAGATAGAGCGTCGATAGAGCGGGAAGTCAGTATGGTAAGGTTCAAGTGGATTGAAAAATGGAGAAGTTATCGGTACAGATTTGTTCCTTGGATCGCGTTGAACTTTCAGAACAGGTGTGATTGTAGAATTGAGCTTCTTATTCATACCTCTGACACTAGCACTGTCAGACCTTCCGCTCCATTGAATCCTATATAGTTTTATACAGAACATAATTTAAGAGGAGCCATCGACTTTGAGAGTAAGCTGAGCTTGTTTCAATGAGTGATGGAAGAACTTGTTCTACTAATTTCGCAATGGTAGGCTGATTACTGGTTAATAATTAGCAATTAATGAATGAGGCTGAGTAGGAGATGAAAAATTAAGCAGATCGAGGAGGGTGTTATCCACTGAGGCCAAAGGCCGAGGTGGATAACATCCTCCGAGATCTGCTTAATTCTTCGTAGCCTAGTAGAACATGGTAAAACTGCACGCATTCAGTACAAAAGCCAAATTCATTAGTCGCTTTACTATTCATTGAAAATAATTCTTAGTTTAAAAACATAGCTAGAACATGCTTACCTGCATCAATGTTAAGTTTATCTTCGATAGTGTACTGCCATTTTTGTTTTCACAACCAAATCAACTCAACCTCGTCCCCAGGTCTTCTCAGTTAACGATGCATTAACCGGCAAAAAAGCTGCATTTTTGGCATCATTGGTTCATTAACTGCAAAATTCTTTCAAATTTGGTCATTAGTAGCTGGTTATGGTGAATTATGCGCGTGCTTTTAGCCAATCAGAATCGGGGATACATTTTGGATGAATAATAATAAACAATAATATTATTGGATGAGGTTTTTGTAATATCCAGAATAATCAAGGTTGAGGTAAGTGTTATCAGCCGAGCCGAAAGCCAAGGCTGATAACACTTACCGAGACCTTGATTATTGAGGATACCGTAAAATTTCGAAAATAAGCCCGGGGCTTATATTTTTCAAAGGCCCTTTTTGAGGGGCTTATTTTTGGTGGGGATTATATTCAGAAAGGCTTATGTATGGAGGGAAATTTGCGTTTTAAAATCGATTGGGCCAGCTTATAATTGGAAGGAAATGTACCATTTTTGCTTTGTTTTACTTTGTATTTGAGCTGCAATTTACAAGTACCAGCCCCCCAGGGGGCTTATATTCGGAGGGGTGATGTAACAGAGGTTTTTTTTTTTTTTTGCGTTGAGTTTGGGGGGCTTATATTTGGAGGGGCTTATACAAGGAGGAGCTTATTTTCGGAATTTTATTTTCACAGACAGTGGTATAATAAAAGCCAAATCACTTGACTAAAGAAGAAGAATTGGTTTGTTTTGGTTTTAATGTTTGGTTGGCTAATGTATTTACTTTGGTTTTGGTTTTTACAGTCATAAAACTATTTATTTAAAGTCTTATTTTAGCTCCATTCCATTTAAGGTGGTTGAACACAGTTTTGCAAGCGGTCAGCGATAACGCGCATGACGGCGCTTGTTTTAAATTAGACAAACAAATATGGTGGCGAAAAAGCAATGGTACAGAGAATAGGATTCTCAAAATCTACTCATTAAAATTTTGTGATATTTAGCAGAATTTTTACTTTTATCGTGTTTTAAATGCTGAGAACTTTAAAATCAAAGTTGAACTGACGAATTTCTGACACATTTAATAATTACAGAACAGTTATGTTATTGATTATCTAAAAACTCATCTGTTAAAATTTGGTCAAATAAGTTTCAAATGGTAATGATTAATTATAGTAAGCTGTGTGCAAGTTTATAGGAAAATCTAATGAGCGAATTTTATGTAAATTGAGCGAAAGTGAAATTTTAAGGTTATATTCAATCGTTCATGTTGCCATGGGAACTACGAAAACGTCAAATTTTACCTGTCAATCAAAATTTTTCATCAGTATATTATTCAATTGCCTTGTTTTAGCTTGTGAGCTGCAACCTTTCTCTTGCCATGATTTGGTAAATGACATATTATTAGTCACAAATTGCCCGGCAAAACTGTGTTCAGCCACCTTTATATACACCCCCTCCCCACCCGTTAATGAAGTATATTGAAATTTTCCTAACCTTCAGAAAGATGACAAGTTAGACGTTCACAGGTACTCCAAACTAGGGGGATCTGGGGACACACTTCCCCCAAGAAAATGTTTCAAATTATTTTTATGGGCTCAGCCAATGTTTCCTGCATTTTCTACAGGCCATTCAGTTTTCAGTATGAATATCAAGGAAAATGCAATGGGTAGTTGTTGATTTTATGTCTGTAGTGTTATCAGTAGGTACAATGTTTATGGAAAATAGGTATTTAAAGCAGTGATTCCATTAATAAAGGATGTCTACCCTTCAGACAGGCAAAAAAAAAACAATAAAATGAGAATTAGAAAGATTTATCAATCATCCTGATTTAATGATAAAAATGCTTCCAGGAAATAAAAAAAAATTTTCCCAGATTTGAGCTGTAGGCTCCGCTATGCTCCTGTGCTCATTGTTCCCCAAAGTGCTGAGAGAAATGTATTGATGAAAATGTGCTTTAGCTTTCCCTCGCAAAATCTGGTCCTCAGTCCTACAACACCTTGACTTCATTACTGGCACAGGTGGCTGTTTGTCAAACTGCTATTTACCAAGATTTTTGTTGGTCGTTGAAGGTCATTAATTTGTACCTCTTTGTTACTCTTTTACTTCAGAGTTTTAAATGTACCATCTATATATTTGTTAATGTATAGGTCAATATATGTTTTTAATCTGAAATAAGTTGCTTTCAAACACAAAGCGGCATGCTGAGTGAGCAATTTTAGATAACTTTGGTTGCACATTAATATCAAACATTCGTTGCCTCTTAATACATAGCCTATATCCACACTATATGCGATGCGTGGGCCGGCTGCACCGCAGGCTACTTAATACAGGGTGTTTCAAAAGTTTGTTCCGATTTTTTGTCGGCTTTTATTTCAGAAATTACTGAAGGTACCTTCTCGAAAATTAAGTATGTTGTTCCTTATTCATTTTACATTGAATGACTGAAATATTAGTAGCCAGCTTGGCCTCCTTTCTTTTGTTCCGACATTTTTTGATCAGCAGGCCATAGAATGCGTAGGCTCCTTAAGCGTGTCTTGAGTCACATTTTTCCAGGCGAACCGTGGTCACTTTTTTAGCTTGTCCAGTGTTTTTGGGGTTGAATCTCTGTACGTTATCTCGTCAATTATGCTCCAACTGTTCTCCACAGGGTTTAGATCAGGTGAGTTTGCCGGCCAGTCACCCTTGGATATCAAGTTTGGCAAATTCTTGTGACACCACGTTTGGGTCACTTTTGAAGTGTGTGCCTGCACGCCGTCCTGCACAAAGGTCATCGCTTTCTTAGAGCTAAACAACTTTCTTTCCGTCGGTCCGCCTGTAATCTGCCGCCTTGAGGGTAATGGTTTCACTTCATTTTCTAGAATCTCTTTGACATGAGTACTCTGAGGTTAAGGTCTGGCCACTGGGTAAGATGTGTACTAACCTTGTTAGGCCACGACCCGTCATACCTCCCCATACCATCACCTTTGCACTTTGCTTCGCCTGGTATGCCGGGGGAACGTCACACTCCTGAGAGCCCCATACGATGTTGTTTTCTGGATTGGGGTATTGAAATAGATACTTAGGACACTCATCTGTAAACAAGAAGTCCTTCCAATCCTCTGCCGTGAGTTTGGACTTTGATTTCTTGGCAAATCTTAAACGAGCCCTTCTTTGCCTCTCACTTAGAAGTGGTATCTTCTTTCGCTTGAAAGGTTTCCACCCTTTGTTGGTAATATAATGCCAAACCGTTGTGTTCAAAACATTGATATGGTGACGTTGAAGTTTTTAGCAATCTTTCTTGTTGAATTGTTACGCTTATACTTAGCTTTTTGGATTACATTTGTCGAAAGACTGTCTTTTTGACCACTTGTTCACCCATCGTTCGTTTTTTTTCAACAATTTGGCAATATCTTTGCCCAAATTGCCAGAAGGCCGTAAAATAGCTGCCTGAGCTCTAGCATAAACAGTGTTCGCCTTCATTTCCATAAAAGAGAAGAGAAAATCCAAAACAACGGCAATAAATACGAAAATATTAATAGCAAGGTTGCAAAATGGGCGGGAAAAAATGAAGTGCCCTCGCAGATTTGGCACAAAAACGGTATCATTTATTGAAATTTTAGAGTGAAAGTACTCACAACAATTAATTAGATAAATTTATTAACTGACCCAGTTGAATTTTGCGTAAAGAAACATTAAATGTGTTATACAAAGTGCAACTTTCAATCGGAACGAACTTTTGAAACACCCTGTATTCATTGCTTATTACTACAGTGTACATGTACTTATTTTTCAGATAATTAATTTTGTGCTCACAAAAAAATCATGAGTATATTTATTTTTATAAAAATGTTGAAGAAAAAGCAAAGGGTGAAGATTTTTGTGGAGAGTTACAAAGTAAAAGGAACAACATAAGTAGAAATACTTGACAAGTTACTTTGTTGACAAGATTATTGTTTATCTAAACTGGTTCACACATTTGAGTGAATGTGTCTGGTACAAAACGATTGCATTAGCCCGTCTGTCTCTTTTAGTCTTCCCCCTTGCAAGTTTGCCTTGAGCTCACGCATGTAAGATGGTTGCCTGTGTGACAACTGAAAAACAGTCTGTTTTTTGCGTATTCAAGTATGCATGGGCAGTCAAACAAAGGTCTGGACCTAAACTGAAAACGGAGAGAGAGACGGGCGTGTGAGGCTCTCGCATTTCATGCGTGTGAGACTCTTATAAAGCTACACTTAACTGATTTTGAGAAAAAAGACCGACTGTTTTGCAGTCTACCGTGTGACAATCCTCAGGGGTTTGCCTTGCTTTCTCGCATGACTGTAATCCTGAAGGCCCTCTTGCAGTCCAGTAAATAATGAAATAATATAATTTATTTTTTTACTTCTAGAACAGTGCGAGTGGTTTCCTCCAAGGACCAGGATAAGATTGTTCCAGACTACAAACTTCTTGATTCTCTGGTTATCTTGCTAAAGGAGCTTAATTGTTGTTCAAAGTCAGAGTACCCTGTGGGCAGAAAGAGTACAAGCCCACAAAGTGTCATGTACAATGTTCTGGGATATGAAATAAACAGACTTAACAGCAGTATTCCTGGGGCAGGAAGAGGAGTATTCGTAACCAAAGGGCAAGTTCCAGGCGGAAGTCTGGTTGCTTTATATCCAGGTGTTAACACTTATACATACATGTGTACATGCCAACTCTCCCGGAGGAGTCTTCCGGATATGGCACCGATCTCCCGCTCTCCCATATGGGTCACCAAATCTGCCGGATAAAATCATCTCAAAATGTGAATTTTTTTTATTCGAAATACGGTTTCTGGTGCATTTTTGCACACATGTAGCCAATGACAAAGATTATTTCGGCATCTAAAACAATGATCGTGAATTTTGATAGTATGTACTTCATGTAAGACTTCATATTAAGTCCTAAGCCATTCCCATTGGGGGCTCGGTCAATTTGTCGGGGGGTGGGGGTAGTGAAAAAGAGTGAGTCTCCAGATTTTAGATCTCCAGAGGTTGGCATCTCTCCTTATAGCCAAATTCGTTGTATTGCGCTGTGCGTTTGCAAACTTTGAATGGGTTTTTCTGTTCCGTCAATCATTTGAGTGGGGGCGGGGTTAATGCAAATCACAATGCAACGCACTCACCCAGCTACAAAACTGAGAATGACTCAAGACTGCTCAAGATTAGAGAATAATGTGATAATGAGTGGTTTTTTTTTTGAGGGCAGGAGGCAGACATTGCTTTATTCTTGCAAGAATAAGAATGATCAGAAAATACTTTGAAGAAAACTAGTCGATTCTTATCCGAAACGGGGCGATCACAAGCAAGTAACCTTGAAACACAGAATCAAACAAAGTGGATCGAAATGCACCAATCACAAGTAAACATGTGTTTCCTAAGAGGTCTGCTAAGATGATTGACGGAACAGAAAAACCTAAAATTCCTTCGAACTTTGCAAAACGCACAGTGCAATACAACGAACGTGGCTTTAAGAGTCGTATGGCCCCTCCTGATTGACCAGCAATACATATATTATTGGCGGTTGCAGTATTCTAATGGGTAGTATTGAAATAGAGACACCTACCATAATAGACCTTCTGCACAATACCTGCCATCTTCGCACATGGTCTAGGATTGATGGGAAAAAGGCAATGTCATGTGTTAACTCGGGTGGGGGGGTAGGGAGCATACAAGTCATAAAATTTGCCTAGTAATTAAGGTGAAGTATGTTCTTTCTCTTCAAATGAGACAACAATAATTGTTGTCTCATTTGAAGAGAAAAGAATGTAGCCATGCAAATATTTCAGTTTGACTTCAACAAGTTTTACATTGTTATTGCTTGCTGCCAGGACATCTAAGGTCGCAACTGTATACAACTAGTTATAGTTGACACTTCAACTGCCCCCTCTCTGTATGTCAATAGTATTCTTGGTCGTTTGTAGGTCTTTGAAATATACCAATAATCATAATGAAGATTTTCACACATATCCCATACAAATTAGATCAAAGTACTGAGTGTCCAAACAAATAGGAAACGCAAGGCTCCTTGCACTGATTCAGTTCATTTTGCACAGTTTTGATCAAAGCTCAAGGTGAATGGGTTAGTAGCTTGATGGAAAATATTATAAAATCATCACCCAAAAAAGTGGTGGTCACCTATGAGAGGTACAGTAGCACTTGTCTAGAAAAATAATATTTGTGTGTGATGGATAGTGGGTCACCACATACAGATGTATTCCTGTTATAGGTGGCTATGATCACTTAAGAGATATGGTTGCACATGGAAGTTTGTCTGTTTGAGTGTCAAGTTTCCCAGACACCAACTTAAAAACTATATAATTGAAATTGGCACAGTCACATGATGTTGTTGTGCCTTTTATGATTAGCCATCATGATTAACTGAATATTTTAATTAATACTTTCCAGGTACCATTTATTGGCCTCATGAGCCCATCCTGATTCAGTCTGTTGGGAATCCTTTTCTCTTTCGCTGTGTAGATGGGATTCTTATTGATGGCAATGATAAAGGATTGTCTAAATTGATATACAGGTAACTTAATTCTATGACAAAATTAGTTGTGAATTATAAATTCTTGTTGCCACTCACTTTGCACCTTCAGTATTTTGTTAATTTCATACTAATTGTGCTGATTTTGTGATGCAGCATATGAGTTAGTTCAATTCAAAACCCTTTTTTTTATCTACAATAGATGTTCTAACGAGCAGTCTGCTGACTTAGTGCTCACCCTTCCCATGAAGCAGGTCGATTGAGCAGAAAATTTAGGAGGAAGAGATTAATTGGCATTAACTGCAGTCAGAACTAATAATATAAAATATAGGTACCCAAGAGTTTTCCCAATATTTAAGCCAATCAACCTTCTTCATTAGATTATTAAGGGTTGTAGCAGACCCTTTGCAATTCCCCGCCTGGTTTCGGATGCTTTCAATAATTTGCTTAACTAGAATATCCTCTCATGGTCCATTTTCCATTTTGTTACTCTTCTCAGTATTCTGTCTTTCAGTCCGAAATGTATTTATTTTTTTATTGTCTTTTTCTTTGTCCAGGTCAAATGCCAGGCGAGATCAAATTGGACCGTATCGTCTTTGTGATGACACTTGGCTTGGACATAACCCTCAAAATCCACTTGCCATGGGACAATATGTAAATAATAGACCAAAGACAGTTCCAGCTAACGTAGCTTATCAGGAATTTGATATCCCATTTAAAAGCATTTCACCTGCGTTATGGAAAAATCTTCCGAATGTTTGGTACAATAGTGGAAACATAGCAAATGAAAATTCTTTTCTTCGAAGTGTTGCGCTTGTTTCACTTAGAGAAATAGAGAAAGGAGAAGAAGTGTTTTCATCCTACTTCACAGTGATACACTAACAAGAGTAAAACAACTACAACAACTATACAGTGAACCCTTCGGGCCTTCCCAAGTGTTAGCTTAATAGAGGATGTCCACCTATTGGAGATTAGTAAAAGTTACGCAATATATGTTAACGATTAACATTCAGCGGTTGCGCTGTACCGTGATAAAGTTCCATGTTAAGGAAGCTAACGAAGCTGTACTGTACTTTGTGCAAGACTTTTAGGTGAACTTTGATCGCGGATGACAATCATACGGCTGGATATCGGTCTAATCTACAGTTTATTGACGGCTAAATATATTGATTTATCTTTAAAATCGACTACAGTGTGTATTTCAAGGACGTAATCCAATCAGTACTATTGTCAATTGAGTCCGGTTTCCGCTTGTTAACAATAAAAATTAGCCAAATACAATTTATTTTAATGTCCGCGTCCGCTTAAGAGAGGTGTCCGATGCATGGGGGTTCGTTATAAAGGGAAATATTTAACAATTAATGAATGAGGCTGAGTATCTTATGAAGAATTATTATATATAAAAGGGGTGGGGATGCTAGTCGTCTCGGTTTATAGGGGTGTAAATTTCGGATTTTCGTCTCGCTTGGGGTGTTCTGGGCAAAACACCATTATATTTAGCCGTAAAGGTCTCTTTTAGGGTTGGACTCGAAGAAATATTTAAAAAATTATATATTTTCAATTCGTTTTATCAAAAGATTATGGCGTTTGGTTTTATTTACTCGATTCATGTAATCAAAGTTTAAAATGATCGCTTTTAGGGGTCCAAAAAAGGTTGGGCCACGCCCAGATTGGTCTCCTCTAGGGGTTTAATTCAAAATTTCCGACGAGCATCCCCACCCCTTTCATATGTGGAGTTCCCCCCGGGGGTGTTATCCGTCGAGGCCGTAGGCCGAGGGGGATAACAATAATTCAATAATTGTTTTATTATTCATTCAAAATAATTCCTAGTTTTAAAACAAAGCTAAAACGTGCTTACCTCCATCGATGTTAAGTTCACCTTCGATAGTGCACGTTCAGGGTTGTTGAGCTCCGCAAATATTCTCCAAATAGCAGATGTCGCCCTTCGAGTTGTGTTCTTGCTGTTCTTGCCATGCTTTTAGCTATAATATCGCCTAATTCTTACTCTAGAAACGAGTGAAGCAGTCCGGAATATCCATAAATTTAGGGACAGTTGTGACGTCATGGAGCTATTGTTCTCGAGGAAAATGGCGCATAGATTACCTAATTATAAACGACCACAGTCACCGTTTTGAGTCTCTCAAGCATATTTTTAAGACTTTTCATGAGGCATACACAATTTTGTTTTGAGTGGACAGCGTATCGGAAGCCACATTGGAAGTGTCTCGTGAAATATTCAGGACATTTTGTGGCTTATTTCTTAACCTTATATAGAGAGAAAACCGTTTACATAAAAACCCATAAAACGGCCATAAATTGGCCCGTGGACCACACAGGAGAGACGTAACACACATTTTAAGTAAGGTAAACTGCTTTTTATTGAAATCCTTTCATTTTCGTAGGTTACAGAAACGATAGGTTTTTTCCCATACAAATCCTTATATTTCGAATGTTGCGCCACAATGCCACTGACAATGCCGATGTTCGCCGATGCTCAGATTTCGAGCTTGGGCTACCTGTGTTTAAACAACGCGATGTAGGCCAGATTTTGGTTGGTTTTCAAGGTAGGTGAACAAGTCTATTATTTTTTCGATTCACAGATTTTTTACGAAGTGCTAGATATTTTTCCACGATTGTCATATCGATTAACTTTTATCATGTTGAATGTGGGGATGGTAGACATCCTAGAATTTTAATAGACAATTTTTTAATTCCGAGGTCCAAAACATGTACGTGTTCCTCTCCCGGGCCGGGTTTCACGCTGACATGGCAGAGCCGTGTTATTACTTTCTTTCGCATTAATACGAGCCATGCCAGTGAAGACTCAGTGAAGCCACGACCTCTGCGATCTGTCCGGAATCAGTTCGAACACCCCAATGTTTCTTGCAAAGAATAATTTAATACTCTCATTCTCTTACATCAAATGCTTTCTTTTGAAATAATGTGAAACCTAGACGAGTACTGTAAGCTTATCTTAAAATCTGTCCGACTCCGTCCGCTGTTGTAATAAGACGGTACGTAGACGTCGACCCCCCGGGGGGGAGCGGTACTCTCCTATAAAAGGGACGGGGGTGCTCGTTGGAAAATTTCGACAACACCCCTAAAAGGTACCAGAATCTTGGTTTATGGGCGTGTCCCAAATTCATTATCTGGCACTGCGAATTTTATAGTAGAAAACATAACTTTTGAACACTTTTTTCCCAAGAACTTTTTGAAAGTATTGTCATAAATCTTACCGAGACAACTCTGGCAGCAATCACTTTCGGTTTTAGCACCCTAAGCGGTACCAATGCACAAATGGAAACCCCTAAAAGGTACGACGAGCACCCCCGTCACTTTTATAGGGGAGTACCCCGCGGGACTTCGACATAATCTGACAGAGATGCTAATCTCTGGAGATCTAAAATCTAGGGACTCTCTTTTCTTCACTACCCCCCAAAAATTTCACCCACCACCCCGACAAATTAACCCAGCCCCTAATAGGAATGACTAAGGACATTAAATGAAGTCTTACATGAAGTACATACTGTCGAAAATCGCAATCATCGTTTTCATGCCAGAAATAATCTTTGTCTGTGACTAAATACCTGCAAAAATGCCCCAGAAACCGTACTGCGAATAAGAAAAATTCAAGTTTTGAGCTAAAAATGGAAGGTAATACACGGTAATGCTGACCATTTTCGGACTGATTTACTATTTCTAACAATATTCTACATCTGAACAGAATTTTTCATTATTACGTTGATGACGACGACGACGACCATAATGATGATGATCATGAATGTTACACACTATCGTTCAAGTTATTTTGCTCTATGTACAGTTCAAGTCACCTACATTTTTGAAATATTTAATTTTAACATCACTTCACTTTTATTTCGTAAAATTTGCCTTCGAGACAACTTGTATTATAACTACTATTATTATTTATCCAAGACGTTTTAGTTTGGATTCTTAAACAGTCACATCTACAAACTGTATAACAGTTTCATGTTTATGGTTAAGATAAAGAATAATTATACAGGCAAAGTTCATTTCAAATGTACAAAAACCTGTTCCTACACATCAGCAAAATGGGGACAAAACTGCCTTTTTTTTTTTCCTCTTACAGATTTGCTGCAGTATTACTTTCAATACCCCAGTAATTTCAGGGATGTAGCTAACAAGCGGCTGCCACCAAATTTCACTAGCTTAATGAAAATGGGCTTTATCATCGGCTCAAATTGCATTAGAAAATTAAGACACAAGGCTGCAACATAACTACATTATCATAATTCAAAGCCTTCCGCATTTGTAAACTTGGCCTTACGCACCCGGCATTTGATTGAATCAGCAGTCTACTGCTGACTCGGCCCTAAGCTATTTGGATTGCACGCAGAGAACCGAATGCAACAGGCGTTATCACTCGCGCTCCCACAGACCGCGCTTCTGTTGTTATCAGGGAGCTTAAACAACTACAACTCTGCGAAAAAGTCACTTAAAAAGTGAATTCACGCTGCCTCAAACTGGAGTTGAATTCCAAAGGACTGTGTCAAAAGACAGGAAAAGAAAAAAGGAAGTAGTTGTCTTCTGTTCACGTCCTCTTCAAAACGTGAGACTAGGCATTTTCACGTCTTAGTCGTTTAGTGACGGCAAAGAAATGTATAAAAAAGGGTGATGGAAAGTTGTTGTTTTGATCATCCAGACCTATTGCCTTTTTGCCGTTCTGGTTGTCGCCGCCGTCTTCGTTGATTAAGCTCCCTAATATTAATAGGAGATTGACAAAAGACGACTGAGGACGAGTCAGACTTTGTGCCCTCAATATTTTTTGGCAAGGAAGGGTGTATGTCCCTTTCTCTTAGTAGTCATATATTTTCCCTTTAGACCTCAAGTCAATAGTAATCAAATTGATGCCTGAGGGAGCTTCCGTATTTTCAACTGCCTAGTTTAGACCGGGCATTTGTTAGGGGCCTAGCACTTAATTAAAAAAAATACCTGGCAAAATTAATGCACGAACAGTACAAAATTTTCATCGCGGTTTCAATTTCAAGTCTGTGACATAAGGTGCGGTTACACGGGACACTTTAACCGTGGTAAATGACCCTTTTACCGCGGTAAATTGGTGCTTGTTTCCGGACTTCTCCCGACATAAATATCCATGGTTACGTCAAAAAGAAGAAAGAAACCGCCCATGACATTAAACGTGGTGAATAGCTAGAGTTTTTCGATACCCAAGGCAAGAGAGCCAATCAGGTTTCTTCATTTGACAACAACATGAAACCGCCAAAAAATTTCCTTTTTTAGACGGCTGAGAGAAATTAAAGATCGATTGAACTGCTTTGTTGGGCCAGATTTAGCAACGATATTTCCCAAAAAAATGTGTTCTATTCCTGGCATGTGATAAATCAATGGGATACAGCTTAGCTGTAAAATGTAATCTTAGGTCAAGATTTAAAAAAATCCTATGTACCTTAGCTAAATTATCAGGACTAACATACTAGTTGAAATTTCAGCTAAACTCCCCGGAAATTTTCAACATAACATGAAATACTGCCATGATCGACGGCGATTATTATCGCAGTGGCGTGAATGAAGCCGAAAAAGCGCCTAAATTAACTTGGGAATTAATTCATGTGTAACCACATGTTACCACGGTAAACTAAACCCACGTTAAAATTTACGACGGCTTCGTTAACGTGGGAAATGCCTTTTACCGTGGTGTGTGTAACCGCACCTATAAGTCATAGTCAATGAATTAAACAGCCATCAATTACCAAACAATGAATATAACTCAGTATAAGAGCCCATTCTGTCCTCACTTGTCAATGGATATTCATCCAACATTTCTTCATCACCAACTGATGCTCTCCTGCCGCTGTCAATACTGTTCTTTATTCCAGACAAAATAGTATTAACAATGCTGTGTCTGTGTGTACTGTTAGCGTGCCCTCCTGATTCCGTTTTGAAGAAGTCCGCAGGAAAGTAGCCTACTTCAAATGCAACAACAGCAGCATGATCTAACTTTCCCGGAAGCTCACGCATGTGCCTTGAAATTTCCCTTTTCCTTGTTCTCAGAAATTCCTTATTTGAAATGGTCAGGTTGTGATCATCACGATCAACTTCCTCTAGGAAAGTGCGCTTTTTTTCAGTGCACTTGATCACATGAGACAAAAGCTTGGCACAGACGTCCTGTGCTGAAATGCGATCTTCAGGACCTTCTTTTTGAATAACCTAAACAGAATGAACAAAGGGACAAAATATATATTAGCAAAGCATTTTATAGCATTTTCATGGGAGACATCAGATTGCTGGAAAGGACAATAGACCATTTCCGAGTTGCCTCATGCCACTGTTTCAAAGCCGGGCAAAGTGCCAACCATTGATATGAAAATGATTTTTTTTCTTATGCAAATGAAACTCATTTTCACAACAAAGGTTTTGCACTTAGCCTCATTTCGAAAGTGAGAGATTTGGAACTCAGAAATGACCTATTTAGGGCAGGGCTCAAAAGAAACTTGAATTCCAGCTTGGCCCTTGGGCAAGCAGCTCGCACAATTTGCTTGCTCAGGGCGACTTCTTGCTGGTCTTAGTTAATAATTTTATTGGACGATGACTTGCCTGGACTGACAGTAGCCCATTGAGCAAGTAAGCTTTAAAAGTTACTTGCCCAGCAACAAAATTTACTTATCCTGGACTATCCTACGGGAATTTTTTTTCGAGCCCTAATTTAGGAGCATTTCAAAACAATAGCAAAAGATCAAAAAGCATCAAGGATGAACATGGGCCCTTATGAGGCCCCACTAATCAACATATCTGATCTCCAGACAGTGTATAGTCATGTGCATACATGGAAGAATATCACGCATAATGGTTATATCTTGGAGCTGCACACCACAAACTGTCAACAGAGAAAGTAGACACAGGTTTCAGAGCATGTGTAATCATATATGTGCATTTCAGTGGACAAGCCATTGCGTTGATTTCTTACTGCCTTTTGTTTTAAGGGAAAGTGGACTCAAAAGTTTCAGGCATACAGCGTGCAAAGAAAGTAGTGTCCGATAGCCCGGGGCTAGTGGATTTTGCTATCAGGGCTAGTGAATTCTGTTTTTAACTTGCCCAACGGGCAAGTGATGTTTTATGAGGAGTTTGAATAACAAAAGAACAAAACGTTTTTGGGGCTAGTTGAAATGACGTCTGGGCTGGTAAATGCTAGCTTCATCTTGCCCAAATGGCAAGCTGTAAAAATGTTTTTCTTTGCACCCTGGGCATATAATAGATACAGCCAAGTACATACATGTAAAGCTACGGCCACACTGTACACTTACTGTATATTTCAACTTTGTATATCACCAACATGAACTGAAAACCAGTTGTGGTAGTAAAAATTTACAAATAAATCAAATCTTTATACAATGTCTGCTTTTTTTTCAAAGTATAAAATATACAGCCCTTTAGATTTACTGGCCATAACCCTTAGATAAATAGGCTCATGAGTGTGAGGATGAATTTGAATAAATAGTTTTTTTAAATATCACAAATTATTAATTATCATCAAGTGTACCTCAGTCATGGTATCCAGCATCTTCTTATGTCTTACAACAGGAACATCAAACATTTGAGCACAATGAATATCATCATCACTTTTACTACTGAAGTTCACAGAGGTCATGCCTTCAATGTCTTCTCCTTTTTCGCTGTTCGAAATGACCTCTAGCATTGAATCTAGACTGCTGGCTCGTTTCATTGTAGGACTCACACAGTGTTTGCATTTTGCAATTACAGGATCAAAATTGTCTGAGACACCATCACTTGTGAGGAAAACGATGTCCCCTTGATCAAGAAATGTCAATGAGAATGTCAAATTACTCAAATCTGGGTTGTATCCATCTACTGGTCCAAGAGATCCTCCTGGGCAACGCATATCTCTTTCCACAGTTTCAAAATGAGAGCCAATAGTCACTTCTTGAACTCCTTTACTCTTTTTGTAGGTAAATGCAAGGGTGTCTCCAACATTGACAACACACAGACCCCATCTGTTGCTAGCCTCAAGCTGACAGACCACAGCTACACATAATGTAGTCATTGTTGCATTTTTTTCCAAAATACACTGCTGTGCATGTTCAAATGCTTTAAAAAGAGACCTCATGATGTCTTGGGTTGTGCTTGCTTTGGACAGGTGAATACTTAGGTACTGTAGACAGCCTGCTATAGCACAGCGTGCCGCAAGTCTTGACTTTTCTCCCCAGTTCACACCATCAGCTAATGCTAAAATGCAACTGTTTTCTCCAGCAACCACTGCATAGACATCAGCCACTGGATCCCCAGACGTATGATTGGTGACTGGATCACAGTCATACAAAGAAGTTCCAATGCCATAAGCCCTATAGTGGCGCTCAGTCCATCCACCAAATGGTTCACAACCCTTAAAGGTTTTGTTTTTCTGATTTTTATCTGATTTTTTACCAGGTGACAGAGGTTCTAATGTGATGTTTTTAATTCCTTCATCAGGTCCTGTTGCTTGTACATAGTATCTTTTCCCAGGTGATACTATTCTTTCACAAGGTAAACCACTGGGATGTCTGCTCCAGTGGACTTCATTCTGTTTTACCATGATGTCCCTAAAGAAAAAAGATTTAGTTCAACTTCTCTCAGTTTTAAAATGACTACAATTAAGTGTACATATTTGTAAGGAGCAATGTCACAGGAATTCTTTTAATGTTATTTTACAATGTGCAAGTATGATTATAATACTGTCAGTATACTGTACATAATCATTGCAAGTTTGCTAAATTATGAGCAGGTACGTTTTCAACACTTTTCAAAATAAAATTCCTGCAAAGGAAGCAATTTTTTTAGTTTCTGTCAAAATTGATATGGCTCCTCTAATAATATAATGCAAGGTATACCTGCCAACTTGCTTTAGCTGTATTATTTTGTAAAAATGTCGTAACACCCAAGGAAATCTTTGCACACCTTTGCATAAAAGTAGGTCCTAAACAAAACCTCAGGACAAAGGGTCTTGTGCCTTTGAATTAAAAAAAAGTGGCAGGTGTATCACAAGGTTGTCTTTTCTGTCAACCTTAAGCTGCCTCTGTGTGGCAATTCTTTACATGTAGGTCGCCTCCAAGTTGTAAATTGCACACTTGTTTTCCTCACAAACATCCCTCTATAATAACTGTAAATTTGACCAAGTTTAACAGACATGGTCTTGCAGCAGATTGTAACTATGCCCTGTGAACACTGCTCTATTATATTTTTTCACATTCATTTCCATCACTGGATGCCATTTTATTTCAGTAAGTTTCACTTGGGCATGTGATTGCCTGCCAGGAATGTGAAAGATGATGTACATTGTAAGCACACATCCTGGAAATAAATTCTCAAAATGGCGGCCGAGTCAAACGACAAATTCAACAGAGTAACAACAACTTTCTCTAACAAAACATGATTACACAACCCTTAAGTATGAACCAATTCTTTACTTTATACAACATTATCAAGTTTAACATGGGAAGTAAATTTTGTTTAAATCATAGTGCATGCTCAAAGCAGTATGCATGAATTTCCACGTGACCAAAGTCTGTTCTTTCCTTATACTTCACGGATTGATGTTGTTATCTTAATTTCAGGAGAAAGTTATAAAAACTCTTAAAAGATAAAAAAGGGAAAGGACCTAATCAGCAAACAGTTTGATTTGAAATATCAGACTTTGCAAAAAATGAAAGGCGCAATGAATTGCATGATCTATCCACCACAAAGCCCTGAAGAATCAGAACTTTTTTATGGACCTGTTCAATGCCCTGAAGTAGTTCATCAACAGATCAACATTGCTCAAGTTTTAACTTATGAGGAAACTTTCATAACGCAATTATTTCTCATGAAATCTACGAAAAACTTCCCTGCAGCACGTGCGAAGATTAGTGTCATAACCAAATGAAATCATTCTTCCTCAGCTTCTCGATGCATAAATTCAAACTTCTAAAGCTACGGTAAAATCGGCAACAAAAATGTGCGAGTTGTTTTGCGACATAATGCTGCAAAACGAGTTGAACAGCAATACTGCGCATTTTACCACCCACAATCAAACCTGCCTTGCAACAAATCAGGCTGTTGCAGGTTGCAAAAAGGTGTTGCAGGAAGTAGACCTCCTTTTTGCAACAAAATCTGTACATGTTACACAGTTTTCCAGCCCAAGGCAAACTTGAATTGTAGCAAGTGACATAAATCCTGTGTATGGTGTGACTCCTGTTTTTAACAAATAAGAGGTCAGTATTCAAGCAACTTGCAACAACCTGGTTTGTTGCAAGACAGGTTTTAAACTGGGTGGTAAAAATAATGTGCAACACAGTTTTTCAACTCATTTTGCAGGAATGTCACAAAATAACTTGCACATTTTTGCAGGGTTGTCAAAAGTAGCTGGCTAATGGCGAAAAATGCCACCTACTTGGTTAGTATAAGCCAGTTACTCTGCTTGGCATTTCTTTATGGATGGCGTTTTTTAAATAAATTATCCCTGGACTGGCCACTTACGTTGACAACTCAGCGTGTACGACAAAACTTTCTGACAACCCTGTTTTTGTTGCCTGTTTTACTGTAGCTTAAGACGTTGCAAGATCCACCCACACAGAACGGCTGAATTTTTTTGATTCGTGAAATTTACTGAGAATATGGGACTGCCGGCCATTTAGTGTTTTGAAAACCTTGACCGGCGGTCGAGCTTAAGCGTCACAAAACACGGTTTTGTCTTCTGAGCCCAGCATAAACCAAACACTAGACTTGAGATCTATAGAGCATTTCAGGATCGCTTGACCTGTCTTAATCGACATATGATAGTTAAGATTAGCTAGAATCATAGGACTGCTGACCATTTAGTGTTTTGAAAACCTTGACCGGTTACCGGCCATATAGCCACAGCGTAAAAGCAAACATAAAAAATGAACACCTTTTCCAGGTTCCACCTCAGAGAAAGTTGACTTAGCTTTACGAGTATGGTACTACTAACGATTATTGCTGAAAAAATCTGAGAAGTTTTAGCAACTAGCAATCAAGGGTCACGTACAAAGGTTACGAAGAGTGTTGTACATGTACCGGATTCCTTTGCGCCAGACTAAAGATCTTGAAAGAAACGAATGAAACAAGACCTAGAATGAAGCCTTTGTGTTTGTCAGCAACAACGGTCAAAAAACGCAAGGTTACGTGCATTGTATCAAGAATAAGTACTGTAAGATCCCTGGAAGATCGATGCAAAGCTTCTTAATAGATAGGCTTAAGTCGAAAATGAATATTAATTGCAATTTTGTCGGTTCTTTGCCATCGCTAAGCTGAATGTACATCATGGTACACCTTGTCTTAGTCAGATTGCTCAAGAAGTCACAAATACACCGTCTGGTCACTGTCTAGTACCTCATAACGTCCTCCAGTGTCCTGCAGTGGTCTTCTTCTTCTTCGACAGATTCGGTGTCACAGTCGCTCATGATCCCACTATCAGAACCTTCACTGCCTAAAATATTGTGAATAACTTTTGAACGCGCTAGTATTAAGCTCTCAAAGTCAACCATTTCTTTACAAGCTGTTTACCAACGTTGGTTTTCTTTGCAACTGTAAGTGTATGAAACCATGGCGAGGTATCGATCTGATGATGATATAACATCACGTGAAGTGTCTCTGAAATGAAACGAGCTGAAACCGTCACAAAATCACGTGATCGATGTATCCGTGACAGAACGCAAATGTATTTCCGGTTGTAGCTTCCCTCCATCCACTCTCAGATTGCTGATATCGACATTAAAGAACGAAGAATCAGAAAATCCTTCGGTAAGTTCGTAACCAGCCAGAAATTGAAGGTGAAAAGGTAAAGTTCTTACATTGAGCTTATCTTACCTCCAGAAGTCAGGAGCACCCAACGACTGTTTTCTGTAAAATATCTGTTCGGAGAAGCAAATATTGCCTAAAATTTTCTATTACTTGAGGAAGGCTAAACATTTCTAGGTGACTGCTCCATTCCTGTGCAATTTTCGAAGCTTTTCTAAAAAAATTCCTACGATTTTCTGAAGTTTAATGTTTCACATTTCACTCCCCAGGTCTGGCTTCTTTTTCGTAGAAAAACGAAACCTAAAATTTTCGGATTCAAAAATGCCATGAAGAGAGGAATTAGAAAAATTGTCACGTTCGTAAAACGTTAAATTACATCTATTATACTACTACTTGAGGAATTTCTGTAATTTGATTGGCTTAGAGCAGTGGTATTTCAGCTTAATTTGAAATACCTACATGTGAAAATTACAAACCTTTTGCGTGAAGTAGTATAAACAAATAATAGCATGACTTCTACGTGATATTTGGCATAAATACCACTCGTGATATTTCAAAATTGTCTCAAATTTCACTCGCCTAACGGTGCGTGAAATTACGTATAACAATTTCGAAATATCACTCGTGGCATTTATGCCAAATATCACTACAAATCAGGCTATTACCTATACAAATTTTCTGGAAAGTAATACTGAAGCCCTAATAATTTCGAACATTCTTCGCGATCGGTTGCCCTTAGGATGACCGAACAGATGTAAATTTTCTAGCACCGCTGAGAATGCATTTCTAGAGATCTAAAAGTACTCTGGATAGCCTAAAAAGTGTTTTCAGGGTATTTAGGAGGAAACCGTCGTTGGGTGCCCCTGAGAAGTTGAAGTTTGGACAGCGGCCACATCCGTGATAGTCACTTCAGGGCTTGACTCCTCGGTGACGGATAGACCCTTTTTCATTTTGTTGTAACATTTTTTACGGAGAGAATTTTCCCCCACCCCAACAAATTTACTCTTTGAGTTGAAGCCGGTCTTCGTTGACAAGCGTAGTGTCCACATTGGTTTCCGATTGTTGGTTCATTGTGCATGTGACGTTTGGAGTATGAATAAGCCAATCATGTGACAGCTATTTTTGTTACTTTATATGTGACATCGACCAGTGTGCACCAGGAACTGAGATTGTGCACAGAGCTCCAAGATGTGCTTCTGGTGTGAAATACCTTCTGCTGAAAAAGAAGCGTTTTGGCAAGGTATGATAGCCATTTATTTATTTTTGGTCCCGGTGATTTCAAGGAATGGTTGTATACCATTAGGTTAATAAGCCAGGAACTTGTTATGATTTCATTTCAGCGTGATAAATGATGTATTCCAGTTTTAGTATAGACTTTGTCACGGTTTTGGAAGCCATCTTGACGATAAGGCGACCGCTTTGGGTGCGCGAAATGTGTTGCTCGAGAAAGCGCCATGTTGAAACTCCAAAAGAGAGAGGAGTAAATGGCGCAAGTCAAAAGGAACCTACCCTAAGGGTTACTGTTTTTACTCTCCCTGATCTTCCCCCATCTTAAAATCAAAGATGGTGGTTACAGCAATGTGACTGATAAAAAAGCAGCTTTCCCCCACCCAAAATACGCCTGCACTGCAGGCTAGCCACACTGATTTTTTTTTCCTTTAAAATTTGCCACTGGATTTTTTTCCTTAAAATTAAACAGTGGTTGAAGAGACTTACACTTTCATAGAAATTTGTTGACCAGAAATTTCAACAGACTAGCAAATTATGCACGTGGGTCCCATAACAATAGCCAGTGTGAATATTTTAATTCAGTAATATATTGTTTGATTCATTTTGGGAGATATCTTCTCTACAGATTTAATGAACAAGTGTGCTCTCAACACTTTTTCAAAAAATCTGGCAATGACAAAATGAGTCATTACACTAGGTAGCAGCGTGTAAAGAAAGTAGTGTCCGATAGCCCGGGGCCAGTGGATTTTCCTATCGGGCTAGAGAATTCTGTTCTTAACTTACCCAACGGGCAAGTGAAGTTTTTTGAGGAATTCATATTACAGAAGAACTATGAAATCAATCTGCTCATCAAACGCTTTTGGGGCTGGTTGAAATGATGTTTGGGCTAGTAAATGTTAGCTCCAGCTCGCCCGAATGGCAAGCTGTAAACAAGACTTTCTTTGCACCCTGAGTTAGGTGTCTTTTTGTAGTGTGTTTGTTCAGTAAATCTAGGTACTAATGAACACAACAACTCCCAACACTGGTGGGCCAACAATGTTGGGAGTTTAAAAGTTTGACTGGTTTCAAACTTAGTGCAACAACTCTCAACAACAGTCAACAACACGCAATAGGGTGTGCAAACGGACGTGACATGTAACATCCAACATTAATGTTGCAGGCTTTGGAGTTCTTTTTACAACTTCATTAAGTTGTGTTGTTCAACGGCGATGATCGTCTTTGCATATATTTCTTCATCCCGCGGTTCCCATTTCATGTTAAAACAAATATATACAAATTTGTAGTTTCTTTTTTGTTGGGAATTCAGTCACTTAATTGAACCACAACATACTGTTCTTCAATTATATAAAGAGTTGCACTTCAATGCATCCTGAGTACATTTTGTTATTTTGACAGTTGAAAGTGTTTCATATTAAAACACATTAAAATTATACTGAAATTCTAATGATTAATATGGTTGAGAAGATGTTATATTTCATATTTTACCTATCTTTTTAAAAAATATTTTGAAATACATTTTATCTATTATAATTAGATAAGGAAAGAGAGAGACATTTCATAAAAAAATATTTATTTAATTGTGGTAATAATATATTGGATAATAACCTTCAGTATATACTAAAACAGTGGATAGTGTTTTTCGTGCGCTCTGATTGGCTAGTCAGTCAACTCAATCAGTGAATATCCACTGATATTTACTGATTGACCTCCAGTTCCTCTGAGTGAGAGAGCGACGCTAAACTGGCGTAAGTTACGAGCAAAATGGCTTTCCAGTTTGCTGCTGTAACAAACAAAGAAATTTCACAAATAAACAAGCTGTTCCGGAAATACACGAAGAAGGTGACAAAATTCAGTTTGGACGTTAAAGCTTTACCTGTCTGTTTGACTTGAATTAATCGATGAAGCCAGTGAAAAAATTTTTTGTTTACAAATGCAAATTAAGTCTTGTGTTGCTTTATTTAGCTTACATGTTCTTATTTTTACATAAGCTCGCATTCCTTTGTTCTTTTTGGGGGCGGAACATATTACATTTAACCACCGAATCAACTGTCTCAAAAGCTGGGTGCAGCTTTGATTGTTTGAAGGGAAGAGTGGGGCTAATGAACAAACTTATTAAAATGGGAGGGGATTATATACCTCTTACTAGTAAAATCCAACTAGTGGTCTATCATCAATGCTGCGTTCTGATTGGTTGAGCTACTACTAAATGTTTTAGCCCACTGCTTTTAATAGAAAACAATAGAAAAAGAATAGAATATTTGCTTAATCAAAATCAATGGCGTGAGCATGCTGATGAAGTCAATAAACTATACCTCGAGTTCTTGTGAGCTTAGCAATCCTCCCAAGAGGTCTCCCAAGTGCATCCATAACTCAACAGTACACGATAAAGCATGAACCATGTGTTTTATAACATAAATTTAAGAAAAAAGTTCTGAATTTTTAACCAATAGTAGCGAAAAGAGGTTTGTGTTATTGTTGTTGTCATCTGTGCAAGCTGTGTGGGCTGTGGCGTGTGCAAATCATTCCTTGCAAAGTTATTTCTTTCAAAGAGAATTTTTCGGTGAATTAATAGTTCCGGCACCTCAATATGGATTTTACAATCGTTTTGAATGTTATCTTAAGCGACTTGAGTAAACTTTCTCTCAGTTTCAAGACAAAAACATAACTGTGAGGTAAAAAAATATACTAGTCATGCCATATTGACGCCTACTGCTTTTAGCGCGCATAACTCGCGTCGTCGGCCAGGTAGACGCCCACCAAAGGTGCCAGAACCTGGGTCAAGGTCGACGTCGTTTGGCGGGAAAAACAAAACTAGGCAAACTTGACGATGACGCGTTGATGAAGCATATTAACCTGAGATCAGGCCCAATTTGAGCGGTTCTCATACATTCTCTCTAACGGCCCGCCGGAATGTAATTTTTAAAGCGAAACGAAAATAGAGCCTGATCTCAGGTTAAAGCATATTTTTCTGCTTTCTCTGCTGCTTTCCCCAGTTAGAATGGCATCCCTAAGGAATACTCAAGAAGCTTTACTGTTGGGATACTGCGAAGGATGGCTGGATGAAATGGAATTCCCTGCTTTGTATGAGTTAAATACATCTGAAAACCTTGAATTTCCCTATGATTTATATGATCAGTTCAACCTCGATGATATCAATGAAACTGAATGCATTTCAGAATTTCGCTCTGAGAAACAACACATTCTGCAACTAGAAGAGGTACTACAGATTCCCGCTCTCTTGAAGTGAGACCAGAGATCAGTATTCACTGGAACGGAAGGACTCCGCATGCTCCTGAATAGGCTGGCTTACCCTAAGGCTTGTAGATATTCAGATCTCATTTATCTTCTTGGCAGACCAGTACCTGTCCTATGCATGATTACCAACAAAGTTATGGACTACGTAAACGATACCCACCACCGCAAGATAACTATTGAACTGGAATAACGGTATCTTGAACCCCGTTTCCTTACAAATGTATGCAGATGCAATTTCAGCCAAAGGAGCAGATAATTTTTTCGGGTTCATTGATGGCACTCTGAGAGCAATTTCTTAACCCGGTGAACGACAAAGAGTGATGTACAACAGCCACAAAAGAATCCATGGCATCAAATTTCAATAAGTTACACTGACAAATGGCCTCATTGGTAACAGTCGGTAAGAAATAATCACATGTACACTTCAGGGAGGGGAGAATATGAAGGTAAATTAAATGTTATTTTGATTCAGGTTTTTACTAGATAATTTTGGCAAGTCCTATACACCTATACACCCCTTTCTGCATCTCTATCTCCATTTTGGTTGCTTTCAATGGCAATTTTAATTTTCAGTTAGAAACTAGTGAATAGGAGTTCTTTAAGAATACAGTCACTGGGGGTAAAAGGTAACAGATTGTTTAGAGTACTGTTTTGTGATTACCTACCCAGCAACTGAGTCACCTATCGTTTTATGAACATGCCTACTACTCCTTCACAATCACATACACAAATCATGACCTGATAATTTGTTGTTAAGAAAAGCATAATCTATGATGTAAAAACCTTTTGTCTTTCGTGATTATCACCACTGTAAAGAGGAAGAAAGCATTATGCAAGCCTGTTAACAGAATCTGGCCTGCTGAGAGAACTATCACCCACAGGGCAGCCTCTCTGTGTCTATGGTGACCCTGCATCACTAAGGGTGCATTTGCTGGGCCCATTCAAGAATGCCTACTTAACTCCTCAGATGCAGCAGTTTAACAAGTCTATGAGCGAAGTTAGAATTTCTGTTGAATGGCTTTTCAGTGACATCATTAATTATTTTAAGTTCATGGATTTTAAGAAAAATCTCAAGGTTGGCTTAAGCAGTGTAGGCAAAATGTGCATTGTATCAGGTCTCCTTCACAATGCTCTCACATGCTTGTATGGCAAAAGCACATCAAAGTTTTTTGATGTTCAGCCTCCAAGCCTCGACGATTACTTTGCCTAAACATGACAAAATTTTCAATCAAACGGATTCCTGTAATGTCAAGTATGGTTTAATAATAAATCTTTAGTGTCCAACAAATTACAAGGTAGTACTAAATAATATAACAACAACAGCAAAAGTATAAAGAACTGCCCCCCAGTTGTTCAAAAGTTGGATAGTACTATTCACCAGATAAATAAATTGCTATCCAGTTGATAGCTGTTAGGGAATCCAATTGCGTTATCCAGTGGATCTCTAGCACAATCCACCTTTTGAACAATTGGGTCTGGTCATTTGTTATGAGCTAATAAATGTGATAAAAAACAACTATACTCTATTGTACATCTGTTGCCTCTGCTATATAACCAGAGTACTTGCCTGCAAGTAACAAAGAAGTCTAGCAATACAATCCAGCAGTTTGCAGTGGCACTCCAGATTTCAAGTGACAGGGATGATTGAGTGAGGGTAAAACTCAGGACCCGAAAAAATCCCTGGTCCAAAAACTAACCGTAGAAAATATCCCATGCCGAATTTCAAAATCTTCAAAATTCCAGAAAGCATTGAATGATATAACACAAAAAATTAATAAAACATTACGCAGCCAGGATACGCAGGCACTACCACGAATCTTCAGTTTGTTTTGAATATCAAAACAAATCTTCACTTGAATCAATGCACACCAAAAAAATACTTTTAGTACAAATTTTCCTACCCAAATTATCCAGGAATAGAAAATTTCAGACTCCAAAAACTCTTTCGATTATCACCTGTCACTTGAACTCCGAAGTACCCCCGGCAATAGTACTGATATCTTGCGCAAAAATGTCAAACAAATGACAAGCAAACAATAGCAAGTTGTACAGAACTGGTCATTTGTTATGAGTCAATAAACGTCATTGAAAACAACTACACTCTATTGTGTCCTTCATCTGTAGCCTCTGCTATGTAACTAGAATTATTGTCTTAAGCCTTACAACACAACTAATAACTTGCAAAAATCTGTAACAGCTTTTGTGCAAGGAGCACAAAATGCATGTACATTTCTATAGTGGAGCACAAGGTATCTTTTTAGTTAGCACTGTCTATGATTCAGTCTTTTTTAGTAAACTTTTTTACAATGGCCAACATAGTTTGGTTTTGCAGTTGACTTTGTTGCATGAATGCTGATAACATGTCTTGCATCTGCTGTCATTGATAATAACCTTTTGAAGTTGCATCTGTTGCAACACATTGTTCTGTTGTTCCAGCATTTTTTGCTGCTCTGATCGATCGTCTTTGTGCCATTTCCTCTTGCTTGAATGTCATGACTTTTTCCATTTTTTCTCTCATAAAGTCAAGGGTGTTTGATCCACTACGTCTTGTCTTCCTTTCTTCTGATCTCCAGTGGTTAGTCCTGAAGCTTCTCTGCGCTTCTTGCTCTCTCCAAGATTTCCATAGTTTGAAGGTGCATTTCTTCTGCATTTGCCTTGTCTTGCAATTCATTCTTTCTCACTGATTCCTCAAGATCTAGCTGCGCATTTGCTGCCTTTTCTTTTTCTATTATCTCTTCTAAGGCAAGCTCTAATTCGGAAAGTTCTTCTACTTCAATTCCTACTTCTTCTTCTCTCATTTTCAATTTAAAGTTCTTTAGCATTATCCTGGCCCTCATGTCCCTTACAGATTTTTGACTCACTCGGAAACATGGTGCATGGACAGAATTTAGGTTTGCTGCAATGAGATCCCACGCCTGGCCACTCTCACGACTTCTGTTCTTACATTTATATGGCTCAGCTGTTAGCATCTCTCTGGCTAAGAGCACGTCATGTTCTTTAGTCCATTTAAAGGCAGGTAAGTTCCTAGAATTACAAGGGAAGAAAAATGGTCTGTACTTAACAAACTTTCTTTCAAAGCAAAAAATATGATAATAATAATGATAATAATAATAATAATAATAATAATAATAATAACAACAATAATTATGATTTATAATAATGATGACGAGAAGAATAATTGTAATAATAAAAACAACAATAAAGAGACAATAACACTGCACCCTTTCCAGCAAAGCAGTGAACAAACATTCCACTAACAAATCAGTTTAGTTCCAAAAAGGCAAAAAACATAATAAATCTTCCATACAATTAAATTACGTGATGTGCAGAAGGGATTTCTGAACATGAAAATTAGATTTTAAGTGAGATCTAGGTCTCCAAAAATTTCAAGCACTTGGAAAACCTAAATATTAGAGAATTGCCAATAATTTTTCTTGCAAAACTTTGAGTACTGAAAACATTCAAGAGTGTGAATTTTGTTAACAAACAATGCTCCATTGAATTTAATGCTTGTAAAGAATCAGCCAGCTGGAGCAAACCTAAATACAGCAAGTCATTGCTACCCATGTTTCGAGAAAATTAACTCTCTTACTGATAGCTGTTAGTCCGTCTTTCATAGACTTTTAACAGCACTTTTAAACACTCCTCTGCTGACAGCTTTTATTTTCGAATGGTTTTGTAGTCCAGTTTTACCAAGCACACGTGCACACAAACACATTAGCTTTAATACTTGTGCCTGCCAAAACTAAACCAAGCCAAAACTTACATCGCAACCTAAAACCTAGTTTACCACTTCGTTGGAGGACATCACTTTTTCTGAATAGAATCCGTCTCATCATATGAACATAAAACTCAACTGAAAATGCCTACTTACGTTGTTTTTTCAGCGGTCGTGATTTCAGGAGATGCCATGACTATAAAAGAGGAAAAAGTTGTTCAATGAGTAAAAAGCTCCAATTTCGTCAACTACTATCAGAAAGATATCTTTGATTTCAAAAAATCCTCAAGAACACTGAAATGTGACTGTGCTTCTACGGCATGTTCGACAAAAGACAAAAAAAGTGAATAAATACTCACCTACCGAAGACGACTTCTGAAACACGCGTCGCCAGTCGACGACTCAAGTTTAGTCTTTCGCCTTTGAAGTAGACGCCAATAGTGCATTTTTACTTCCGGTCGACCACTTTGGCGGCGTCGTCGTGAGTTGCTTAAAAGTCTCTAATAAAATTTAAGTTGACTGCTGCATTGATCGCTTTGATAATGTTATAAAACAATTGGTTCATGCATCAGATGTGCGTATGTCGAGATATTAAGCACTTAGTTTGGAGAGCACTCAAGAGGCTAGAATTACATCTCTTTCGTGCTCTCCAAACTTCCCGCGTGTTCAATATCTCGACTAGACTTGCCTACAAGTCGGGCTCAAATTTTTCACGAGCGCGAAGCGCGAGTCTCCATGTTGAAAAACAAGTCAACACGACGCCACAATTACTAAAATTAAACTGAGCTGCGTTTCTTTTGCGCCACAATCACGAATTTTCTTAGTTGGTGGTTCATCGATTTCCACAGCTAGAACGGCAGTTTGAAATTGAACAGCGTCTTTAAAATTCCACAGGTTCCAAGAAAGTGTCGCTTTCATGGTAAGGCATTCCATTCTTTAACCAGTCGTCCCAAACTCGTGTACTCCATGTAGTTGACCTCTTTGTGTTTTGTGGTATTCTTGCTTCATTCCTCGACTGAATCTCCTTGTCATGCAGTAACAGCATTGATCCCTCGCCCGGAATCTTCTTTATCTGTAAACAGGTTGATTGAAAGATCCTCGGTGCGAAAATTGAAATTGTCAACTGCTTGCTCGTTGTCTGCACCCGCAAATGAAGATTCAAAATTGTTTTCCGAAAGCTCAATTGCAGTACCGCCACTAACGCTGCTTCAGTTTGAGTAATAAAAGGTTCTACTTCTGACTCTGACTCGTGCGTTGCCCTGGGGCGCAACGCACGAGGGAAATAAATCACATAACTCCTCGCTTCAGTCCGATAACCCTTACATAAATGAGCTTTAAACTAAATTTAGTACATTTTGACAGAATGGGTTTAAATGCAAAGAGAATTCACAACTCCTTTTGAAGAAATTTCCCCAAAAGAGCTAAACAAATGCCTTCAAAAGTTTTATTTGTCGGCAAGAAAACGCGAGGGCCGTTCGGCCATTGCGTGCCAAAATTGTAATGAGATCGTTGGCAACAGTAAGTTAAAAATCATCATTTTAGTGCTTAATTATCTCACTGTTTTAGTACATACTAAAACAATTATTCATCTCAGTGTCGGTGGCTAGTGGTGGATATTTAGCCACCTCCACTTCGGTGAATAATTGTTATTTATTAGTATGATGTTGGTTATAATTATAGAGAGTAACAAATTCAAAGTATTTATCTTTTGCATTAGGAAATAGGAAGCCGCCACGTTTGTTGTTGTTGTCAAATAAATTGGTACTGAGACACAAGTGATGAATTTCAATGTTGTCCTGTTTTATACTACTATTTCCCCTTACTTTTTCCTGTAATGCTATCCAAATCATTACCTCTGCATGGTTTTTTTTTGGTGCCACTGCTTGCAGGATTTTTTTTTTCAGACAAGTTTCCCTTGGATGAGTTTTTGGGGGGAATTGTCACCTACCCTAAAGAAAGGATTGATGCGCGAAATTTTAAAGTCCACTCCTGAATTGTGAACTGCCCTTTTATTTAACAGGACATGGATTCTAAGGGTTTATGGCCGAGTCTAAATCATCCTCTAGACTGTCACGTGAATTTCTCATTTTAATGCTTAGATTTATATAATCAGCATTTACGGCCATGTTAATATGTTGATAATCATAATCTTATCTTTCAGAACATTCATGTGAAGGCATTCAGTTTAAAGATGTTACGAGATTGAAGATAAATTTACTGGGAGATGCTGCTTGTGAGACAACAAGCCTTCTTGGGGCATTTAATGCCAAGCACTTTCCATATCATGAACCATATTTGCAGTTCAAATTATTAATGTTTCAAGGCAACCCATGTGAGCTGGTTTTCACTAACATTACCGGTGTGGAAGATTACCGATTACGAACTGTAATGTACCTGGGTGCAGATGTGACACTATTGTGTTACTCAGTTGATTGCCAGGAAAGTTTCGCTAACATTTCCAATAAATGGTTTCCAGAGGTTAAGAGTCATTGTCCAAAGACACCAGTGATACTGGTTGGTTTACGCCGAACTGATGAAACAGGGCAATCCAGTCATAAATTACATGACAATAGACAACAGGGGCACCCAACGAGGATATAGTTCAAAACCACTTAACATAGCATTGTTGAACGTATTTTAGTATTTAAACGGTAGATATAGGCATATTTTTATCCCCTAAAAACTTTTCATCTGTTCGGATTTCCTAGTTGAAAGTCTAGTGATCCGAAAATTATAGCGATCAAAATTTACCTTTTCGAAAATTTCAGCCAGGAAAAGGCTCCCGAAAATTCTAGGTGGCCTTTTTTAGAGTAAATATCCGTTTAAAATGGGTAATTATACCACTTTGTAGATGTTCGAAAATCTTAGGAGAGGCAGGCAAGCAAGAAATTTTACAACAAATGTTCCGAAAATTCTAGTTCTCAAATCGTCTTCCGAACAGATATCTTCCCGAAAATTGCCGTTGGGTGCTCCTGAGACAAGTTGTGACAGTTAATTCGGGGAAGAAACTGAGAAGTGCAATTGGGGCCTCAGATTTCATGGAGTGTTCGGCGTTAAAAGGAGAAGGAGTTCAGGACGTTCTTGAAAGCGCTATTAAAGCGACACTTAAAAACAGAAAAAAGGAACAGATGAAGCGTCGACTGAGGGGATTCGTCTGCTGTTGTACATTTCCTTAGCCTGTTTGAAACACAATTGTTCCATACCAATGTTCACCTATCTTCTCGAAAGAGCGCCGTGGAACTATCGATAAGATACAGTCAGACCTCTCGTAAACGACAACTCAAAATGCTAACACTTAGTGGTCGCTTACGTGAGGTCTCTTCTGAGAATATGTCCCGACATGTAAACATTTTTTGTTGGAAGAACAACATGAAAATTTTGTAGCGGCGACAAAGTGAGAAATGCTAGCGGTCACTAATGCAAGGTGAAAATGAGCGGCAGTGAAAACAAAGTGAACGAGAATACGTACGACATTTCCCCCAAAAAACGTGTAACTAAGAGGTTTCTGGAAGTTTTACGTTGTAGTTGTGCAAAACAACAGCAAAGAAATCCACAAAAAAGTGTGCTGCATGTGCAAAATTGCTTTTTGTTAGTGCATGTGCAAAATTTTTTTTTAGAAACGTTTTTGCTGGAAAATTACCACTCTTCTCACACGTGAGTTAATCGATGCTGTGCTCGTTCAATATCTTTTTGTCTAAAATATTGTTTTTTTACCACTTGAAAAATATTGTTTTGCCAAATTCATATCTTCGCGCCACCGTGTAATATCCTCTATATATTTTGTTTGAACAAACCATAAATATTATCGAGAACTTCGCATTTGTTTTAGCCCTGGCTAAATCTCTATATTGATGATATCAGCGTTCAGCTCAGGTTAACAGATTGCAAGCTGTACAATGGCGTCAGTAAGAGACTTCACCAAGGCTTTTACGGTCAAAACCATGCTCGTTTTGCTCGAATATATCTTTCAATTCTTCATAAATAAGGCTCTATCAGCTTCAAACAACGTCCACCGGCAGAATTTCAATTCATGGGCAAAAGTGATAAAGGTAATTAATTCAACGATTCTGTTTTTGTTTTTAAAATATTAGTTGTCGTGGCGCAATAGGTAACGTAGACTGCGAGCAGTCCCTTATTTTCCTTTGCAAAGTTACTGCACGAAAAAACCAAGTACGCGAGCGGCGAAGACGCGAGCCGCGATAAACGAGAGCGTAAGCCCCAGAAGAAAAAATAACAATAATAATAATTTTCTCATCTGGTCAATCCCTTATTGTAACGTAACATCGTGGTTTGCAATCGCGCTGGCTGAGATAAGAACTAAATGGATTTTAAGAAAAAAGGCGGACTGCAAGCAGTCTATAGATAACGCGGTGACCTTACGGTCCGGGACTCCCGCCATAGGAAACTTTTCTTTTTCTTTACTGTTTTTTTGGTCGTTTTCTCTTGTTTTCATATTTTGACAGACTTTTAATATATCGGTAGTCTAAAATGCAAGGTAATTATCAGCTTTCAGTTCTAAGTTAATTATCCGTGGTTACTAAAACATGGAACGACCTAAAACGACCTAAAACCATCTACAACCACCTAAAACCACCTACAACCACCTCAAAAAATTCAACAACCACCTACAACCATCTACAACAACCTCAAAAACATCTACAACCACTCGCAAACAATCTAAAACCATCTAAAACAAGGTATAAATGTCTGAAATAAGGCAAGACGACAACATATCACGAACATGAAATACGAAAAACATCCACCTCCCCCTAAAATCTTACTCTCCCTGGTCCCTTGTATCATCAACCATTGGCTTAAGTCACGAAATGAAATGCGAGATCATGCTAAGTATATGAAAGGCCTTGAAGAACTTTACAAAATGAACTATAAGGTCACACAAAATAATAAAATAAAATAACAAACTCGTAGTCGAAAGACTGACTTGATTTAATAGCTGACTTGGGTTAATAGCTGTATAAAATCAGGCTCTACAAGTGGGACACGTTCACACTAGACTAAAGGATTCTGCGGGACTACATACACTTGTGTGAAACTATTTCAGACATTTATACCCTGTTTTAGATGGTTTTAGATTGTTTGCGAGTGGTTGTAGATGTTTTTTGAGGTGGTTGTAGGTGGTTGTTAAATTTTTTGAGGTGGTTGTAGATGGTTTTACGTGGTTTTAGGTCGTTCCATGTTTTAGTAACCACGGATAATTAATCCACAAGTAGCCATAGGCACCCTTTGATTAGATTGGGCTTTGCCCTCCAGAAAGCTTAATAAAAGATATTTACATTTTCAAGCATAAAGAATAAAAATTGCAGCATCTAGATATTAAGGAGCGAGTCGGGATCATTAAAAAAGCAAAGACTAATCTTCAAATTTGTAAATCTCATCCACTTTGAACACGCGATCTGCGCGTCACGCGAGCAACTGCCTCGTGTGAATATTATGTAACATCACTGTGTAACTAATTTCGGGTACATTCGTTACATAATAATTTTTGTACAATCGCGTGATTTAAGCGTCATGCTAATATTAGTCCTTCCCTAAGCGCCGGCTAGTACTTCGTTTACACAAAAAGAAATCAGGAAATTATGACTGACCTGGATATATCTAAGACGGTCCTAGATATCTCTAATAACAACCATAAAGAATTTTTCCAACTAATTTTCACGTGAGATAGTAGGGCTGGCAGTTTGGGTGTAGGTGAGCCGCCGAGGCCTTCAAACCCTGACCGCCCTGTTTAAGACGCTCAATTGTACAATTAGAAACGCGGTTTAAGATTCAAGACCCGGAAATTTGGTAATAAAAATAGATAGCTACGGATTCTGTCAAAAATAATATATATAATGGTCCATCCCTAAATGTTTTTAACCTTCCCAGTGTTATATAACTCTTCCTTACGAACGCAATGCACGTGACAGTGTACGTCACGTGCAGATGAGTTTTTCTAAGCGTATATGTATTTAAAAACGCAGGCCCCAAAAACGTCGTAATTTTAAGATCCAGTTTATAGCTGCTCCCAAAATGTGCAACTTCAGTCAGATCTTTTAACAACGTGCATATCTAAGTTAAGTAGTGACCAATTTCCAAAACCATGATAGAACCATAACAGAACCATAATAGGCCAAAATAGAAAATACAGATTCTAAATTGCAAGCGTTCTATTTTGTTTATACAGTCGCTCATCTTCGACACGTTACGTTAAGAAGTTCCCGGCAAAGGAGATCATACTTACAGTGATACTTTGTTCTCCCTGTATTTCGTCTGGTCAACAACAACTGTCTCTGCTATCTCGGCCTTTCTTTCTTTTTCCGAGCTTATTATGGTATTGGTTTCCCTACTTTGTAAATAAATCGGATATAACCTGTCAGGCCAAGCTCGAAATATGAGCATCGGCCAAGATCTTCATTGTTGCGTAACATTCGAAATATAAGGATTTGTCCCGGGGGGTACTTTAAGAATTTCGGGGTGGGGATGTGCCGCTGGGACCCTGGAACCCTTAACCTATACCAGAGCTACAATCTTGGACAAAATAAAATGGAACAGCCAACCCCCATCCCCCCCGCCCAAATCAAGGATGAAGCCGCGCGAAGGGCAAAAACGCGCTTTTTATCGCTTTTTATGTTTAGTCTTTTATTTGGCTTTTCAGCTTTATGCATTGTAACTTGCATGTGCCAAATACTAAACAGTAACTTTTTCTTGAGCAAAACACTATCATGATTTGCACAGTGTGGAACACATATAAACCCGAAAACGAATGCCTAAAGATACCAGAAACAAACGTGCCTTAAGGCGGTTTCGCTGAATATATGGGGCCTCAATAAATCAATTAAACGGAGGAAGCTCTTTCGGTGGCTCCATCTGAATATATTTGATGTAATTTTCTTACAAGAAACCTATAGCGATGCTACTTGGAGGATGTGTGGCGGGCAGAATGGGGTAGTGAAATCCTGTTTGCGCACGGTTCCAAACACAGTAAGGAGGTAATGATATTGTTTAAGCCTTCCCTAAACGTTGATATTCTGGAAATCACTGTGGACAAAAATGGACGTTTTCTCGTCGCGAACATAAGTATTAATCAAGATAATTTTTGTCTAGTTAACATTTATGCTCCCAATGACCAAAACCAGCAAGTTAACTTTTTGGATAAAATCATCGATCCCATTCGCCGTAGTAGTACTAACAACATTTTACTAGGCGGTGACTTTAACTGTCCTTTGACAGAGGTCGATAAAGTAGCTGGTAGGGACATACTCCATAAGAAAAGGACCATCCAAGCAATCCGGGAACTTTGTAACAGCTTTGACTTAGTCGACGTCTGGAGAACTCAACACCCAAATAAGAAGCGTTATTCTTGGGCAAATGGCTCAGGAAAGATTAAAATGTCGACTAGATTTCTAGCTAATTTCGAAACAATTACTGACACGCGTTGCTAA